GTGACTCACTGAACCCTGGGTGGCCTGTCAAGCCTCTTTTCTTGCTGCTGACTGAATGCTCCAGCTTCTGTAAACATAGACAAATGTGCCCTACAGGAGTGCCTGCTACCCCACAGCTCCCCCATGCCTCAATCTAATGAATTTTTAAAGACGGCATCAATCAAACCCCAGGCCAGATCAATAGACCACAGAGTGGATTTCATCAGCGCTGCAGAGCGAGGTTTGGGTACACACTTTGCTGCAAAAACCAGCGTCCTTACAAGAAGCCTTTCACGTTTACAAAGCTCCACAGTGGTCAAAACAATCAACCACAAAGAGAGGAATAAAATCAAGGCAGGTCTGTATAGCTAGAAAACAAGTGTGATTAAAGAGATTAGAGAGGGTTCATGATGGCACAACGTCCTCTGCACAGGACAGACTGACCCTGCAATGTTGATTAGTACGTCTGATAGACAGTCAATCAGAGCATCACCACAATGATCATGAATCGTTTTACTAAACACCAAGGTTAATCCTCATCGGAAACACACTCTACCTTAACTATACACCAGGGAAAACACACAACATAATGCCCTGGAAAAATACACACACACACACACACACACACACACAAACAGGATCATCCTTATGCAACGAGCAATGGGCACAAAGATAAAAGAGAGAGGGAGGGGGAAGCTGCCACAAACACAACCGCTCTAAAAGCCAATTTAGTTAAATCTGGGATGGTTGGCTGACTGTCATTAAAGTTAGTTTGTTACTGGAAGAAAACTTTACAAACTCTGAAAAAAAGAGAAAGATTGTTTTTATCTAAGTGAAAAGGGGGACGAATAAAAAGTGACAACCTCAAATGTTAAAGACTTACTTTATCATATTCAGTTGTCTGCAGGCTCCACTACCTTACATTTTTAAATTCAGAACACCAAGAACCAGGTATAGCTGGAGGTGAAATGCCACACCAGCCTAAGATTTGTGTGAAGGTGGAATAGAAGTGGTGACTTCATTGTGTCAGACATCAAAAGTATTTGGAATTTAGTCTGCATCTGAAGGCAGTCAGAAAAAAAGGCTGTCATAAAGAGAAAAGAAAAGCAATAAAGATTTGATATGGTCATAAGGCCGCACATTTCCAGACAATCTCTTAGATATGAAATGCCACTTCTACAAAGTTTATAAAACATTATGTAAGTGTTGTGGGTGTGTTGGAGAAATAATCCAGTCCATCACACTATGGTTATCTGAAATGAGTTCATTTCAACGCCGCAGAATAACACTATTTACTACTTCTCTTCTTTTACTCCTCTCTCTCCCCATTATATTGCCTCAACAGTGACACCCGCTGGACTGCCTAACCACTGATCATCAACGTACTTTTCTGTGAACACAAGGCTTGTGTTATATGAAAAAGCCAGCCTCCTTGTTGTGTGAAGTCAGGCCGAACCGGTGTGAGAACATAGCAGGTAAAACTCAGGAGCATTAACACATTAAGAGTGAACCAACAGTTTACATGTGACAAATATAAAATCGTCTGCTCCCCTGTAATCATTTCACTCTCCTCCTGGATTTTGGGAAGCCATAAATCACCTAAAGATTAGCTGCAGCATCTCTAGGGGAAGCAATTTCTCAGGTCACTGCTAAGGAGATAAGAAATCAAGGGGAGAGTAATCCCTTGAATCTAATTTAAATCAATTACATGAAGTGAGAAATGTTGGGAGGCATACCAAATGAAGGTAGTATCGTCAGTTATGGAGGATGGATTTGAGAAGTACAGAGATAGAAGAAGAGACATGTAAAAGAGTAAATCAAAGTGAAGAATAGATATATGTAACTGTGTTAGCTTCTTTATTGGACATACTGTTTAAATAAGAGAGAGAAAAACTTCTGCAGGAGCTGAAACATTTAAAATGATCTATGAAATCGTAAACAAACACTAACAGAGAGAAAAAAAGTACAAAGGATGCCCAGCTTGTTTAAAATAATCCCCCCTGCCCACAGGCTCGCACGCTCATTTGAAGTGAGCAGTCACCAACTACAGAGGTGGAGCACATGGACGGCTGGACTCAGCCAGCGGCTCTGTGTGACACTGAACAAAAAATCATTTTCAGGGTGACTTCACTGTATAATTTTTTTGACTTTAATGAAAAGATGTGTTCAGTCCAGGGCTGTGCGCTCTTAGTCTGGATGCTGACGTGAAAAACAAATCCTGGCTCAGAAAAAATAAAGTCACAACCATGATGGTAAAAAATATTTTTCTTTATCACTATGATTGACAACCTCAATGCTCTATAATATAAGAAAATTGGTTGATATGAGTCCTTAATCTCAAGAGCTCTCCTTTGTTTTAAGTTTTCCATGAGTCCCAGCTATTGTCTCAAACCTGTGCCACTGCAACTCTCTCACAGCTGTTCCTGTATCATCTTCTGTCATTGCTATTTCCAGTTCCTGTTACTTTGTCACTAACACAACAAGAACCTCTTTTTGATGCCAGACTAGCTTCAAACGCCACTTCTTTTATTCACAAGCTGTGCTATGTAACTAGGGTGAGCAGAAACAAACTCCAGAAAGAAAAACACCCTCTGTTATTTATGTGTGAACAGTACAGTAAGAAGGCCAACAAGTATGTTTAATGATTAAAAAAAAAAAGCAGATAATGTTTCAAAGAGCTTTTTAATGTTCAGTCTTTGCCCCGATGGATGTCATATTTAGTTTTTAACCAAAAGAGGTTAAAAATCAGACAATCAACATGAGATTTTAAGAAAAATAACTTCACATATTGGGTTCATGTTAAGGGTTTTGTAATAGGCAGTGTATCTCTCGATCAGAAATACACAAATCCACATAGCCAACTGCATATACATATGGATGCTGTTGCCTCCATCAGCCTGTAATCCACAGAAAAAGAAACAAAAGGAAAAATGTTTGCTATTTTCTGTCATCATCTGCCAAGAAAGAGATTTCACTGAGGGGACTGGGAAGAGGGAAGTAAAGACGCAGAGCTGTTTGGCTAAAGGCCCGCTGGATTCTTTGAATCTCAAGGACATTCCTCCGTCCTATACTCTGCTGAGTCCCCCTGCCTTTATCTGAGTTCGGCCCACCCAGCCCTATTGTATCCCTCTCAGTCATAGAGAGCTTCCTGCTTTTCCAACTCAGCTGCTTATAAAACAGAGAGCTGTGTAAGCCTCTAGAGCCACGGGGATTGGAGATCCCTGGGGTAAAAGCTGGGAACACTGAGAGAAACTCTCCCGTTTGGCTTTTGGACTATTTTTTCTGAGCCCTGTTTTGAAAGTCAAGAGATTTTTTAAGTCGCTCTTCACAGAAAATTGGCTTCTCAAAAAGTTGAAAGGCCGGAGCAGGTTTTATAAAGCAGGGTCTTTAAAATAAACTATATCATAAGAGGCTCTCAGAATAGGAGATGCTCTGCATTTACAGAGGGGGCTGTCTTTGCTCATCCATTCAGACACATCCATTCACAGTCAATGATTTATTCTATAGAGTTTACGTCATAGCCTTGAAAAATAAAACTTTTTGATAGAAATAATCAGACAGAACACGAACAATAAAGACACTATTCATGCTCTTCACACAAGAAAATCTTTCATCCATAGCCACTGGATATACAATGTATTTCTGATGAATGACACTTTACCCCCTGCACCCACAGTAAGCATTGTTTTTGCAGGAGAATAGACCTTGGATGGATCGTCACATTGTGACTGAAGTTATTTATTTCCTCAATAGACTTCGTTTTTACCAGCAATAATATACGTGTCAAACGGTGAGGAGGCACGGTCAGTCCAAATGTGTCAATATTTCTTTCAAAAGACTCTAATGATCGAGACATGACGTCTCACCCTGAGCCATCATTCAAAAGCAGGAAGACAAACAGGCTCCCAAATGTCAACTTGGACAACATCTTGGGAGTTAAGACCCAGAACAACCAAGTAAACCAGACATGAGATTAAGCAGAGTTGGGTCATTGTCGCAAATTTTGAAATTTATAGGCACTACACCAACTTTTAAAGATGCTATTTTAGAGAAACAGGTATTATATCTGATACTTACACAAGTTATGATTAAAATGTCTCCTCCCATTTTTCATTGACAAGACTTACTGTAAAACATGTTCATAGAGAGCCTCAGTCTACCCAAACTGTTTTTTGTTAATTCACAGACACAATAGAGCCCATTTCTTACCTGTATCATAAAAAGCTTATAATTTATTTACAAATTTATGAATTTATACAAAAATTTCTCATGCATATTGTTTCTCCTATCTATTGTTTTTCTCCTTTGTTTTGCACCAAGTTGCAACCTCCAGCATTGAAAACTTCAGCCAATGTGGAAGTGCAAAAACCTGCAGGTGCTCAAATTTCAATAAAAGCGAAGGGTTATGCATAGATTTGCAAGAAGCTAGCAGCCTCCCTTAGCGTAGTGTAAAGAAAAAAAGAAGAGCTATATCTTATGTTACATACCACAAGCAAACCACCTTCTCTCAAATGCACAAAATAGAGGTCCGGAATTATTTTTTTTCATTGAGTTTGTCCTTTGTTTTAAAGTCCCACTCCCATTATTTTTTTTTATTTTTTTATTTACTTCTTAAAGTGTTCTCAGTGGTCTTTAAGTTGCGACTATTAAGTTTTTAGCCAAAATCACGTTACCTGTGTCATTTTTAAGGGCTTTTCTTCTGCAGAGCTCCAGTAGCTCATTAGCAATTCACCTCTGAGTCGTGTGCGGAGACAGCGCTGCTCTTCACACTTGTCTTCACGCTAGCTTGCAGCCTAACATTGCTGGTGTAGTAGAAGAAACAGGTAACATAGGAGCTATTCAGCTCTTGGACACTAATGTCTTGAAAGTTAATATCATAATTAGCTTTCTTACGAGCATTGCAATACAGTAACGCAAACGCTTGTTCCGCGATTGTCCTCTCTACTTCTCCAAGTCTGGCCTGCATGGCGGGGCTCAAGGGGCAGAGCTTGGATTTGTGACATAGGAAATCTCACTGTGTCTGAACCTGCCGTTTGGGTCTGCCAGAGATTCACAGCGATTTGAATGCAGAAATACTCAGAAATTCAATTTCGCACTTAGTTTTCTCATGATATGTCCTGTAGCATCAGAAAAATGCCATATGAACATGTAGACAACAAGAAAAACATGATTTTCATCAGAGTGGGTCTTTAAGTTTGCCTCGTGTCACATCCTTTAGAGAAAAGCCTCTTCACTAACATTTATGAGTTATCTCTGTACTTCTCCTACATCTCTGATACAGATGATGTTGTCATGATTTGCCTCCAGCTTCAGAGAGCTGAGAAAACTGAGAAAACACAATATCTTTGTGTTTTTTTTAATGTGGGAAGTATCACCACCCCCGCAAAAAAACATAGGATGGGCACTGAGAATACAACAGGGGGTATATGTGCTCCAGCAACTACTCTCCACCGCTAGCTGGTACTTTGAATGAAATGTCAGAGGAAAAAGAAATACTGTCTCCATTTTCACTTACTCTTTTTTTTGGTCCCATCACTGATGAGGTAACTGGTGCACAAACGTGAGCTTAAACAGGTGGAGAAAATACAAAAACTTGATAAGAGTTTGCATCACATCAAAAAACAAAAAACAATCAGAAATTGTTGGAGTGGATTGATTTTTCACTTAAACGCCTGCACCTGCCAGAGTATTTGAGGGAAATATATGAGCGGCCTGCCACTCTGTCAACAACAGGCAGCAAACACAAAGACTGTTGTCAAGCACTGACAGTGAAGACTGTTTCTGATTAAAAGAGTGAAAGCAGAAGATAAATCATCAGAGTGCTGCTCCAGTTTTGTAGTTTCTCAAAGGCCATCTGTTAAAAAGGACCCCTCTCTTCACACAGACACGCTCAGCACCCCTCCTGTTCTTGCAGAGCGACAACAGACCACAGATGTCATGGAAGGCCACAGGGACCATAAACACATGATCAGAAAACATGGTCCAGAGCAGCAGTGATCAGTGATTCTCTGACAACCGGCAAAATCATCAATTCTGAATAATGGACATTTCTATTAAGTCTCAAAAAATAAAACCAGTGATTCGTCAACTTAGCCGATCTGTCTTCTTTATGAAACCACCACTGCTGTGATGTGCACACCCAGCAGAATGACAAATGGATCAAAGAGGGAGTTATGGGGAAAGAGTCACTTACTCCCTTCATCGACTGCTGTTGGTTTAACAGTTTTTCTTGTCATCCAAGTGGACAGGTGGAGGTTTTTATCTGAATGTAGTCTATTGGCTTTAATTATGGGTGGTAAATAAACCTGCCAACACATTAAACAGTTGATTCTGTATAACATACTCTGGGAACTATGGACAACTCCCTCCAATTTCCAGTGCTATTTCCTGCCAAGACAACCAACCACAATCCAATTAGCAGCTCAAAAGGAGTGATGTGTTTAGGAGTGAAATTCACCCTCCAGATTAGTTTGCAGAGTTAATACTGTCATTTTTTTAGCTCATATGTGTCTGGTTTTCTTGAGGTCTCAGGTTCACTGTGAATATTAAGTTACAGAGGCTTTACTGTGGCTTACAAGAGGTGAAACAAATTAATTTCAAAACAGGGCTCAATAATAACATGGCCTTTCCAGAGAACGTTTATACTGGTCAAATGTTGTGGGTGTAGCCCACAGACTGTATATACTATGGACAACTTGGCTGCGCCTTCTGTCATTATAAAAATTTGAAGCTGAATTGCTCTCCATATGGATTTTCTCCACTTCCTGGAACCACCACTTGCAAAGTAGCGTTGTACACATTCAGCAGGAGAGTCACCAAGAGTCACTATGATGACACTCGTCTCAAACAGTGTATCCCCTGGGTGAGCTACACAATCTTCGTACGCCCATAAGCTGTCTCAAGTGTCAATCATAGAAAAGATGAACCCCTGATAACTTTTAAAAATTGAGCAGTACAGAAAAAAGAGGATTTGAGCATACACCAGTCTCACAATAACTACATGTCAACATCACAACCAGGGGGTAGAAAAATGTATATTCTGTGTAATTAATTTCTTAAATTTGTCCATAGGGATTGTTGGAGGAGGTAGACCTATGCTGCAGCCCGTCACCAGAGGGTTCTGTTCTCGCGGGGGGCTTCACCCAGCGAGGAGGCAGATGGCATCCATTCTGTATACAGTCTATGGTGTTACCTGAAAGCAGCACTGTGGCAGCAGACAGTATCTACGCTAAGGTGGACAACCTAATGATGTGTCACTTGTAAACAACTTGGAGGCAAAGGGTCAGTTCTTGTTGATCAAATCATCTGATCACTAGCCTGAAAGGTTGTTTTCCTCAGAGCAAGAAGGAACCAAGCCCTGCTTTGATAGATCATGGACGACTTGAGCAAGAGGTTACAGCATTTGAAGTAATCTGTGGGTTTTAATGGATATAATGCGTTTGGATTAGATCTTTTGCTAGACTTGAATTATGTGGATGGAGAAGCTTTTACTGCACAGATAGAAGTGAGCTGCCATTTATTATACATGAGAAGACCGTTGCTCTTCAGGAGGATAGAAAGGATGTAAAATCACAACATATCTGTGATGTGGCATGTTGAAGGGACATTAAAGTTCAAAACTAACAGGCAGCTCATGCAATCTGAACAAAGGAGCTCTCTGTGAACAAAGGTGCACAACAAATGTCATGTTCTGTCATTTTTAAAAGTGAAATGTTCTCATTAAGATAGATCTCTCAGCCCTGTATAGAAGATCTCCTGGCATATAATAAATGTATTTACAATGGATGAAAGGTTTTTCCTAAGTAAACTCAATGTAAAATATCTCTACTCTTGTTCTGGACCCCTGAAAGCCAACTCAGCAGCATCACAGACCGTTTACAGTTCAATTACAGCCTGGAAGGTTCAATCTCAGGAGGAATCGACTGTTACCAGCTGATTAGCTCTGCTGCTGCTGCTGCTCAATCCACCAAGTGGATCACACCAATCTGCTTTTTAAGTGGTGCTGCTGCAAAGCTATGCCCGATGAAGCACAATTGAACATGAGAAGCTGTATCTCAAAGCATAGACCAGCGGGGGAGATAAGGTAAAGCTGCCTGTATATGCTTGAGCACTCCAAGGAGAATGAAAGGGTGGATGTGTTTGTGTAATATGAAACCACAAGAGGCTATATTTCTGCTCTCAATACCAGCTGGTGCGGTTGAATCAAGAAATACGTGCTTCCCCATTCTTGGGCCGTGTAAAACTTCAAAGACATGCCCCTGTAACAGAACGCTGCACAGACACACCTAATGATGCATCGCTGTGATTGAAAGGCTGGCTCAAACATTATCCAGCTTTTGCCTGCTCTGTGCTGAGGTACTCTGCTTTCATGCCGGATTCTGAATTCAGCTGAGGAGGGGATAATTATCTCGGCTGGTGGTATGGATCTGCTTGAAGCAAAGTGGAACATGTGGGGAAAAGTGGATGAAGTGCTCTAATTTATGAGGAAAAAGCACCAAGCTGAGGTGCAACAGAGAGGGATTAAGTATGACAACAAACGGAGACGCTGCGACTTCGCTCTCTGAAATGGTCTAATGTTGAGTGAGTTGATGTAATGTGGAGCATAAAAGCTGGTCATACCTTTTTAAACTGGCACTCTGTCATCTTTCCTGCATGTTATGAAGGAAAGCAGCTACCCTCCTGTGGACTAAAGGCTCTGTAAAGTAGAAGAAGCATCATGTTAGTGAGGTTAACGGGACTTATCAACAAGACAACCAAATGCCATCCATCATATTTCTCCCTTTACAAGCTTGTAGAGTGACTTTTGTTAGGTAATGCCTTTTCTTGACATTTACCTTGACATTTGCAACCATAACCCCACCTTGAGATCAGTATATTAGAACCTTTATGAGTCTCAGGCAGTGCAGGGAAATTTTTTATTGAGAATGAGAATAAGTCCTTCTGCTGGCAATGTTGTTGGCATCAGGACACCATGGACACCATGCTTAGGTCAAAAATTGTATTCAAAACTTAATATTCTGTCACCTAAAAACCAATACTTGACTTGAATGTGAATTTCCCAGTTTGGGATATATAAAGTATATCTATCTATCTATCTATCTATCTATCTACAGTATCTATCTATCTATCTATCTATCTATCTATCTATCTATCTATCTATCTATCTATCTATCTATCTATCTATCTATCTAGCATATCTCTTCTGTGGGTTTGTCAAAACTTTCTTGACTGGACTCAGCATTTGTATCTAAACTGACAGAGTTGTCTCATTACTTGAGGACAGCACCTGGTAAAACACTTCTATCTGGTCCACACTCACACAGTCATTACTTCTCTCTGAAACACGCTGCATTAATACTTAAATCTTTAATCACTTGTCAAAACTTTACAATACAACTTGATGTTGATATGTTAGCTTCAAAGAAAAACACGTGTATTTAATGCTGTTCATTCAATTCATTTATTAATCCGATCTTAACCATTTTAAAAATGTTGATCTTCTCCACAGCTCTAAGTTACAGACAGGTAAACGTGAATACTTCCTCTTAAAAAGGGGAGGGAGGAGCTAATTCAGGTGTACTGATGGTGGAGCATATATGTCTAATTAGTTGAAGAGTTATCGGTACATAGAATTAAAACTTTTAAGTTGATGAGGATATTTGTGGGTAAAATGGTGACTCAAATGATGAAATGTGTTTGTATAGATTGAATGTAAGTGTTATAGAGACCTATTTTAACTAATTTGGGGAAAATTCGAGTGAACTGACAGACAGCAGCTGGTTGGTCTAGAGAGGGAGAGGCTGGGCATTTAAAAGCATCTGACCACCATGGGTCTTGAGAATAATCAATTCAGTCTGAGTGATGTGAACCAGACAATTGCAGCAAGTTCTTGTGTAAGTATTTTTATTTTTTTGTATTTTTTATGCATATGACATCTAGAAACAGTTTTTTCCCCACTTTATCTGTGAATAATAATAATAAAAAACACAATCATATGACTCAAGCCATCATTTTCTCATTTTTCTGTGGACCATTTTTGTAACATACTAGAAGGTGACATACACCACAGTACTGACAGTTGAGTCTGATACGTTATTGTAGATTATATCTATGGATATGGATATATGTTAACTGATGAGGGGAATACTGTTTATTAGTTAAACCTGCGTTTCTTTTGCTATGAAGAGTCATGTCTGCCAAAAAGAAATTTAAAGCCTGAACTGAAGGAAGTTAAAGGAAAAATTGCAAAGTGCAGTCTACGTTGTTAAAGCTAAATGTATCAGAGTACATTTTGAAAGCAGAAAGTGTTGAAGCTTTCCTTCACCTCAGCTCAGCACGCAGGACAGCCAAAAACATATGAACCCTGCACATTCAGCGGTAGCCTTGGTTTGTGGGTTTAATTGGTAACAGACCACTCGAGTAAATGAAACGTAAATAAAATGATTTGACTCGAACTTACCATCTGTGAATTCAAAACACTTCAGTGGTTCGTGGACGCCACCTAGCGTTGGCTGTACCGACCTGTACATGATAAGCGCCACTGTAAGCAGCTCTACTTTCCAAATGTTAAACATTGCAGCGTGCACGCGCTGTCCGCATACGCACCCTTTCAACAGACAAATCTGTTAATGTGTGAGGCCAAACGTCCACGCGCGCAGGTAATAGCTATAAGGCGCGCGCACAGGAAAGTGAGTTCATCAATCACAGTGAGCGACTGAAGCTCAGCCTTCACGTCAGCCGTGGGCTGCTTTTGTGCGCGTTCTCGGCTCAGGTTTGGAGATGTCGGTGCTGTCTCCGCGCGCCTGTTCCAGGGGGGGAAAGTTTTTTTGAGTCCTAAAAGGAATCCGACGAAAAGCGCAAAATGTTGAGGTAAGTTTCTGAAACCGAGTGCTGTTTTTTTCTCTGCTTCTTTTAAGTGCATAAAACTTGTGTTAATGTGGACCTGAGGAAAACCGATATCTTCAATAGCCTTGATTTTCTGGCATTGATATAATGTCTTTTCGTCAATTACACCAAAATGGGAAAATCCGCTGTTCTGTCTGTGTGTTGCTGTGAGCGAAAGCCTGTATTGATCATCTTATTGACTGAAGTAAGGCTCTGAACGGATTTGCGTATAAAAGTTGATTTATATCTTTTGTTTTCCCTGTGCAGATATTAAAACATAACATTTCTGAAGTTATCCACAGACCGTAAACTGACCCTCCTTTAGGAAGCCTTTGTGTGTGGGAGACCCCTCCTTGTCTTCGTGATATACTTTAAATTAATACCCTACCAAGCGTAGCCATCAGCTCAATATATGTGACTTTGTGGACTAGAGAAGGAAAGAGTCACCTTCAAGATGTAGGTTGAAACTCACAAGGAAAATAATTTAGTTACTCAATGCAAGTGGCTTCATGTATTAGAAACATTTTTTTCTGAGTTGTACAATAAAATTACATGGTTATGCCTGAACAAAAAGGTTGTTGTCACATTGAAACAAACCATGCTTGTTTTTGATTTGGGAATTTCTGAAAATAGAGTAAAGTTGGGTTTAAAGGCCTATTAAGAAGTTTTAAAAAGTTTGCTTGCTGATCACTGATGACCCTGAGGAAGGTAAGAACAGCATTTAAAGGGATTTTGTTTTTTCACCCAACTGTACACAACCATACAGTTAAAATATTAGCGTTTTCTATAGCTGCTGAAGGGTTTTAATGCTTTACAGATACACCGGCCTGTATGAAGGAAAGGAGTCAGGGAAGCTTTGAAGCAATAGGGAGAGATGGGAGAAAGCCCTGTATGATACGGCGAGTGTAACACAAATTAATCAGATTAAAGAATTACAGCATTCCATGGCAGAATCTCACAATCATCCAGGCAAAAATGCAGGTTTACAATGTTGTAATGTTGAAAGTTCAGCTGCTGCTGAGGTAATTTGTGCCTGTTACTGCTCTGTCTCTGTCTGCTTTATGTATGACCAATCAATCAGACCAAACCTGTAGAGCCAACAGCATCTCTACAGAGTAATCAGACTCATCCACAGCAGAGATCAGGTGGGGCAGGGCAGGTTAATGAGTGACAAGACCAGGCAGAAGGGCAAGTATACTTTACACTGTATGAGAGAGAGAGGCTAAATGTGGGAACATGGCACCTAAATCAAACTGCAGATAATCCACAAATACTTAAGCTGGGACCAACAACACCTGAAGGTAAAAGGTCAAAGGTCATGAGAGATTTATTCCAGAGCTATGTTGTGGATTCAGTTAAAAGTTATGATTTGTGTAAGATTATTCAAGTTGTTGACTCAAAATTTCAGTGAAATAAAAATGGTCTAGCAGTGTTTGTTGTTGGTTGTGCACTTCCTATTTTCACAGTAAGTCAGTTTACAGCGAACAAGTGGTCCTTGTTGTGCTGTAAGAAGCTCAAACAAAGGGCAAGAGCACTTCAGCTTTTTATGTACTCAGATAAAGGTCAGTTTTGTGTGTGTGTGTCATAGGTGTGCCACATTTAGAAACAGACAAAACACAGCTGATTGTGCTCTCCACTCGCTTAGAGAGGGATTGCAAACCAACAAGACCTGGAATCAGGGAAATTTCATGCAGATTTACTCTGAAGTGAGGTGATAATGTCAGTCTTCTTCAGTTTGATGTCCCTCAATCAGACTGAAACCACCAATTATTTTCCCCTCAACAGATGAGTACCCATCCATAATCCAGCTTGGACAATCAGCCAACCCTGATTGGACTGTTACCCCCTCCGATCAAGTTGCTGCCTGCAGCCGCTGTGGGAGTTGGAGTTGTCATGGAGACGGTGGTGATTGTTGCCATAGGGGTTTTGGCCACCATTTTCCTGGCCTCCTTCGTTGCCCTGGTGGTGGTGTGCAGACACCGCTACTGCCATCCTCATGACCTGCTGCACCACTTCGACTCAAAGTCAGTGAATGTGAATCTGGGTCATTTAGTGTCAGAATCCTACATCTTTTTGTCAACATTTAAAGTTTCTCTTATGTGTTAAATATCAAGTTACTTATTCTACAGGTTTCCTGAGACTATTCTTTGTGATTCTGGATGAACAAGCTACAATAGCACATCCATTCATCCACTTTATGAAATGATTAGGGAGGCCTTTGTGTCTTTTTTAACCTACAGTAAAGAGATGCTGGAAAACAAGGGGGAAAGAGTCTCAACAAAGGCCCTCAGATCAGGGATGTTTCGCTCCATGGTTAGCATCTTAATCCTTATGCCATTCTGGCACTCAATCTGTGGGCTTCTCTGCAGCCTTTAGTCCTCAACTATTAAGATGTCTTTACTGTTTATTCAGTCCCCACCACCTCTTGATGCATTAACTTCTTTGATGAGTTATGGTTAGGGATTCTGTTAAATTCAACATAGCAACATAAGAGGTTGTAAATAAACTTATTTGTTGTTCCCCATAGCTTGGAGATTTTTCAACAAAAGGTATAACAAACCTGAAAGTTCTTCATTTAGCTCCAACTCCTTTTGTAATGATTTACCATTGGCCTGTGATTCAGCATGTCTACCTGTCCACCCACCGTTATACGTGCTCTCCACCTAAGTCACTTTCATTGAGTACTCAGAGAAACTTAGGCTTCTTTATACAACCACAACTCAAAACTCAATTATCACTTTACCTCAAAGCAAAGCAATAAAAGTAAGTTTAAAGAGCTTTGGGTTTTAGTTAGTAATCCAGTTTGGTCTGTTTTTTAGGCCCACACAGGACCTGATTGGAGCAATGGAGACACAGAGTGAGCCATCAGAGCTGGAGCTGGATGATGTGGTCATCACAAACCCACACATCGAGGCCATCCTTGAGAATGAAGACTGGATAGAGGACGCCTCGTATGTCTAACTTGCATTTTGTGCAGGGGTGGATCCAGACTTTTTGACTGGCCCATCTGGGGGGGCTAACTTCTGCAGGGGTGACATAAAATATGGATGACATCCATCCTTACCATTTCTGATGATCTTATCTTACTTTACACCAAACATAGATGTTATTCCTGTTTACATAATTTTAACTTTGAAAAGCAACTCAACAAAGTTGCAACATATAAATCTCAGACATATTTTAAAAATCAGACTTTAAAGAACTAAAATGTGCTACAATGACAATCAGAGTCAAATTCTAGCAGCATTACAACACCGAATTAAACAAGAGATTCATCTCTAAAAAAGTAAGTAGCTAATCATAGAGCAGAAATTTGATTGGCTCCTGGGGTTTCCAATTAGATGTGATGGCCACCTCCTGGTGTCCACCCCTGTACGATGGGGTGGATGCACTACATGATTTTTGATTAGTTACAGATCCAAACTAACTCTGTGATTTTTCTCCCCAACAGCGGACTGGTCTCTCACTGCATCTCTATCTTAAAGGTGACAACAACAGAAACTCACCCTTTTTAACTCTATCTCTAGGAACACTAATTAGCAGTTATTTACACTGTTCTTTCTCATTCAGATCTGTCACACCTTAACCGAAAAGCTGGTTGCCATGACAATGGGCTCTGGGGCAAAGGTCAAAGCACCAGCCAGCCTGAGTGACATCATCACTGTAGCCAAACGCATCAGCCCAAGGTAACCAAAACTTAAAATTTAGGATAGCCTGACTGGAGCTGGCTTACCTCCTCACACCCTCACTGTCTGATTTCTCAGGGTGGACGACGTGGTCAGATCCATGTACCCTCCTTTGGATCCAATTCTCCTGGATGCCAGGTAATCAAATTACTGGGTCTTTAAAATGATGAATTTAGTTTGACTTTAATTGTTTAATGCAGGGACCTATTGTGATTGATAAAAGTTAGAAAGGAGTGACTTCATGCCTCCTATTATCCGTAACGTAATAACACTGATAATTAGAGAAATGAAGACAGTAACAAATGCTTGTTTCATAAATCAAATTAAAACTGAACCTGATATAAATCCAATTCTTGTTCTGTTGACTGTGTGTAGTTTAAATGATATGTCTGTTTACACATAAGAGCGTTTCCTTTTGCAGAAGCCAGTAAAATTAAATCAATGATCTTCCTCTTCAGGGCCACTGCACTCCTCCTTTCAGTCAGCCACCTGGTGCTGGTCACCCGCAACGCCTGTCACATGTCCGGCAGTATGGACTGGATTGATCAGTCGCTCCATGCGGCTGAGGATCACATGGTGGTTTTGCGTGAGGCGGCACTGGCTTCTGAACCAGAACGAAACATACCTGGAGCTGACGCACAGAAAGAACAGGCCATCTAAAGAAAACACAGATGATCACAAACAGAAAACAACAACAACAACAACAACAGGACATAAAACATGTCCATTTATCCTTGAGCTGCCTCTTTCCACAACTCTGTTCTGAATTTATAGTTGACAGGCACATCTTCTGCAGGACTGTGTTGCTCTCTAACATTATCATCAAACAATTAGGCTGTGCTGATTTTTAAAGGCACCCTTATTCAGACATCTTTCTGCATCTTTTTTATCATATTTTCAGGTAAAAAGTGCTCCCAGCTTTCAAATAGCCTCATTTCTAAAAGGTTGATATCACATATTAATGTACAGGTGGGTTTTTGTGTGTGTAAGCATACAGCAGATCTTTAAAGCTGTGGTCTGTTGAAGGTGTAAGCTGCCTGCAAGTAAAAGGCTTTTAAAAATTTCTTCAAGAGTGCGCCATCGCCCAGCGGTGGGCCTAAATCCAATCTCGCCGTCACATGGAGGCTTAGTCAGCTAATCCATTCTGAGGAAAATAACACCCAGTTAGCCAGTGAACCCAAAGGGGCTCCAGCCCTGTGGACTAATAGAAGCCCAACCTGGTGTATTAACAGTCTGTACTATCAGCGTGACTTTTGGATGTTCCAAAACATCCCGCTGTTGCTCATAGTTAAAAATCACCAGTCTGGGACTTTTCAGGGACTCATAGTATTCGTTTTTCGCCACATCAGCAACCCAGTAAACATTTTTCCAGTTGAGTAATGGTCTGTTTGTGCCTTTGCTGCATGTTATCATGTTTAATTAAGGTTGATAACTCCACCTCTGGAAAGTTAATATCTTCCTGTTGGTCCAGGTTCAGGCACTCATGGTCCCAGAGAAAGGATCTTAGTGCTCTTTGGTGATCACCTGATATTTATTTTATTGTTACGAGCAGGTTCACAGTTGTGGTTTCCAGCATGTCAAGAACATGAAGATGTCAGTATCTTAAGTTATTAGGACACTGGTACAGAAACTTCTGAACCTCACAGGGAGGATCATTTCACTAAAGTTCTAAAAGTTCTGAACTTTTGCTTGTCTTATGGCAATTTACTTTGCATTTAACACTACTGAGTGTGAAATAACCAATACCAGAGAAAAGATGGGGAGCTTTGCTACTGCTGAGAATCAGCATGTTGGCAGCTAACACACCAACTCCCAAAACAATCATAGTGGCATTTCTCTAAACTGGCACGTCCGCTTTAGATTCCACTGAACCTTACAAGAGCAATTCAAGTGCTTTTACTTCAAAGTTATCAAACAACCATAGCCACAGTCACAGTGACACACAGTACTGCTAAAACGTTAGCATGTTAGGACTGTAGCATCCGACTGACTTCCTGTGCAGAGTCTTGGAGTCACTCCAACAGAGTAATTCAAGAAACATTTGCTCTTTTATCCTTGCAAAAAAGAGCTAAAGTTTGATTAGAAACCCAAGTGCAGCAGCTGTGTCCATTCACCAAAACAGGAACAAGGATAATTCACAAACGTCTAGATATTTTGAGTGCCTCACCATCAACTTTAAAAAGTGCACCTGTTTGTACAAGTACTCCTCCACACTATGAGGACACTGAGAGTTTGTGTGCTCTCTTGTGCTTGGAGGATGCTTTTGAACAGCAAGTTGGTTGAGGTGAGGCAGAGTGAGTGAGTTGTTTTGGGTAAGAGGGTTGTTCTTGAAGTATTTCTACCTGCTCCTCCATGCATAGCTGATAGTGAATCCAAAAGGGGTCTTGATGAGGCTTTACCCACAGCCACAGTAAACATACACAAAGCCACATGCACACAAGGCTGACAACTTGACTCACTGGTACATCATATAACAGAGAGGTGTGTCACACAAGTTACCAGGAGGAGTTTTAAATTTGCAATAATGTTTGGAGATACTGATCAAAGAGGAAACATTTAGAAAGTGGTTAGCCTTTTATTATTTTTTTGTTTACATTGTTTATTATAGCATCGATCTTTTTATTTGCAAGCACTCCTTTGTTTTCTCATCCTTTCCCCACAGTTTGCTACTGATGTCCTCCCCTCACTCCCACTCTTCTTTCTCTTTGTTTTTCTCATTGATTTGTACAGATAAAATGAAGTTTCATAGGAAAATGTATTTTGTTTTTGCTCTGAACAATAGCTACGGAGAAATCCACGTCTGATAAAAAGTTCACACACTAATTTGACATAAATAAAAAGTGAATTCTTTTCTTGTATGCATGACGTGAGCAGTCCTTTGTGCAGCAACATGGTGCTAATACCCCCCTGCCATCTTCCCTTCTTGGTGGAGGGGGAGGAGTAAGCCCCTGCTGCAGGAGCGTCACTCTTGTCTAACAAAGCAGCCCTTTGCTTTTCTTCAGATCAATTTGCCTCCAGCTCGGCAGGGAGGCGTATTCATCTCTCTTCATTTCCAAAATAGTCTGAAATGTAATTGTAGAGATTTACTTTAGAGAGCGCAAATGTAAAAAGCAATATGAGTTCTATGTTTGACTGAACCCTATCTCAGGATTTTATATCTGATAATAAACATGATTTTTTCCTATCCAGTAAAACATGATGCACACTGCACTCTGCTCTATCTGGTTACCTGGAAATCCTGATCAGACAGGTAGACCTCGAGGTGCTGGGGGTCCACTCCTTCAGGTAAGGGGCTCCGCAGCAGCTCCTCCAGGGGGTACTGGGTCTTCATGAGCTGGGCCAGGGCGTCCTGCACCAAGGTCAGCTTCACCGGCCCTGTGTCACCCTGAAACATAAATCAAACACACCCAGAAATATAGATATAACTGCCAGCAAAAGCAACTTAGTATTTATGAATGGTTCACATGTGGCTATAGACTGAATAAAGTCTTCATTAAATCCAAATTAATACAATACAGAGCAACTGCTGAAGAGTGCTGAATGACAGAACAATAGAGAAATACTCCTGCGTCTGTACATCTGGATTATATTTAAAAATAAAGATCCGGATCAGCTCGCAGTGTCCTGGAGAGAAAATGCTCTTTTAAACAACATAAGTGAGTTTTTTGTGACTCTGAAATTGAAATTCACTCCCACAGACAAACAGGGACAGGATGATTACCAGATGCTTTGAACCAAGCAAGTGTCCCATCATTTTTGCATTTTTTGTGTTTGCCCTTTGATATTCTTTTGATATTTGATTGCAAAGGAATAATGGAAGTTTTAGAGCAGAAAATGACTGCTTTCCACTTTGTAAAGGGGTATAACTTTAGAAAAACTCATAGTACAGGATAATTCCTTTTAAAATGCTCTAGGCCACTAGAAAAAGTGCCAAAATATAAGAGCAGTTGCAACCAAACCCCAAAACAAGGAAAAATAGACTGCAATATAAAATGTAGAAGTTTGAATTTGACCTATTTTTGTTATAAAATAATAAAAGGACTAACATATCACCTCCACACGATTTATTTAACCTTGTCTTTAAATGAGAAGCTGGTCCCCAGACTGGTTGTGTTCGTACCTGCGTGTGGGCTCCCATGCTCCTCTCCCAGCAGGGGAACACATTAGTGAAGGTAAGAGGTTCTGACCCCTCAAAGATGAGGTAGGCCTGTGGTGGGCGTCTCGGGTTCATCTCTGTGATAACAGGAGACAAAAAGTCACCAATAAACAACTAACTGTGTAGCTGCTGACCCTTTTCCACCAAACTTTCCTCACTCTGACCTTTGGAGTACTGCAGGGCTGTCTGCATGGCCCACCGTCTCTCATTGTGCCAGCAGCTCCAGGCTGAGGCGGAGCTCTCTGTCTGCTCAGGCTGACCCCTCTGCCACAGGTAGACCTCCAGACGGTTGTCCAGCAAGAACAAGGCTAGCAGACAGACAAGAAAGACAAATGGTGGAAAAATTTCCGTAAGGGAGGCCTTGTGTTTCAGTTTTGAGTCAAACTGCTGGTTTGAAGATGAATAATGCAGGTTCAGGCTCAACAATAAATCCTCATGCACCCTAAGTTTCCAGCTTTGAAAATACTGGAAATAAAATACCAAAATATGACTCATGTCTTCTACGTGACTCTTGTGATGTCATTTAGCCTTTAGGACCAGAACAAAAATTTGTTTTCTTAACTTTTCTTAATCTTGGTTTTAAAAAATCTTTGTTAGTAAAAATATGATGGAGAGTAAAGGAGCTTTTGTTTCCTGTGTTATGACTGGATCCCTCACCTGGTTGTGGTACAGAGTACAGGCTCTCCTGTGTGAAGGGCATCGCCATCACCAGCCCAGGCAGCCGTGTTGGACTCTGCAGCTCCTGGGCCAGAAAACTCCCTGAAGTGGCGCTCAGGTGAAAGAGGCGAGGTGTAAAGTTATACTTTCCTGGATCTGGAACAAAAGCGGACACCCTGCCTGTTTCATATGACTTTAGAAAAAGTCCTGCACAGAGAGAACAAAAGTCAGAGCTGTGTGTTACCCTGGAGCATGCAGTCATATGCCTTTCTGTCCATCTGTCCAAGTGCTGTCCAGAAGTCTGCAGGCTCTGAACCTTCCTCTACCATCTGCACCTTCACTGGGCTGCTTTTGTTCAGTCCCAACTCTGTAGGACACCTAAAAAAAAAAGAAACAGAAAACTTAAACACTGGAAAAATTAAAACACCTTTACCAATAATAAGCATGATTCTCAAAAAGCCCACCCATGTAAGTAGCTTACATTTGAGTGAGACGCTCCACTGTGAGCTTGCCAATCTCTCTGGTGCTGACATGAGCTTTACAGCCAGTCCAGAGGTACAGCACCTCCTGCTGGCTGTTGAGCAGCACTACAGAGCCTCTGGACCTCAGACCTGCACAGCAGCAGTCCACTTCGAGAAGAGAGCCCTCCTCTGGGAGCTCTCCTCGCACACAGAACAGACGCCACTTTGCTTTAAGAGACAGAGAGGAATAAATGTCACAATTAATTTAAAAAAAAAAATAGAAACGCAGAAAAAAAGACAACAAATCCCCTTCACCTGTTTTAGCGGACGCCTCCTCTCTCTTGCCTTTGTGAATGACCAGGCTGCCCCGGAAGAGCTGCAGGAAACAAGGGGGCTCTTGACCCTGAGGTACCACCACCTGATAACACAACAAACAAAGGCTGAAAACAACAATAACATCAAAAGTTGTGCTGGTTAATGATCAGTTGTTAAACTTGTACCTGGGACTCTTCCTGGTTGTTAATCCCAATAGAAAGAAAAGCAGCCGTGTCCCGCCCACTGACATTTGAGTGGCGGCCCCTCCACAGGAACAGGGCGGTGTTTTCTTTGTGGTCAGTGCTGCAGTCATCAGACATGTTCACCTTATCTGAGGCAGAGAAAACATGGGTCATGGAACAGTTGTTTAACATCATTTAAGGCTTGATGCTCCTGTCAACAACACTGACCGGCAGTATTGATGCTGTACATCCAGCGGATGACGTAGGAGTCTCCTTCATGAAGCTGTCCTGTGCTCTCCAGCGATGTTTCACTGTCATCAAACTCCTGCACATGCCAGGTGTCCACGGAAACCGTCCTCAGCTCCATCTGACCTCCTTCCTCCAGTTTGATGACCCCGTGCCCCCTCTGGACATCAACCCCAGCCAACACGTGATGGACCAAACCATCTCCTTTTATCGACTCACCCATCACAAGAGCCTTGGCATCACAGGTGTTCAGGACGTCTGGAGGAGATGGACCTGAAACAGGCTGTGAAGTGATAATTGTTGTGATGATTTAACTAGTTTTTACCTAGTAGTATTTTAAAAGCTTTAGCAGAAGTATAAGCGGTTGATCTGTGACATTTACCTGCATCTCCTTGTTCACAGAAGCAGCCTCTTCCCTGTCTGTGCTCTTCAACGTCCAGTCAAGGAACTTTTCCCTGAACAGAGCAGTCTCATTGTGCTCTGTGACACAGCCAAACAGCGCCCAGCTAGGACGCCCCTCACCGCTCCTGAGGATAGGTAAAAAATGAGGGAAAATAAGAGTACAACTGATGAAAGTTACCCCCCTCATTGGCACAATCATTGGTTTTACAGAGAACCAATGTGGTGTAATTTAGTAAATATGATCATCTATAGTTAACTCACAATGATTGCATTATAATGGCACATTTTATGAGTTATTGCAAATGAAGCATAAAGGGATGTTTGTTGAGTTTTTAATAATCTAATCAGAAGTTCAAGCAGAGGCCAAATCTTATTGCTTAATTTAAAAAAAGAGATCTGAGACAATAACATTTCTCCAACTTAACAAAACAGTCTCTGTAACAATGCTCCCTATTGGACTGTAATGGTGCCTCAGTGCTGAAGTCCAAGTAATTAAGTCCTTCTGTATATAAACTTAAGTTTGTCTGCACAATCCAAAATCTCTGTGATAAATTATACTGCTCAACTATGAGCTGGACCCTTAAAGAACATTAGTACGAAAGAGGATTAGGGCCACAAGAGAAAAAAAAAATTACAGGAGCCAAAATTCTAAAAAAGGCGAAATGAAAAGAATCAAAATTTCAAGATTAAAGTCCTCCAAGTTTGTCGTTTTTTTTCTTCTGTAGATTAATAATCTTCGGCACAGTCTTTTCAGAGTCCAAATATTTATGACCACACTGTGTTTGTGTTCAAAAAGAGCAAGGATTTCCTTGTTACTGAATCCAATTCTAAAGTACAGCTTTACAAACTCTTCTACAGAGGACATGTTGTCAAGCGACGAGCGACTATGCTGTTGATTTATTATCATTAATCTCAACATTACGACTTCATTTATGAAATTTGGTCTTTATTTGCGTCGATTTTGATTCACAAAATTTTGACTTGATTCATATCGACTTTTTTTAATCTCAAAATGTTGACATTATTCACAACATTTCAACATTTTGTTATCTCAAAATTTCACTTTGATCTCAAAATTTCAATTTTTAATCTCGAGGTTTCGACTTTATTGACATAATTTCGATTTTCTAAATCTTGAAATTCCAACAATAATCTAAAATTTCGACTTTAAACTCTTCCCTGTAATAATTTTTTTCTCTTCATTTGGCCCTAATCCTCTTTCGTACATTCGAGAGGTGGACCTCCTACGTGGATGCAAATTCCTGGAGATTCCTGAAGATTCACACTCTTGACAGAGAACTTCCCATCAAAGTGGGTTTTGAGAATGAACAACAGGCACACTGCAGACAGTCAGGTTTACTCTATGATTAGATTGTGTGCTTTGAAAAAACTGGGTGAGCATCCAGCTATCTCAAAGTTCACACAGCTGTCCTTCACCAGCTGCAGCCCGTCAGCCTGCAGTGCCTGGATTGTTCAGAATATCTTGTGGGCACATTGCTGTCTGCCAGGTTATTTGCAAGCCTTTTGCAATGTCTTTTTTTTTAATGTACAATAAAGACCGCCTGCAGTTTTGTATAATAATTCGTGCTTGGTCAATTTAATGCTGCTTTCTTTGTTTTTGATGTGTTCAGTGGGGGATAAACCTTTACTTTTTAATGTTGTGTTTGTATTTTACTGTTTCTATAATGAGCTGTAATACTGATGTGCTGTTATTTTTCTTTGTGAAGTATGGACTAAAAGCTTTACTCTTCTGTGTGAACTCACAGTGGTATGCCAGGGTTACTCTGTGTGGGATCCAGTGGGTTGACTCGACAGTTGTTGTAGTCGTAAGCTCCAACCCACACTTGGTGAGTCAGCTGGAGAGCAACGTTCCTCCTGCTGAGAGAAATTTCCTGCCCAGTCCACAGGTACACCTCGCTGCCGAAATCAAACACCAGGGCCTGAACAGATAAATAATCACTTATTAAAACTAACCTGAAACAGCTGGTTACAAATAATCCACTATATAAACAATCCAGAACAATCATCAGACCTCATCGGAGCCCAGCAGGGACATGCTGGGGATGGAGGCCCAGGCTTGTTCATGAGGCACCAGTCTGTTCTCCACCAGTCTGTACACACAGTTTGACTCTGAGATGCCTCGCTCAAACAGCTCATCCTCTTCCTCTGCACTGGCTCCTGCAGAGAGAAGGAGAAAACTGCTGTTCAGTCAGTCTGAATATCATCAAAAGTATCAGTTAATAACCAATGTATGCCAAAAACAGGTAGTCTTCAAACCTCGGTACTGTGTTCGTCCTCCTAGAAGACTCCAAAAGTCTGCAGCCAGGCTGCTGTCACAGTTCAGGCCCTCCTCCAGATGAACAATCTGAGGAGCCTGACAGCCAAGATCTCCCTGACTTTGGATGAATGACGCCAGCGCAGAGGCCTGGAGTGAAAAAACAAGACAAAAAAAACATTTAGAGTTGGATTTTACAAAAAAAGAAACAGTATCATTAAAAAGATATTAAGATTCCTAACAACTATGCTACAGCAATCCTGCTGGCTTTTGTTATCAATAAAAGTTTTTTTAATTAAATAGGAGATGAAAATAACATTAAGCAACTTAGGTGGATCATTGAGTCATCGGTAGTAAATGAAGTGTGTACAGTGTGTGGTCAACCTCCAGGTTTCCTCAAGGTATCCTCCACAAATTCTAAGTGTGGAACAGATAAATCACAGTTTTTCACTTATTGGAAATACAAATGAGGTGACTAAGTTTGATTACATCAAATGGTAAATGTGAAGGCATGAAGTAACTGTATTATATCTCTCTGACTATGTTTGCTGCTGTTTCTAATATCTGCAGAAGTGTCTAACAAGAAGCAAGATCAGAGGGTAAACTGGGTCTGTGGTGCCTAAACCCAGAGTTTTCTGTGTAATGAAGCTGGCTCTCTCCCAACCTAGCTAAATCACCATGGTAACTTACTTTAAACTCATAACCTGGTCAGGGCGGATTATGTTCAGAGTTATGGCTTGAAATTTGACATAAAGTGCCATCATAATATTTAGTAACACCTGCTGATGTCTTCCTTATGCAATGCAGATCATTGTCTGATGAAGTTTGAGGGGCTCCACTGTAAGAATTGCATCATGGGAGTCTGTCTTTGTGTCTCCTCTAGATTTTTTTCCTTGTTTGCATGTGGTAGAATTGGTTCTTTAAGTTTCAGCAGCTCATCCACACAGTAAATGATTAAAACACAGCATCTATGATCACATTAGATTAAGTTTTTACGCTTGGTTTCATAATCCTCTAAAAACATATTGTTTTCTGTTAAAAACACAGACAATAGAACTGCCTACACTACTGCCTACACCGCTGAAATCAAGTATAATATTGTTAAAGTTTAGGAGATGTACTGTGTCCTATTAGAGATAAATGATTGCATATGAGGAGTATCATATAATAAAATCAATATATTCATTTATGGAGTTACACAATATTTCCTAAAGGATTAATTACTTTCCTTCATTGTACTTTCATAAAATCCTCTTTTCTTTTCGTCAGTCTGACTGAAGTAGACAACTAATATAGAAGCATCAAATAACAAGCTTAACACTCCCTTTCATGTGATTCTGACTGAGCCTAAAGCCTGAGTTAATACAGACAGGTGAAAAATCAGCGTCATAGTATCTGATTTCTTCACTTGGAACTCTGTTGAGCCAACTTACTCAAATAAACTTGAAACTGATGAGCTTTTAGACATGATACACCCCCCTCCTGTTCTGATGTTTCTCTGCTTCCTTTTGTTTCGATTTTTTCTGCACTAACTTCACAGGGTTTTTTTAACAGCTGCTTATTTTAAAACTAGAGCCATTTTTATTTCTATGGGTCATAAATTACTACTGCATATTTTCTTATTCTGTGACCACACTATTATTGCCTATTTAGTGACCACAGCACACTTATCAATCTAGCTAACAAAGACCTGTTTACTATAGAGGACAAAAAGAGACAGAGAAATATATAAATACATCTTTAAATAAATACTTTGATATTTCATCAACTAATTAAGATGGGAATTAAATAAATAAATGTGTCATTAAATGTGTCATTAATTTATTCAAATACTATTTCATTTAGCGTAAAAACATATACAATTATTTCACTATTTAATTAATTATTTCATGAACCTGTGTTGCATTGCTTCCTTATTTTTTTTTTAATCTATCAAACTCACCCATCAAAGTCAGTGGGCGGATCATAACACCTGATTGGTTACCTGGCACATCATGTAATTAATTAATTAATGACATATTTAAGTGTTTATTTAAAGATGTATTATTAAATTTCATTTTGTCTCTTTTCGTCCACCATAGTTTACAGTTATCAGTGCAATTCCTGTGTAACTTCTTGTTGCATAAAAAGCACACATGGATGCTGTAACTTCACCAAGCATCTTTACCCTATGAGCTGCAGAAAAAGTGTTTATGTAATCTACTGCACCTGAGAGGAGCTTAAAATACTACTTAAGGTATCACATAATTTTCATCAGTTAAGTGACATAAAATCACATCTTTAAGGTACATCAACTGGTTCACTCTCATTCTATTTGTAGCATTTAGAGAGATTAACTGTTGTCATGAGGTGATGTTTCATGGTTTTTGGTGTTTTTTTAGAAGAAAAAAAAAAGTATATATTTTTTTTTTAAATATACTCCATCATGATTGATTGAAGTAAATTCTGAATGTATAAAAAATAAAATATAATAATAAAGTAAAGAATACAACAACAAATGATCAAAAGTTATCCATGTTCAAAAAGGAGTGGGAAGAAGTCAAAACGTATCTAGTCCCACCCCTTCTCCTACACTAATGATTTACATATGTATCATAATATCATGTGTTCCTTTCACATTACAAGAACTTCTTGTTTAATACCAACACCTTTCCGTCTTGCAATATGAAAATATGAAACGTCAAAGTTCTCTGTCGTACCTTGGCTTTCTCTTGCTCATTGGCAAACTCGCCGCTCCACAGGATGCAATGCTCTGGAGTGACCAACAGGAAGCAGTCTCCGCTGTTTAGAGAGCGCACAGAGGGCTCCACCAGACGCACCTGGACATGCCGCCTACCTGTCCACGCAGACAGCATCTGATATAAAACCTGAGTGTCAAGATATCAGTGAAAGTACAGTGTGTAGAAGGGGAATTGTTTGGCGATAACTAGTGGTCAAATTTAAGATTGAAACCCCCATGATCTCCCCTCCCATCTGGGAAATGGTGACCTTTACAAGAAGCTCATGTGATGATGATAAGCATGATCCTCTATTTGTCTTGGTCCTTTAACCCATGAATTTCATAAAGCCACTAACTAAATACAGAAATGCTAGATAAACATGCTGGTGCAAGATGGCAACCTCCATGGAAGAGACCCACTCCTATGTTGATGTACAGCAACAGAGTCTTTGTCCATGATCAAAAACAAAGTGATTTTTATAGATAAGCAATAATAAACTGATTTACAGCTTCCTATAAATATTATATTCCATTATCACCAAGTTTGTTCTGCTATGCGCCGCTTAATTCTACACACTGTACCTTTAAATAAACCAAACCTTTTCTGACCTTTAATGTGAATGAGCATCAGGCTGCTGAAAGGAGGGTGAGATTTAGTTATCTCAGCATTCGAGGAAGAGGTGAAGTCTTCTGAGCGGTGTGAATCGGAGTTCTTTGACTCTGTGCAGAGGGAAAACAGACGCTGAGGAGATTGAACAGACAAAAGAGTAAAAAAAAGAGGAAACAGACGTCTTCAAAATATTCCCACTGACTGTTCTCTGCTTGCATCCTCTCCTCAGATGCTGTGTTGGCTCTCTCCCCCATGTAGTCCTGCCTGACGTCCTCTCGGGCTGCCAGAGCCCTCAGAGGGTTTCTGGAGCCCTGGGTCCGACGTGATGGACGTACAGACCGCCGGTGCTCTGCTACAGCTGAGGTCAGCCTGAAAACACAAATACAGACAGACAGACAGACAGACAGTGATGAGTGTTCATGAAGTTAATGATTAAAGAAGTTCTGCGCTAAAAATGAAACTTTTTTGTTTAATCTTGTTACAGCCACTGACAGGTTTATTTTTACCAAACATCTGAGCAAAATCAAACCAAAATATAAGCTCCTAATCAGAGGGAAGTCACAATGATAGCACAGACTGCTGAGGCTAAAACCTGGGCTAACAGAAGGCTCACATAGGTGTGCTGGTCTGACAGAGGATGTCCAGGTTCTGCTCGCCCTCCGACGTGGCGACCTCCCCACATGGCGGAGGTGCACAGGCAGACGGAGGCGACTGATCTCTGTAAAAACCATCAAAAGCATTTGATTCGTCCACGACTGTCTCCTCCTTCACTTCAGATGGAGATACTGAGGTTGGAGATGGAGCTGCTAAAGAGACAAAACAGTTGTAGTAAATGTAAAATTCTGCAGATTTAAACGCCTCATATCAGTGAGAATCTAACTATCATTACCTTCAAACTGCAGAGGAGACTGTGTCGAGATTTCTGTTAAGCAAAAACACCCACAGTTCAGAGAGGAGCATAAGTGTTTTCAGACATTTTTATAAATGGAAAAGTAGCTGCTCTGACCCTCATCTGTGCTTGTAGCAGTGACCGTGGAGTCGATGTTGATAAACTGTCCAGTCTTTTTCTCTTCCTTCTCGAGCTGAGGGGTTGTTTCTTTGGTCTTTACCATGTGATGATCATCCTCAGCTCCCTTAGCCTGCACAGAAGCAGATATAGAGATAAAGGAGTGCTCTTCACTAGATTCAGATACCACAAAAAGATCTAAAAGTAATACCGACCTGTGTCACCTTCTGTCTCCACAGAGGCTGGACTGGGTTCTTAGTGGGAGAGGAGACCTCCTGTGCCTCGAAGGAAAGACTTGTCTGAGTTGAACAGAAGGGCGACATGGATGATGAAGTAAAATGGAGGGTTAGTGTTTGAAAAAATGAGAGCAGACATGCATGAGGAGGAGAAAAGTAAGGTTCAACATGAAAGTTAAATAAAACCAGTTCAAAGGGGGAACAAACAGGGTTAAATCTTTGTTTGAAGACTGTTCTGCTGACTAAGACTGTCAGAGAATAGAACTGAGTGTTCAGTTGAAGAGGAGATGGAGATACACAGACTCTGATCTCACCTGTCTTTACCAATGCAATCTCAGGGTTTCTCTAATAAGTTAATAATAATGTACGCTTTGCCCAAAGTGGTAATTCTATATGCATGTTCAATACATCATTTGTATCAAAATCATAATTACCACAAGACTGACCATTTTCTCTAGGCTGGACGACAGTAACTCTCTCCTCCCTGGTTTAAATAAGAAATCACCGTCCCACCTTCAACTAGTTCAGAATGCAGCAGCTCGGCTTTTAACTGGTTTCAGAAGACGGCATCACATTACTCCAATTTTTGCCTCCCTTCACTGGCTTCCTGTCAGTTTTAGAATTGATTTTAAGATTTTATTGATTACTTTTAAAGTTTTTAAGGGACTTGCTCCGAGGCACATTTCAGAGCTTTTAATACCTTATGAGCCAACTCATAGCCTCAGATCCTCTGGTGAAGGCCTCCTGGTTGTTCCAAAGTCTCACAACCAAAGGTGATAGAGCTTTCGCCATCAGAGCTGATCGACTTTGGAATGACCTACCAGAGGAGATAAGGCGTGCAGAAACAGTCGTTTCTTTTAAGTCAAATTTAAAAACTCACTTTTACAGACTTGCTTTTTTGTGATGCCGTCTTTTATCTTTTATCTCTTTTACCTCCAGCTCATCTCCGCTTTACCATCTTTTTAGCTTTCGTTATAATTGAAATCTTTTCTTTTTTAGGCCTTTAATTGTTTTATCTCCTGCTCATTTTTGTTAGTCTATTAATCATTACTATTATTATCATTATTATGTTGTTATTATTTTATTATCATCATTAATATCGTCTTTTTATATTTACGATCCTGCTTCCTGCTTTCAACCCCCCTTTTTATTACATTTTCTTTTTCTTACCTATTTCATGTTTTAAGTTGGTCCTCATGGTTTCATTTTATGTTGCATGGTTTTTGTATTGTCTGGGCTCCATATGACATGAAAATGGCCTTCAATTCTGTTCTAACTGCTTTTTGTTTTTATTTGTTTTTATTTCTGCGTGCTTTATGACTATTTGTCAAAGCACTTTGTAAACTTCTGTTTTTATTTTGTATTATTATATTTATTATTATTGTTATTATTATTATTATGATTATTATTATTACAGTACTGTTCACTATACACTTATTGTATCAATCCTTTCCCCTTTTTAGGAATTTGCAGAAGACACTTGAATTTTCTGTAATAAAGCTGGTCTTCTTTACTTCTTCCTCCAACATTTTTGCAGTTATTCAAACTTTATACCCGGAGGTTTGAGTTTCAATTCAATAACTAAGAAACAACCAGAAACCACAAATGCAAAATACGGACAAGATTTAGAGAAATGCATGTAACAGATGCAGTGTGAAATGTGCTGTGATGGATCACGTCTAAAAAAAAAACGTGTTAGTAAATATTTACATGTGATCTGTGAATCTTTGCACAGCATAAACACTGCAACCAAAAAGCAGCGGTTAAACCTGCCATGCAGTGGCTCAGACTATTACCTGGTTGAAACACATGATATATTGGGGCGTACTGCTAGAAAAGACAGAGGCAAAGACGGGTTCCTGCGAGAGAAGGGGGGTTAGAAGAGAGAGAGGAGGGCTGAAGCAGTTGTAGAATTAGTAATGGAGATAAATAATGGGGAGAAATACTGGAGATGAATGGGTTTCAAGCATTAGTGAGGGACTCACCCAGCACTGAGGATTGACTTTCTCCACCTGAGCATGATCAGTCTCATTCTGTAGGGGGCAATGTGAGGTAAATAGGAAGACTGTTAATTCGAATACAAATAAATTACATCAAACTTGAAATTGTGACTGTCAACCAAACAGGTAAAAAAAATTCAAATGAATATACACGTGCTGTCACTGAGATACAGCTGAGGTCAAAGGTCAAAAAGGACAAAATCCACCAGTAAAATAACTGTCTGTTTACATTCCTCATGTTGTTCTGAGACAGTCCACGTCACCTCAGTAAATAAAAACAAATATGGATGTATTCCCCGTAACTCAAGTCTGATCTCAAAATATTTACCACCCAACAAGTCCAGAGAGCTGTTGCTAAGAGATACTGGATATCCAGTTTCTCAGGAATGACAAATACACCGATCCATCCATCACATCCCTCCTCTCCTCCTTGATTAAGACACAGCAGCAGAGCGAACCCAACCACCTGTCGACTGTAAATGTAGTCTTCCCGGGACCAGAGCACCACTTTTTGAGGGGATTCAGATGGAAATATATAATCTTTTTTAAAAGTCTATGCAGTATTTTAATATAGGTGGAGTTTTTTTCAAATTTTATAATTTTTTTGTCATTTTCTCAGGATGACAGAGGATTTTAAAAAGTGTAGAAACAAAGTCAAAAACATGTCACAACCTTTAATTTTATATGCAGCATAAGTGTGGACCTTGCCTTTACAATTACAGCGAGTTTGTTTGTGTTTATGTTAATGTTAATGTAAAGCAATAGAAACAGTAGCAGCAGAACACCATTCATGCCTATGACTGTAAGTTGAAGGCAGCACCTGGTTTCTGATAACTGAAAGGTAGAAACGATAACTTTTTTTGTTGATTTAAAATTTTAATGTCTTAATATTAACATCAAAACTCTAAAAGCAGTTTTTGTGGAGCCCCTGAAGTCACACAAAGCACCATTTTACATTCCTAGTCATGCCTTTTTGAAGCCCACGCTGCAAAACCAAGCTGTTTGAGAGCTGCTGCATGTGAAGCTCTATTACTCTGGACACTTTTCCTCTTTTTAATAGAAAGGACAATCTTCCTTGTGCATCTGTTTCAATCCAAAGCACAAAATTCTAATATAGATGAAAAATGGTTGCCTTGAAGAGTCAAACAGTGATTTATATTCCCTGAGTGCTGCTCTGCTAACCCTCCACTGACTGCTCAACTTTGTCCGTCTCTGCTGAAAGTCGAAAACTCAGTGGTTCTAAACTGAGCTCGAGATTACAGAGGGGTAAAGCTGTGACGATTAAGAAGAGCTGTCTCTTTACAAACAGAAGCAGCAGCTTTTCTGAAACTGTCATTCCCCCTCAGTTTGAATCAATGTAGTTTCTTACCTCACGTCTGCTGCTGTCTGTCGTTTCCTGCAGTATCACGGTGTTGTCCCCCGGTGTCACCTGAACATGTCCCACAGCTGCAGTGTCTTTATCCAACTTCTTGATGCTTTCCTCTTCTTTTTGATGCATTCTGTTAAAATATTAAAACATACTGGAAAGTTGAGAAAGAAGAGATATATCCAGCTGAATGTACGATAGGATAAGATATTCCTTTATTCGTCCCACAAAGGGAAGTTTCAAAATTTACAGCAGTGATAAATACAAAAGAGAAATTAAAGAATGAATGAAGAATGTAATGAGCTTAAAAAGCTCGAGTCCAGGTACTTACTGAACCCGGCCATTTGTCTCTGTGTTGTTTCCCACAGATGGAACCAGCTGCTCCTCCTGAGGACCGTCCTGCTCTGACAGCACTGTGATAGGTGCACAGGCGATAGTTTCCCTCCTGTTTCGAGCCCTCTGCCTCCAAGGAGCTGCAGACTCTCCGCCTGAAGCCGCTCGTCTCTCTCTCCGTGGTGGTATGGGGATTTCCTGCAGGTCTGTGCTCGCCACCCTCTCCTGTGTCTCTGTCTCATCACAGCCTCCACCGTTGTGTTCATGTCGAAGCGCTGCATCTGTTCGAAGGCCCTCTGTCCTGCAGCTCTTCTTCAAGATTCCTCTCAAGCCAGGTTCTGAGTCGTAGCGCTGCAGGCCCGGCTGAGTGGGGTCTGAAGGCATACGGCCGGCGTCTAGTCTTGGCTGAGAGAGGCGCAGCTCACTGGGCTTTAGGTTGACAGACGAGGCCTGCTGTCTGTCGTGTAGATGAGGGGATATAGTGAAGACAGGGAGCTGAACGGGGCCTTTCTGGAGCTAAATAATAAAAGACACAAAATCATTTAAAGAGGCACAGTGTCACCTCATCCAATCAGATCCAATCAGGGCTCATATTTTATAACCATCTGTCAAACACACTGATATTTTGAGTGTATCAAACATGTAAGCTGATTCATAGATTGTCTGTTTTGGCGTCGTCTTCCTCACCAGGCTGACCTCCTCCACAGTGATGGGCTGTGTGCGGTACCGAGCCCCCTTCTGTCTTCGTCTCTCCGGGGGCCCGTCAACAGGGCCACCCGACTGCCTCCCTGGTAGGGATAGTTTGTTGAAGAGGGCAAGCTTCTCACTCATGCTCAGCTTACAGCTCTCATCACCGTCCTCCTGAGACTCTGCCTGCACAGACTGGGACTCTACTGGCGGAGCTGGATTTGGGGCACTAAAGGGAAACATTTGAGTACATAAAACACCGATATCAACATACATCACATTTATTGACTTGCTTACAAAGACCAAAATCTTTATCCATCATCTGCTGACAGTAGTAGCTTATGGTGATTACTTGAGTGCTTTGTTCTTTTAAAAAATGAGCCGTATTTATGAAGATGTGCGTTTTGTATTTTTGAAAGCTATCATTAGATTCTCAAATCAAGCATCCCCACCTAATAGCCACCATTTCCTCACAGGTGATTGGCTGAGTCATAAAGCGATGGTCATTGCCACGCCGCACTCTGCGCTCATGACCCACACTGCCTTGGCGAGGCTTCAGAAAGGCTGAAGTCTCCGGGGTCGCAGACTTCTCCAGCTCCTAAAAAGGAGGCGAACAATGTGTTAATGACATGGGACAGTGGTCTCTCTTTTTTTTTCCACAGGTGAGACCCCGGCATTCAGGTCAGATCGCAGCCTTATTTAACAGCCTTAATAAGTAATAAAGGGGAGCACAAAAATGGCTGTGAAAAGTCCCTCTCCTGTTCTATTTGTATGGACAGATGGAGGGAGGAAGGGAGAGGGGGGAGGCAGGTCAGATGGCGGGTGAATAAAGCAGATAGAAATGGCAGCCCGACAGGTCAGAGTGAAACCAGAGCCCTGAAGGCTTCAGTTACCTCCGCCTGCCTCCGCGCAGCAGCAGGCTAATTATAACAGTGCTGCTGTGGTTGCTAATGGTTATACAGTAACTGCTATGTCTTCACCTGATGCTTCAAACTGTGCAAATGAAGCTGTTGAGGAGAAAACCCAGCATGTGATTTTAGCCCCTCAAGAGAAACAAAGACCAAACAGGCTGATTTAGACGAGTGTCACCAACACTTTATATAGAGTCCAAACAGACGCACTGAAGCATGGATCCAGGACAGCACCTGTTTCACCATTCATACCCCTCAACATGATTAGGTTTGTGTTCAGCAGGCTCAGCACTGCTTCATCATGGGACTGAAAGGTGAGCAGCTGAGGTGACTGAGCTTTAGCTGTTCAATATTTCCAAATGACTGATAATCATTAAATAGTATTAGTTTATCAGAGGCACAGGGCTCTATTGTTTTTTCATGGAAAGTAGCACAGTGCATATTCTGGTAAGACTTTAGACTCAAATCCAGATTTTGATCCCTCATATCTCTTCGTCCAATGAAAACTTTATGCTTAAATTTTGCATTTTTTGCTTTTCCTGATAAACTGATTGATGATAGTGTCAGAAGTCTATTTTTGGACAATACTTCTCATAACAAACCTACAATTTTGTGAATTTGTTTAGACTCACTCCAAAAGCCTTTACCACAACATGCATTTCTGCAGTTTGTGTCTTTCTTATATTCCTATATTGTTTTGGCTCACTAGGAAAAAGCTGCTGTAACACCATAATTTCCAAGTTTGTGATCAATAAAGCAATTCTGATTCTGATTTGTTTTGGTCCAACTCCATGTTTAGGCACTTTGTATAACTTTTATTGTATCTTTTATGTGCAGGTTGCGGCCCAATGTGGACTTCATCTGCAAAAAGGTTTCTTGGTTGGAAACAATCTCCTTGATAGTTTAGGTTAAAATTATAAGTGTGTGAACTATTTGATGACAAAATATGAGAAAATATTTTACACTGGTATTCATACTCAAGATGATAAAAAGGCAAATATCCTGTAGCAGAAATCGGGAATGAAAACGGATAAAACAAGAGAGGAGAAGGCCCCGGGCTCAAAATGGATCAGGAAAGAGGGTAACAAAACCCACCTACTTATTAATACTACAGGGGGCTTACACCGCCTTTATTATAGCACTGAGATCAGGTTTGAATGCAGTGAGTCCTGTGTTGTTGGTAGTTGCCAGGCTCTGAGAAAAACAGAACGCAAACTTTGTCGTCTCTAAAACAGTAATGCCAACTTCTTGGAAACTTTAGGAGATAAGATAGTTGTTAATAAATAATTGTTAGGGTTACATAATTGACTCTTACTTTTAGAGTTTAGAAAAAAAAAAACACATTTCTTCAAGAGCATAAAAAAAAAAGTTTTTAAGCTCACCAAATGTGACATTTATATATATATATATTTTTTTTTTTTGTAGGACATCAACTCCAGGCAATATGCAGCGTAGTTAAATGGCTTAACTTTGATGCTTTAAGTGCTTTGACATTATATTTCATCTTACTTCCTTCAGGAGTCAGTTCAGTAAAATTCTCATCAGTATCAATTTGGGAACACCCACAGACTTACTTCTACAGTTTGGATCATTTTTAGCATCAGGCACTGGGACAGACGGCACACAACAGAGTGAAGAATCAGGTCATGAACAGCAGTAAGGATCCAGTTTCAGTGCCAAGACCAACATAGACTCACTTTGAACAAAGACATCTTGGCTGCCACACTCATTTTGGCTCTGTCATCTGTTTTCACGTCAGCTGTGAAATAAAAAAACGTAATTATTTATTATGTCAGCAGGGAGAGCAAATAAACATAACAGTTTCTGCTAAATTTATCATCAAAGACAAGAAATATTTTACTTTGGTTCAGTCGTCCTGAAAGATAACATGAGGATTTTACATTAATAACAGGACACATGATGAACTTATGAAACAATAATTCAAAAGCAGTATCAGTGATACTTTGGACGTGTGTTGTAGGTAATTCCCTAAAGCTTTACAAGTGAACTACTTAAACAAAAATTCAATAATATCCAATATTCTTAGAAAGGAGGGATTAGAGAGGGGTGCAAAAAATAGCTTTTAGTCAGAATTATTGGGGCAAATCATCTGACAGTCTTCTCTGTGTAGAGGATATAAAGTCTAATCCACATTTAAAGAGGTAAACTAGACCAGAAAGATGCAAACAGTGAGCGAAAAAGTGGCCAGTGGCATGCAACGCAATATACTAATGTGCTTTATGTGTGTATTGTTGTTTTATACCTTTGTGATAGCATGAAAGTGACTTGGCCTTCGCTGATGGATAAATATTAATAGTGATTGATAACTGGTAAAACACGATCTTGTGTCATCACATACAGCACATAAATGTGCTTGTGTCAACCATCTACTGATAACTCCTCAGTGACAGCATCAGGTCATCCGTGCAAAGTGTGTTGTAAAGGTCAAAATTGACAGAATGACATGTCATCGGCCACTTTCAATCTCAACACTGTCAAACACAGTGATGCTTCAGTATTAAAAATGAATTACTAAAGCGCCAGTAGGATTTTAAGGATGGAGCTTTAATTGACATAAATACGATGTAATGATGCTTAAAATATCGTCAGATCTTTACAGGATCTCCACCAGGCTTATTGAAATGATGTCACTGTATAAGGATCTCCTAATTGGTTTATCTGTGCTGCAGGCACAGATAAACAAAACCAGGAGACGCCCACCATCGGGGCACAGATGTACCAACACACTGCTCTGCTCCTCAGGTTTCTGTCCAGCAAGCACAGAGAGAAAGAAAGTATCCAATTATGACACTTTATGTGCTTTTTGACCTTAAACTTTTAGATCGAGGGACTCAAAGGGTTCCTGTGACACACTTTGGTCTTTGTTTCACCAGGGCTAAAAGCACTGGTTAAATAATGCAAATCAGGCCAAGAGGTCCTAGATGCTGGGGAAAGTTCCTGTGGTCAAAAAGCGCCTGATGACTGAGAGCGTCTCTTTAATGACAGGCTGAGCGATCTCACATGGTATTAACCTGATTTCTCTGGTTTTTAGAAGATGCACCACCAGACTTGGGCTTTAACAGGTCGTATTTAAGACTAATCATGCTTCGATACTTCTGACCTGAACCCATAACTTGGGTTGTAACAAATTCTGGTGCCTCTAAAACACCATCAAATCTACAGACTTACATCCTTTTCTGCACAGTTGTGATGTGAATTCCTGAAAGTCGATCTGCTTGTAATCTTTTTATGGTGAGGTTAAGAGGTGAACTACTCCAGCAACTTAAAGCTGTCATCACAGAAAGGATCAGACATTATGAGCTGCAAATTATAACTTGGTTGATTTCATGAGCTATCAAGTAAGTAACTCTGCAAGTTGGAACCATATAGTTGTATTAGAAGTAGGGCTGGGTGATAAAATGATAATTATATATCAAAAATTATTTTCCCTTAATTTCAATATGAAACATGTTCAATATGCATTTTTATTATCGGCATTCTGCCATGTTTTGGTGGACTACATGAATAGCCAATGAAAAGGGGAGTTGCTCCAGGTCCACTTCACGCTGAACCAATCATGTGCTGAATTAGAACTTAGTAGCAAACAACTGCGTAGTAGCAAACTGCAGCTACATGCAACCATAGCAATTTAACACGTGAAGCCAACAGCACTGTCAATGAGAAAAAAGAAAATGAGTGCTACCCCCGGCAGAAATGCAGACTAAGGCTCAACAGATGACGACATTGTCGACAACATTGGCATGAAAACGTCGGTGATGTGGAGGTATTTTGTTTTGTTTGAGGTCGGACATGAGGCAGAGTAATGTGCGCTGCAAATTATGCTGAGTATATGTTCTCGCAAAGTCAGTATACGTCAAATCTCATTTACCACCTGAAGCAGTGCCACACGGCAGAGCACACGCAATGCAAAAGTTTACAACCCCGAGCGGAGCAAGGAGCCCATGGCGCCTGTGCAGACGAAATAGCCGACCATTCAGTCCGCTTTCTCTAGCACAACGCCTTATGACAAAACATCTTAGAGACACAAAGACCTCACAGATGCAGTAGCTTATTGTATTACAAAAGACATGCTACCAATAAGCACTGTTAAATTTCATTTAAGAGTAACAGAACATTCAAGATTGACAAGTGATTTTCTTATATCGTGATATATCTTTAACAACTGATATGAAAAAAATATATTGTGATAAACTTTTTCCCATATCGCCCAGTCCTAATTGGAAGCATTTTTTGCCACTGTTTACGTTCTCTCTGTAGCCCTTTAATATCTTTCATACAATATGAGGTTGAGCTTTTATTTTAATAAAGTTTACCTTTAAAGTTGTCTTCTTCCTCTGCCTCCACCAGCCTAAAAGAAAGAACAGAGGCAAAGCATGAGATCAGCGAGTGAAACACTAACAGGGAGGTGATGTCAGCTTGAATCCTTGGCCGCTGTGTGTTCTCTTTCAGATCCTGTGATGAGCTCACAGTTCATGCCTTTGTGCTTCAAGCCATCAAGATACTGTGACATATTTGCATGCTGGGCAAAGATCATAAAGGAGGTTCAACACATGCAGACCAAAGCAGCCATGAAGGTCTGACTTTATCTTTTATGAGGACAGTGCACAGGCCTTACCCGCTGCTTTCCTCCATCTCATTGGCTGTGATCGGCTGTGTCCTGAAGCGCTCGCTGGTCTTGCGGCCACCACCTGTTCCACCAGGAAGGTATCGTCGGGTACGTCTCCAGCCTCCATCAGAGGCCAGATCCAGAGAGGAGGTGGTGCGTCCATCATCAGGAAAGCTAGAGAAGAGGAGGAAGACAGGAACGCAGATATTAGAGTCAGGAAAGATATGATCAGAGAGCTACAGAGCTGGATCACACACACATGCAGGTGATCATACACTTTCTCAGGCTGCACTCCGCTCTCCGTCTGCTGCAGGAGGGAACTCCTCAATCGGCCCACAGACACCCGAGTGTGGAGCTGCGGGGCATCGGGTCCGAGAGGGACGGGGCACCCCTCCCCACTCAGCATGCTGGCAGAGTGTTGGGGACCCTGCCTGGAGGGGGAGGGAGGTGAGGTAGCGGGAGGTAAAGGAACGGGAAAAAAGATGTTGAACCTTTCTATCCAGGGCAGCTAAGTAAGTGTGTAGCTCTGATTTACAGCGTCTGTGCGTTTCCAGGAGAAACAACATCAAGAGCATGAGAGTCAGACTGAATCCCTGCTGGAGGCCACAGAAGACTGCAGAGCTATTGATCAAGTCAATGATCTGATAACAAGGTTTTATAAGAATCCTGATGAGTGATAATAAGCACTCATGACAGCTTACAGCACTGTTTATGAAGTGTTATAATCACTGAGCATGGTGCATTTTGATAATGCTCTCTGTAATGGCCTCTTTAGGCATAAGGCTTTATAAATTATTATGCATAATAAAAGGGGGTTCATATAAAGTGTACCTAGGGCTGGGTGATATGGAAAAAGTTTATCACAATATTTTTTTTTCAATATCAGTTGAAATCGATATATATCACGATATAAAAAAATCACTTGTCAATCTTAAATTTTCCCTGTTATTCTTTAATGAAATTTAACAGTTTAACTATTGTCTTTTTCAATACAATAAGCTGGCACTGCCGCGTGGCACTGCTTCAGGTGGTGAAAAAGATTTGAGGTATTCCCCGACTTTGCGAGAACATGTACTCGACATAATTTGCAGTGCACATTACCATTACAAAATACCTCCACACCACCGACGTTTAAATACCAGTGTTGTTGACGATGTCATCATCTGTTAAGCCTTCATCTACATCTTTGCGGTCTTTGGGGTAATGCTCATTTTCTTTTTTTGTCAACGACAGTGCTGTCAGCTTCACATGTTAAAGTGTTATGGTTGCATGTAGCTGCAGCCTGCTACTACGCAGTTGTTTCCTACTTGGTACTAATTCAGCACATGATTAGTTAAGCGCGAAGCAGACCCAGAGCAACTCCCCTTTTCATTGTCTATTCATATAGTCTACCAAAACATGGCAGAATGCCGACTATCAAAGAGCATACTGACTTTTTTTTCATATCGATATCAACGGAAATTAATTTTAGATGTATATCATTATCGTTTTATCAACCAGCCCTAACTGTAACCCTATTTCTTCTCAACACCTACAGTTTGTATCACTGCTACTTTGGAAAGAGTTGAAGCAAAGACAGGTGTCACTGAGTCTGGGCAGAGGGCATGTTGCTTTTTATGTTTGGATAAATTAAGCTCAAGGACATATTCTGGACCCACAGACTGTGTCTGTGTCCTAAGGGGCTCACCAAAAGACTCTTGGAGTTTAAAATGCAGATTTTGTGTTGTTGCCGTGTTCTCATATTTTGCGGACAGAGACTCTTATCTCTGTCTGAAACTGCAGAGGAGTTCATATATCATTTTGGGATTTGAAGCGGCTCCATGTGAAGCCTGTGATTTCTGCATGACTCTACTGTCACAGGTTCACATCACTGCAGACATGACTCACCTTCTCACGTGGTTAGACTCAGTGTTGTCCACTTCCAGTCCATTTGTAACCCCTCGCGTCCTGCCGTTCATTCGCTCACTGAGCCCATCTGAGTTCAGAGTCCCTCTGTGGGCTCGGCTACCCAGATCAGGCACCTCCTTCCCATCTCTTCTAACCCATTTGGAAGGAAGCTCCTCCAGGTTACCGAAGCGCTCCGCCAGTTCTCGCCTCCTCTCGGCTTTATAGCGGGCAATACGCTCTGATCTGGGCTCCAGGCTTGGGTTCTCTGTGGCGTCCATTCTCCCTCAGAAGAGTACAGTTGGATCTCCTCGGGACCAAACGGCAGAGATGTTGTTCTTCTACCACTTTTAAGACAAAACACTTGGGCCAAACTTTCTCTCAGAGAACTTGAGATCCATCGGACCTGGAGTCTTAACCTGCGGACAGCTTTCAGTTATGGCTGAATGATGAGTCCTTCAGTGGGTGAGACATCACTGCTGAAAGAGGAAGAAACAAAAAGGAAAGAAACATAGATTAACGTCAGTGATTAGGTCCTGCCTTCATTATAGAGCTTAGTAATCCATCTCAAAGTGCATCCTTCATTCCAGTCCCCTCTCTCCTCCTGTTTGAGTTCATGTAAGATGACCCTCACCAGCCTGCAGTGCCATGCAGGAATCTCTCCTTGCACTGAAACATAACACCTCACCTAGATCCTCTCCGGATCCAGGTCTAGGTGGCACAGAATTTGCAGACCTGCTGCTCTTTTTTGCTGTCACAGGTTTCTTATTCAAATGCTGTTCAACAAACTTTTATTCATCCAATTAGAGACACAATTAAAAAAGGTTTGGTTTCTAATTTTGACCTGGACTCATAAATAAACCAAATGAGTCCCAGTTGGTTCAATGGTTGCCTAGATGTGAACAAAACAGCACAAACAATGATAGAGCAGTGAGACCATGTATAAATATAGATCTGATATGACACAATTTGCACCTAAAGACAGCAGGTGGCGATCAGTGACGTTCACAAATGACTGACTGTGAACTGACAAATACGTACAAACATAGATGAGTGTTTGCACGTGTGTCTGTGTGCCGTCCAAAATTGTGGCTGTCAGCATTCCTACTGCAGGAAGCACAATGGAGGCAGAACAAAGAGACATGAGCTGAGGACTTAGTGCAGCAGAGAGATCTGCTGCAGGGCTGAAAGCTGCTGATGGCAACAGAGGTCACAAAGTAAAAGATGCAACTTTTTAGAAAAAAAAGTGGTTCTGCCAATTTTTCTGTTCTCAAAGGCTGATAGAAACACAAAGATTTACAATGAGATTGAACTTCTAGACAAACATGCTCTAATAACAGCACTTTGACAGGCATGTGTAGAGAGGAGCTCAGAAATACTGATGTCTCTGAGGGCACTGAAAAGCATAACATTTAGATTCAGTGATCCCTGACAAGAGGCAACAGGCTCAACAACAGGCTTCAGTGTTTGCACACCAAAACACATAGGCCTACATTTGCTTTAAACACAAACATTCAGCCACCCGGAGCAGAATTCATCACTCTGTCCAGACCCAAAGAGTGAGCATCCCCAGTCTCGCTGACGCCATGCTATTTTCTGTTTTTGCTGGGGGAACATGAGGAAGAGCAGGGAGCCGCCGCACTTGTTTAAAGAGCAAAAAAAAATCATGTGACAAGCTGGAGGATTTGTCAATCAGAGGAGAGAATGCCATCCAGGCTCAACATGGATCATGGGCTTCAAATCCAGCAACAAGTAGTTAACACCTGCTTGGATATAAAGTTGCTGGATGAGCACACAGGAGTCTTTCTTTACCCATATAGGAAAGGAAACCTCATGAATTCAAATAAAAATGTTTAGAGGGTTTAACAGGAGGCCTTTTATGCTGAGCTGAGGATCATAACTGAAATCCCACACTGCATATTTACCTGTGTGGGCTTCCCACTAGTTCTCTGTAGACCATACCAGGCTTGTGATACGCCTGCCATAAGGTCTATACTGGTTGGTCGACCTCCTTCAGTTTTAAACACAATAAATAAGTGGCATATATGACTGCATCACACATGCATATGCAGGTTAAGCAACCATACACCTCCAACCAAAAGGACAGGGATGAATATGAGAAATTGACATGAGAAGCTGCAGACACTGCTTTGCATACATCTGATAGCTACATTTACAGCACATGACTACAGAGATTCCTCTGTAATGCAACCTATATGATCCATTTACTAGGGATGTAGCACATTAACAGCTACTCAAATGGCATTTTAAACATTGCACATATACGGCAAGATTAAATTCATATTAGATTGAGCACAGATGAAGAGCGGTCGCTATAATTCCCTTTATTTGAAGGCACTGTCTTATTGAGGAAGAAGAAACACATTCAAAAGTACTTAGTAATGGGCTGATCTTTAAATATATTAATGTAAACATAAATTAATAAGTAATCAAATTCATATTATATTTTCAGTCAGAATCAAAACGCATTGTTTGACATTTAAGCTTTTTTGTTTTTTTTACGCATAATTCGTGCGTAATCTGTGCGTAAAACCTGCTGTTGCATCCAAAGTCCTACAAGCTTCGGAGAATTTTTCGACGACACTACATGGAAGCCTTTGCAGCGTAACTTAACACCATGACCTCTATATCTAACATGCAGTTGGTTAGACAAAACTTCGAATGAGTACGAAAGATAAAAGTATATTCATGACCTTGTGGCAGCTAGTCGACGCTCAATTTATTTATTTTACAGCAAATTTAAAGCAATGAAAGTAGAATAGAGTCAAATGTGTACTTACTGCACGCCGTGGAAAGTGGACACACGAGTCACCTCAGCCCTGCCCCGGACCGCCGGTCCCTCCCCACGCGGGTTGTCGCTCCAAATGTAGCCACAGCGGCAGCTGTAGACGGCGCTCCGTATTAAGCCGGGAGTATAAATAGCAGGACAAGCCGTGGGGAGCCCCATACTATGTCCAGGACGCAGCAGAGAGACGCTCTTGAGCTTTACCTGCGGGCTCATGAGCTTTATACACGACACAAGAGCTTGAAGTTCACCTCAAATTGGACACGCTTTAGTTTTGTTTGTCAAGTTTGCACTACAAAATTATTGATTTATACCATCTGCCATGGCAAAAAAAAAAACAAGGAAACTGAATGGAGTTCATTCCTGGACAAAATAAGTGCTGAATAAAATAACCACAAAATAATATGCATGAAAACCTGAGAATGTTTGCTGTACTGGGTAACTGCTGTTTCTGAAACTCTGAGCATTAAAACTCCACTGCTGCAGCACTGGGAAATTACGTCATGAAATTTGCATTTTATACATGTGTCAAAACTTTAAGGTAAATGAAATGATAACTTGACGTTTCATCGCAAGAAAATGACCAAAAGTTAAATTTGAAGCGTGAATCATGAACGTGAACGTTGGACTGACGCGCGTGACTGCGCCTACATTTCTTTAATCTTATTTTCAATTTTAAAATCAAAATGTTGAGAAAAATTATGAGTCTCTCCACTGCCGAAAGAGTAAAGACGAGCGTAAAATATTTCGAGAGAGGACGAACTGAACATTCAAAAAAGGAAGGAGAATACTGATCGATTGATTGTGGCAGGTGTTTGGCAGCACCACCCTCTGCTGTTTAGTCTTTGCAAGTGCAGAGAAAAAACTAAATATTCAGACGCAGACATGTTTGACAGATACTTGTTTATAGAAAAAATTCATCACAGAACAGTTTAACATGAGTAGAAAAATATTTCTTATAATCTGTAAATACAAACAAAAATACAGGTGCACCATAAAAGTCCTTGCAAACATAAAAAAAAATAAATCATTTCCTCCCAAGGATATCAAGAACTGAAAACTTATATCAAAACAAACTCTAAGGTGCCCATCACATCATAGTGTCATTCAGACTAAAACAAAGTCCATTATTCAGAAAAGTAACTTGCAGCAGCAACAACAAAGCAAAATTGTATTTTCACACATCAAACATTAACAAAACAAAAAAAAAACATAAAAAATATACCGCTTCACTGCTGTCATTTCTTCATGTTTATGTTCCATGTTTATGTTCATCCCTCAGAACTGATCGGTATGTAATGATGCTGATGAAAAGATGTTAAAATCTGCTTTTCTAAACTTTGATGGGGTTTCTACTTCCTGAATGTTAAGCTTAGAGTATGACAGAGGCTGAGGAGAAAGCGGTGGGAGAAGCTTTTCTTCTTCCAGTGCAGCTTTTGAGTGAAATCTTTAGTGCTCCTTGAAGAAAGGATGAGCCAGGGCTTTGGCGGCAGAGATTCGACTGCTTGGTCTGAATGCCAAACATTGCTGCAGAGAAAAACATTCACAGTTTACCTGAACAGTTTGAAGGAAATGAAAGCTGAAGTCTCAGTGCGGCTGCTATGATCTTTTAGGATTTCATCTGATTTAGCTTCTGTAAAGGCTTTAGTACCAAACTGCACACCCTGCATGAGTCTCTGCATGTTTCTGCAGACTATCCTGCTTGACTCACTCAGAGTTCACTTTAGACTCACAGGTTTCATCATTTAGCGAAACATCCTGTTTCCAGACAGTCATGATAGAGTGTCCCATCTTCATTTTTACACCACCCTCACGCACTAATGGACTTAATGTTGTTTGAGCCTGTGAAGGTTCAGTTTAGGCTCAAGAGTGGAGTTTCAGATTGGGTTAGATTAGGGGTGCACCAATACGATATTGATATCAGATATCGGTCTGATATCAGCAAAAAGAAAAACAAATATCGAATTATACAAGCTTGCATCTAAAATCTCTGATATCAGCATTCTAGTACAAGCAGTATCAGAGTACCATTCCAGACTCCGCTCCAGCACTTGTATCTAGCAGCACCCGGATCCAGCATGTAGAGCCCATTTAATCACAACAACAGTGTGTACTAAGGTACTAACAAAGTAGCAAGGACTAGGAGTGATGTCGGCCTTGTGGTGGTATTTTTTGTTTAAATCCAAAAAAGACATTGCAGCTGAGTGCAATACTTGTCATTCACAATTCTATGCCAATATCAGATCAATTTCGGGATCGGCCAATATTGACGTCTACAATATCGGTATTGTAACAGAAGTAAAAAAGTTGCATCGGGACACCTCTAGCCATGATTTCCCTTAGCTGCAAGTATTATTTGGTTTTGTGACTGTGGGCATGTTAGGAGACTATTCATAGAGAGCAGTTTAATGATTCAATCATATTTTTATGTTTTGTTTTGTTTTTGCACCGATAACAATGACTTAAAAATGCTGCCCAACGTTTCCAAATGAATATTATGTTAAAAAAAAAAAAAAAAAAGGTAAAAACAGAATAAATAGATCGGCTCACAGATAGCAGGTTGTTCTCCTCTGGTCCCAGGTTGTTAAGCAGCTTAATGCTGGAGATTTTTGGTCCCCAGTTGACAGAATATGAGATGGGGCTGTCTGCGGGCCAGTCCTCCTTGTCTGGCAAACCGATCACTCTGACAGACAGAGTAGAGCAAAGACTAATAAAGGAAAACAGCTGCTGATGACTGATACTTTCACTATTTTTAATGCAAAATAAAACACTGGGGTTCATTTCCTCAAGATTGAAATTCTCGACACACATAAAGAACAGAAAAACTCACTCAAAGATCTTTTGCAGCTGTTGCACCTCTGTGAAGCCCTTAAACAGCGGCCTGTGAGAGAACAAATACCTCATGGTGACTTTGTCTTTAATGTGAGAGCTGTAGAGAGTTACTGAAATAAAGAGCTGCATATCTCATCCAGCCAGACAACACTCAAGCTCTCTTCACCTCAAGAGGAAGAGCTCAGCAAAAATGCAGCCGGCGCTCCACATGTCCACTGAGGACATGTAAACAGAGTTGAGCAGCACCTCAGGAGCTCTGTACCACAGCGTCACCACCTGGACACGGACAGAAACGCAGGCACAATATGAATACACATGTATGCAACTATTTTACAGTCTGTACTCGTCATTCATCTCTTTAAAGCTCATCTTTTCTTATCATTTAACAGTGTGTGTGACCTCACTCACACATGGAGTCAGAGCGATATTGAAGGTGTAGATGCGTGCCAGTCCAAAGTCTGCAATCTTGACTTCTCCCCGACTGTTGACCAGGATATTATCTGGTTTCAGGTCCCGGTGCAGCACCATATTTGAGTGGAGGTAGTCTAATCCTTGCAGCAGCTGTTGTGTCATATCCTGCATACACAGAGAGGAAACATCACAGAACGTTCAATTGTCTCTTAACATCCCAGAGTACTGATAGTCTTATGTATGTCAGCTTTAGTTGATCAGGATACACGATGCCTCTATCGAGCCAGAATCTGTGCTTCTTTCTGGTGCATTCAAGGGTTCCCTCAAACATATTCAACTCTAGGATAAAACTCAACTCTTGAGCGGCAGTAGCTCAAGAGGTACAGTGGTTGTCCAATAACTGGAAAGTTGGTGGTTCAATTCCCCCCTATCCCGAGTCTGTCCGTTGTGTCCTTGGTCAAGACACTTAACCCACCTTGCTCCCAGTGTGAGTCCTCCACTGGTGTATGATTGTGAGTGTTTTGTGGTGGTGGTGGTCGGAGAGGCCGTAGGCGCAAACTGGCAGCCACGTTTCCGTCAGTCTGCCCCAAGGCAGCTGTGACTACTAACGCAGTTTACCACCACCAAGGTGTGACTGTGTGAGCGAATGAATGATGTATCCAATGTAAAGCGCTTTGAGGGTCTCTGATAAAGTGCTATATGAAATCTGATGCATTATTATAAAAGCAGCATTCTCTTTTTACCAAACTATAGTTAAAGTTGTTCACAAAAAAACAATAAATCTAATAATTCAACCAAAATATAAGTTGTGATGGCCATGAGCAGAAAAAAAAAAAGAATATATCTCGGAGGAATCGGTGGGGTAGACATGCCATTGTGTCAACATTCATATACCTTTCTCTCCAGATATGTGAGGTTAACTCAAAGTACACTAGGAGAGGTCAGGAGATGGGGTCACACCTTGATGCAGTCACGGCTCAATCCAGAGGCAGGAACCTTGTCCAGGTAGGTGGACAGGTCCTGGTCGATGTATTCCAGGATCAGAGTGAGGTTTAGGTTCCTGCCATCGGTTACAGCTGACGCCTCCAGAAGCCTAGTGGATTACATCAGCAGGGCACAGTAACATGAAAATATGTCTCTCAATACATATTATATGAATAATGATATGTATGTACATGAAAATAACATGAAATCTACTTATTTTTCTGCTGTATTTCTTTTAACTTTGTTTTACGTAAACTGAATCAACAACTTTTAACCTTAATTCGACATTTAAACTTCGAAACCATTTGTGCATGATCTTTGCATAAGATTACACCAAGTTTGGGCCGGATGCATCGAAGAAAACAAAATCGATGAATCACAGAGTTTGTAAACTTACTTGACAATGTTAGGATGGTCGAAGTAATTCATTTTGCGCAGCAGCGCCACCTCTCGGATCATGAAGGCAGGGATCCCTTCCCCTGCTGTGTGTGCGTGAATGTTGATTTTCTTCACCGCCAGGAGGCGCTCTTTCCCATCAACTTCTCTGGCTTTATAGACAGTCCCATAGGTGCCCCTTCCAACCTCTGTCAGGAGCTCGTAAGACAAGGGTTTAGTGCTCACGTCCATGGTCTGATGAGGAAAAGTACCATGAATGAGCCATTAATGAACCAAACAAATCTCTCTAAGGGTGACAGTAATCAAATATGTGGCCTCCCATCTGTCATCATATATTTTAATGAAAGAAATTAAGCTAGCTCACGAGCCCTGATTTACATTAGAGATGTGCAGGTTACAGGTGTTTTCTACCTGTTATCATAGACTCCAGCTGTGCAAACATTTTCATTAAATGCTGATTTTGGTCTTTGTGGTCTTATTCGTACAATTTCTGGTGTTTTTTACTTTACCTTAGATTGAAGTGCAAAATGTCATCTCCATACCGCCGCCAGCAGGACATGTGCTGAATCCCTTCAACATTAGAAAACTGTAGAAATCACCACCCCCTTTATGAATCCACTAATCAGAGAGCTCGAGAGGTCCAAACGGCTGTACACGTGCTCCTCTCTGCCGTCACTGTCAACTCGTGCTGCGTTCAAGTCTCTGAGTTTCTCTGATGTGTGCGAACATAAACAATTCAACTAAATAAACCAACATTAAAGTAGCGTTTAGGAAAACTATAATGGTTTGTTTTAATAATTATATCATGATAAAAGGAAAGACAGGATGTAAATGTACAGACTTGAAAACAAAGCTTTTTACACAGGTCGAGTTTACTATTTCAATTATACTGTCAATAATGAATAATGTCAGAATATTTTAGATTTGAATACAATAGTTATTGCCACTATTGACATTCAGTTTGGGGAATAAATTAAGGAGGCAAAATATATATGAACACAATTTAAAATTTTTATCCATGAATTAGACACAAAAACACTCAAACAAGTTTATTGTTTATGCCCTTTAATATTAAAGGGAGTCCCCTTTGTAAACCTGTTACAAACTGCAACTCAAATATACAACAGGCACTTAATTCCAAAAATATTTTAGAACAACATAAAACACACAAAGCTGCACAAAATTCAACTTAGTCAATGGTTTGGGAAAATATCTGCAGCCACAGCTGAGGTAATATTAGGTATGATTAGTGCAGGTAAAATGCTGAAGCTCAACCGTTAGACATGTCACTTTCCATGTCTCACATTAGCGATAATTTATCAAAACCTTCGAGTTCAAACAGGTATGTTTGAAAGTATCCATGTTTTCATCAGTGTAATTACAGTGTAGTGTTATTGGTTTTTGAGGAAAAAAATCTCTTCATTTTCAACGAGAACTTTTTAGCAAAACTTGGAAGTTTCTGCACACAGGATTATTGAAGTGTCAGATAAAAGCTTGTGTAATGATAAATTACAGTATTTAACGGTCACTCTTGCATAACTGGTATTTATTCGTCTTTCAGTTTGGCATTAATGAATTTGATTTTCTTGGCCAAGCCGATGGCGTCCAGGTGGAGGTTACGGTTGAGAATGACAGAGCCGCAGGTGAGAGCTCCGGCAAGAGCTCCGGCAAAGCCACAGAGAAACACATCCTGACCTGTAACACAAAGAAAGAGTGGACTCTGAAGCCTTCTGGGGAATAACAGCTGATTTCACAATGATGTTTTACTGCACAAAGAGACTCACCTGTGAGGTAGAGGTTCTTCAGGGGAGTCTGAGGTCTTACTGTCATGCAGACCTCAGGGTCAAAGCGGGCTATGCCGTGATCAGCTCCATAGATTTCACCTTTTGGGGCTCCGATGTAGTACGTGTTAGTGAGTGGAGTTCCAGCATCAATGTACTCAACCTACATAAGTATATACATACAAAAAAAGTGTCAAGATGCATGAAATTTTACAATCAATATGCAATGACGATGATTAATACCACATAATCAGAGATAAAATTATGTTTGATGACCTTGAACAATGGTAGTAGGACATACATAGATACAGCATCCTTTAAACAGTCTTAACTAACCTCCAGAGGTTAACAAAAAATCATGTGAAATCAAACCATTATTCACTTGAATTCATGTTAGATATTCAAAATAAAACCCTAATTCCAGCACCTATAGAGTATCAAAAGTACAGAATAGGAGGACATTTTATGGCCATAAAACAAATCTCAGGTGAAGATGCTGTGTTTGGTTAATGAACAGAACATCAGGAGTAAAGATAGGTAACTCTGACTGACTCTCAGCAGTGAATAAGTGAATGTTCAAGTTGAAACTAAATGCTGTTTTATCTCTATCTGTCCTTGTAAATGGTATGAAAACAGCCTGCAGTGTTTGCTGGAGTCTTCAGAACCCTGCACAACTGCATTTTTCTTAAAGCCCCCGGCGTTGACATGTGAGGCGTACAGTTACATAGCTGCTAGCCTGATAAACTTGAGGTGATCTCAGGCCCCCTTTCTGGCCTCTGACTTCACTTGTATTAAAGAAAAATAAAATAAAAACTTGGTGAAAATAACAGTTAAAACTATATGTGCGGAGGATCATATGAGCTAGAATATATTTCACTGTTTTGCTTGACATGAATATTCAACTGCATTTTTTTCCAGCCTAGGAATTACAATATATGTAAACAGTGGTAGAAAACAGAAGCAGAATAGACACATCACCTTATCTCTGGTTATCTTGGGGAAGTTTTCCAAGACGACATCCAGGGCTGTGTTGATGAAAGTCTGTTTCAGGTCTTTGTAATCCTCCCCTCTGTTGGTCACTTTTCCATCCTTCCACTCTTCAAACCAAGTGTAGTTGGCGAAACTGACAAGGCTCAGGGTGGACTTTCCTGAAGTGGAGAAACAAAATTAAGAAAATTCCTATGACTCTTATATCAGCCCAGTTTCACTGTAAAGACATGTTTAAAAAAAAAAAAAAGAGTTTGTGTACCTGGTGATCTCTCTTCCCAGGTTGGATCTTTGGCAGAAGGAGAAGCAACAAACAGCAGCGGGATGCTTTTGGCAGATTCCTCTCTGGTTCCGTTCATGTAGTTCTCCACTCTGTAAGAGGAAACAGGTACATCAGGTGAATAACATTCTGATTTTTCTCCAAATTAAGATCAACCCATCTGACACAGATAACATACAGCTCATCAAAGTTGGTCTCAGTGAAGATCCAGTAGTTATCTGCTTTCAGGCCCAGCTCCTCCTTGGTTCCATTCAGACCCACAAAGACACTCAGGCCGCCTTCACCGTTCTTCATCATGCTCAGCTGCTTCTGGATAGCTGCGTGTAAAAAGATCAACTTCACCAACAGAGCACAGAAGGAAAGCAACAGGAGGACCTAACCACATCATGTTCCCCCATGAGCTTATATACCTATGATCCATTTTATAACAAACACTTGGAGCTTAGAAATAGTTTCCTTTTTTTTCTTTTATCCCAGACATATATTAAAAAGAAAAAGGAAATGTCTGAGATAAAAGAAAATGAAAACTATGTCTGAGTAACTGAAGACAGTGAACATAATTCAACTAACACTTTGAGCTTTTCTCTAAAGAACTTTTGAGCCAATACCCTCTGTTGGATGATAAAAATAAGGCCACTGAAAAGAAAAACATCTGATTTATACTTATTCAACTTTCTTATTACAAACCTTTAACACCTTTAGTTTTATTGAAGACAATTCTTAATTTTTAAGAAACATGTTCATTATGTTTCTATGAACTGCCTCATATTTAACCAGAGGTGGGTTTAATTATGTACAATACACACTACTGGCTTTTAATAAACAACCCTATCTCCTCTGGCTGAAAAAGTGAAGCCAAAATGGCTCCTGCAACAAACACAGGCACATTGTTTTGTTGTCAGCACAATGTCTCCTGTGTAACAGCTTCTTGTGTCTGTGTAAAGTCCAGGGACTTGTGTTTGTGTTTATCACACTTCCTCTCCCACATCTTACTCTGCTCAGATAATAGAGAACACAATGTCCCAGGGGCTGAAAGCTTCACAAGAGGCTTTATAGCAAAGTTTTGATTCAACGTTCACCACTTAGAGAACTGTGTTACTGGATTTGAACTGGTATGATGAAACGTCACATGAATGACAGATGCTTGTTGAATGTTTTGATTTTAAAAGTTTAACCCCATGTTAAGTGTTTGAGTATATGAGGATGTGTGCAGGTAAACACGGTGATTTCCATTGGGTGGAGGTGTGTGTGTGTGTGTGTGTGTGTGTGTGTGTGTGTGTGTGGGGGGGGGGGGGGAGACTGCATGAGTGGTATACGGATTTAAATGTAACTGTAATGAAGAATGTAGATTGTGATAAATCATATTATGTTATGTTGTGTTATGCTATTGTGCTGTTTGGAAAAATGTTATGTAACCTGTGGTTAAACTCAATATACTCAATATAAAAAGTTATATTAAAAAATTAGTAAATAAAAAATTATAATAAAAGATTGACTTTTATGGAGCTATATTGTCATCCATCTGTGTTCAATCTTGTGTTGGGTTAAATTATGCATATATGAAGTGTGAAATGTACAAATTCTTTTATCAATGTTCAACCACTTTTTGAAACCTCTCACTTGGCATAGCCTGCAGCTCTTTGGGCAGCAGCTTCTGGTAGGTGTTGAAGATGCCTGCATTGGAGATGACCATGGGGGCGTGGATATGCACCTCCTCTTGGCCTTTCATGACGCTCACACCTGAAACCGTGAAAATTAAAAACTAAATCTGTCAATCTCTGTTTGTGGGAGCTGCGTCTTGTGTAAAGAGACAGAGACAGGTTACCCACCACAAGCTTCGTTGGCCTTGTTGAACAAGATGCGGTTGACAGGAGCACGAACTAGAACAGCTCCACCAGCGCTCTCAATGATCGGGATCATGTGGTAGGCAATTTCACTGGCTCCACCTTTTGGGTACCAGGCGCCATTCAGGTAGTGAGTGGTAAGCAGGCTGTGCATGGCAAAGCTGGCTTCTTTTGGCATGTTACCTGCAGATATGAGGAGGGAACAAATCTGTGAGTAAGGAGCTGCAGAAGAAAATGGATCATGGCAGGGACAGAAGAGCTGCTTGGTGTACCATAGGTGCCAAAGATGTAGGCGAAAACAGCCCTGAGATCTTTGTTCTCTGTTAGTCCGTTGACCACTTCAGTCAGGCTGCGGGGCGCCATTTCAAAGAAGCTGGACAGACGTCTGACCAGGCCAGTGTAGACCAAGAACTTCGCCAAAGGAGCAGGGCAGAGCTTGAGGACAGCAAGGAACCAAATGCCCCGTCCAACTCTCTGAAGATTAAACATGAAGAGATGATGTTTTTTTAAAGTGATTTTGCTTAATGAGCGTTTAAAGAAAACATAGACATACAACTAATTATAAATGAATTATCACTCTGCTGTTGCAAATCTCCAGACAGATATGCTGCTGTCTGCATACACCTGTGTTTGAAATGACAGTGTGGGTTGGATGGATAAGAACATAAACATAAAGCACGTGTTTTAAAGTCCCCATATGTGTTGCTGATAAAAGGATGCACGCTTTGTGACAGCGACTTTGACTTTTGATAACCTATCAGTTCCTCTTTGCCTCCGAGTGGATATTTATGCTGATTGTGAGGATTTTCTCACAAGATGTTCTTAAGATATCACACTGACAAGAATGGTACAAATAGCACAAGAAAAAAAGGAACTGACTCCTCAAAGATAAAGAAAGTAGCATATCTATTTTGATGTGTCAAAGCCAAACATTGCTGATGCAACTCAGTCTGGGTAATATTATGTAATATATCAGCTAAAACAGGAGGCCTCACCACATTCTCTGAACTTTGATTTACCAACCCTTGATCTGTTGAGAAAAATCAGTGACAACACCAACAGAAATCTGGACGATGAGGCAACTTTGTGCTTAAGTACAGCTTATGAACCCAAAGTTCAAAAGTGGAAAAGACAGTTTGGTCATTTTGCTCAATTAAGTAATAACAAGAAAGTAAACACGTGATTTTTATCACTGGCACATATTCTCCTTGACATGCCAAGATTAAAGCTGCAGAAATTAAACAGAACTAGCAAAAACTTTATTTAGACCCCTTGATTACACTCTGTAATGCAGAAGCATCCCACCTTGACCAGCCTCATGTACTCATCAATGGCCTTCTCCTCTCCAGGGAAGCATTTCTTCAGCTCCTCAGGGAAGCGGGTCCTGCCACTGTAGATTGGGTACCGGCGGCGGTTTTCTGGAGGTCCAATAACTACTTGGTCGAATGGATTGTCCAGGGGCTCCCACTGCAGCTGACCGTTAGTCATGCTGTCCAGCATGCAGCGGAAGGGCTTGTGGTCCAGGAGCTCTCCGATGTAGTGGATTCCTAAGTGGGTGGAAAAATGCAATGTGACAAAGACTTGTACTGTGTCACAACCTTTCTGCCTTCAAACATTCCCATTTCATCTCAATCAGTGACATACGGCAACTTTATACAAATTCATGAAAGAACACTGCTTATTCTCACCAACATCAAACTCAAAGCCCTTCTCAGTGAACGTGTGGCAGCAGCCTCCAGCCCGGTCATGCTGCTCCAGGACAAGGACTTTCTTTCCAACTTTAGCCAGCAGCACCGCAAGCCCAAGCCCACCAATCCCACTGCCAATGATAACAGCATCCAAGTCTGTAGGTACTTTACTGGCCAGGAAACCTGAAGAAGACAGACACCAAAACAATTAAATAACAGCATGGCTGTGGTATAAAACAGGGTATTACCTAACATTACCCGAATCAAGATTTCCAAATTTGAAACCAAATTTCTGCAGTGTCATTAATGCCTATTTTAAACCAAATAGGGGTTTGGACTGCAGGACAGACAAAAACAGCACATGCATGACTTTACTTATACTTATTACTTATAACAGCTAAATGAACACTTATTACTAAAGTTCTAGACAGCTAAAATACTCTGAATTTTAAACACACACACACACACACACACACACACACACACACACACACACACACAAAACCTAATATAAATTGAGAATGGCTCAGGTGGGTCAAAATCTGTCATTTATTTATTTAAATTTAGTAAGATTCAACATTTAACACTGATCAATTCAATATTCCTATTTTCTTTCTTGCAGTAAAATTAAATTATATTTCCCATTAGTATTTAACAGCCTCTCTCAAAAACTAAAGTTAATTCTCCAGAAGATACTTAAAGTGCAACTTCTCTCGAAATAGCTTCACTTATGTTACATTAAAAAGGGAAATACATGGAATACATGGAAATACAACTATACAATAAATAATTACTTGACTGCCTTAGTAGGACAAAAAATAGTTCGGTCAACTGTAAGAAAAAAAATTATGTCATTTCTTTCAGAATAAAACAGTCTTTGTTGAAATTTCTTGCAGCCTGCAGCCATACTATCATCCTCCTGACACAGTTACCCCCGCAGCGCGGACTTGCAGGCATGGAGACTATTTCTTTACACCTTGTTTCAAGCGGAAAAAAAATCCACTTTAAGAGGTAGGAACAGCGTGAATAACAGTCATTTTGCAGCAGAAACAGGAAAAAGCTAAAGTTCATATATCTCACGGCTTTAAAATCTGATCTCACCTTGCTTTAGAACTTTATTTTTCTCCTTCCTGTCGTGAACCATCTCCCTTAGTGGCTCACGAGTGTCCGTCTCAAAGGGATTGGGTCCGGAATTGCCGAAGACATACTTATATAAAAATATGATCAAGGCGACACAAATTAAACCTAGACTGAACAACATTGCGGCAGATTATCGATAATTTGGAATCAAGCTGGAGACCACACCGTCCACTGTGCCTTCACTTCCGCGTCGGGCTGCCTTCGAAGAACCAAATATATAACTGACAGTTGATAAGTCTGACCAATCAGTGTTTTCTAAAGCCCTCGTCAGGTGGATTTAACCAATCAGCATCAAGTTCAACGAGAGGGTGACGCCTCAAAAACGAGGGGCGGAAGTCACATCCACGCTGTGTTACATAATAAAAAACAAGGACTTCTCGACCTTAGGTCTCCTTTTAAAATATAAATGAAAATGTATTCGAAACTGATACTCCGTTATACGAAAATGTCTTAAAACATATTATTTTAAAAATCTATAATAAGTGTAAAAAAAAGTTTAATATTATTTGAAGTAAATATTTTTAAATTTATGTTCCTGCATCTGATTTATTTGTGCTTTAAATGTCTTTTTTTATGTAACCACTGTCCACACATGCAGAGTGCTGCACCTTTGATTGGTTTATAAGTTGAAAGTATCAGGGGTAACTACCCAGACATCCTGTAATACCTGTTTGTTTCTTGTTTCTTGACATGGTCAGGTGAAAGGTTTTGAAATTTGATCATTTGTTTGCCCTTAAAAACACTGCTGTAGCACAACTGTCACTAAACTTCAACATCATGTCAAGCATGACTGATTCATTGAAATCTTCAGGTTTCATTAGTCCAGGGCCCTGACAACATCGTTTTACTGCAGGTGGTGTGTGAAGTAATTTTTAACTATGGTTACTTGTATGACAAAATCTCAGCTTGAGTATGGACTCGAGTTTTTACAGAGCTCTCCAAAGAGAGGAACTTTACCAGAGGAAAACTGAGATCCGGTTTGAAAAACTGTTGAAAGATACTACGCAGTCATATGGGGTGTATGTGTATGATCTGTAAATACATTACTTCAGTTTAGTAAATTGCAAGAGAATATACACAAATATGGATCTCTGACAAAAACCATGCAAAATCCTCACAGCAACTTCTAGATTTTATTTTTTGCTCAAAAAAAATCACCTGCATCTTGAAAGTCTTTTCCTGCATCAGAACACCATAAAACCCATTATTCTTTACATTTGTATGCAAATAGAACCAACATTTTACATAAGAAACACTTTGAGGAGATTCCTCCTGTCATCATCAACTCTGCAAAAAGTGTCAGAAATTCAGACTGCTGTTCACTGGCCCAGTTTCAAAATCCATCCCGAACCTTATTGATGTCACCTATATGATCAGCATAGAGCTTGAAATGTTTCATTAAGGTGAAAAGCCAGCTGCATTGATCAATTTTCCATGATGTAGATTAATACTATTGTTTGTCATCACTTCCTAAATAGAGCTTAAAAAAAGCATAAAATTATGGATGTTAATTGAAGTGAGACAAAGGCAAACATGATCATGTCTTTAAACAGCAAAGATCTAAACACGGTGTGAGATATGTGCATGTAAACAAGTGTCCAGAACTGTCAGGTAGTTTGTACTATTATTTCTATGACTAGTTAAGACTTCTTATGTGATTTCTTCATGCAATTTCTGCAAAATGAGCTGAAAAGTTCTTTTAAGGTACTCAAAGGCAATTGAGTTTCAATCTATTGTTTCCATACTCCCGTTCCCTCAGGGTGGAGATTGAAACTACTGCACGGTTAAATCAAGAGGTGTCATAACAAATCGGATCCCTGCTGATAAACGTGGAGTAAACTCCACCAAGAAAGCCTTCGAGCTCTGTGACAGTCCAACCTCATCCCAAAAACTGACTCTGATTATTTGTTTCTCCTCCTGGGTTGTTAGTCTGTTTTTTGGGGCTTCTTCAGTTAGTGCAGTAAGCTGTGGAGGACTACTATGAAGAGTTAATACAGATGAGAGGAACTCCAGAAGACAAACGCACAGTTCTTACATGAATGTCTTCTTCAAGCAGTGCAGCAAGACAAACTCCAAAGTTCAACTGTCATAGTCTGAAATCAGGTTAGATGAGGAAAATAAAGACACAGGGTCAAGCATAACACAAGAGAAATCGAAGCAGAAGCCCTTATCTGGTGTCCACTTTTGGTATTCATTACCTCAACTCCTCGAGCCTTTTCCTCTTGAAAATATTTTTGATGGTTTTATTTTTTTATCTCTAAAACTGAAGGATGACAGGGTTATTTTAATTGCAAAAAGCACTTCCAACATTTAGCAATAAAATAAAACAGTAGATTTTAGTTTGTATGTATCAGGGCAGAATCCACAGTATGTCTGATGTTACTTACACATTAACTAGGTTTTGCAGGTATGCCAACCATGAGTGTTTGGTTTACAGTAATCTGTGCAAACTGCTCCTGTGTGTAGGTGTGTTTGGTACAATCAAGACAGCTCTCAGATGAATTACAGTTGTTTGGGATGATAACTACAATGGCTTAAGGTCCCTGTGATCGTAGGAGGAGGAAGAGCGGGAAGACTCTCCCAGCCTCCCCGCCTGGCAGCGGTAGTGCAGGTCAAGTTCAGAAGGTCAAAAAGTAAAAATGGGCGGTGGGGGGGGTTTTCTCTCCTGAAGCAGGAAGTCATCAGTCCATCATGTCAGGTGGTCAAGTGTGATGGTGTGGTCTCCTGGCCTGTTGTTGACACTTGGTTTTGTGGTGTAAAGGGATGTCACTGCAGAACCAATCCAACCTGGAGAAGAAAATCATGGAGATGTTAGAAAAGGTGTTTATTTGGCAAACCTTCATGCTACATCATTTCTGCAGGGTTCATCAAGGTGAAAAGAGTTTAAGCCCCTTCAGTGCCTGTTTGATTGATCATGGGCTCTCCAATAAATACTTCTGTCACAGTAAAAAATGGATGGAATGTAGTACCTTGAATTATTGATTCAAATTCCTTTTCAAGTTTTGACCAGCAGTATGTATCAATAATTCCTCGTGTTATATTTAATTTAACATGGTTGGAAGGATTAACTAGTCAAGATTATTAATTCATAAGAGTTTGGCTAAATTTGATTTTTTTTCCATTACGATATAATGAGCTTTCTAGCTGCTGCAGCTAGCAGCGTTAGCTACAGGGCTGATGGTGCTCCACAAAAAGGACTGAAGTGTCCTGATGCATAATTCAGATGCGCTGCAATATTCCAAAATTGTGAGTAACTTCTCCTGACAACCCACAAAAACCTGACACTAAGTGTCCAGCAGTACCACAACAGAAAATACTGATTAACCACTCGATACGCTTCAGGTCGTTTTCAAGACTAAATGTCCTGTTTCATTTGGACCTATAAGTCAGCTGCTTTTACATTTTTTTTAAGAAAAGGCAGGCTGTATTAATATACCATGTTCTCTGTGCCACAGTTAAGTCAGCCCTGTCTCATGCTGTCCTTTTTTTTCCCCCTTCACATTATGTTCGGGTGTTTTTTTGCAGATAAATGCTGGCTGGAGTAAACTTGCAGGAAAGAAGAGATCAGTGCTTACTTGCAGATACTCTGAGGTCATGACATTATCATTATGAGACAAGTAATCCTGTAAAACCTACCTTTTCTGAGCCCATGCTGGGACACTTCCAATTGTACAGATAATACTGAAGATTTCCGTCACCGATGCCGAACTTAAGCTTCTCCAAGAAAGTCTTGTTTTCCATTAGATCCAGTGCGTTGAAGACATCAAACCCTTTCTGGATACACAGACGAGGGAGAAAGGACATTAGCTGTGCAGAAGGAAAACCCTGGAGGATACACACACATGAATTGAGAAAGAACACCAACCGATTTGGCCAGAATGAGGGCATCAGACATGAGGTCGAGTAGCGGGGTGGTGGTGTGCACGTTGTAGAAGGAGTATGCTGCCTTTAGACTGCGGTGCACAGGGTGATTCATTATGGTGGAGGGCAGTGTGTAGAAACTCAGAAAATCAGTCACCTTTCCATCAGCCTGTCACAAGAACATAAAACTAGTTTTAAGAAATATTCACCAAACAAAATTAAATCTCTTTCATAACAACTGGGTGGACTGTTCCCTTACTTCAACCAGGTAAGTGTCAATGATGTTCTCCTGGGGAAGCAGCCAGTGTTCTACCTCTTCCTGGTTCATGGCGGGTGCCAGGTGGAACTGGTTCAGGTACTCACGGAGGAGGCGATGCACCACAGGCACATCCTTCTTAGTCATTGGCCGCAGACCTTGAGTCTTAGGAGCCTAAAAGACATGAACACAGTCATTGCAAGGTCGTAAAGTTGAAAATGTGCGTTTCTTAAATTTGTTGAGTTTTCACTGACCTCAGGCAGACGATACAACTTCATGGTGCGCTGCATAGTCATGTTTCTGCTCAGGTGGGAGAATTTCACCTCGATTAGCTTGCGTGGGTTCAAGGAGCGATGCCAATACCTGCGCAAAAGAATTTACACTATAAAAAAAGTCAAGATAAAGAGATACAGGGGTATAGTCAGCATGTGGAGGCTTTTCTGTCAGACCCACCTGCATGTGCTGACAGGTTTGGGAAGTACCACTCCAGCAGTGTAAACAGCCTGAAAGATACCCTGCAGGTTGACCCGTCTGGTAATTTCTCTGATCAGGACAGGAGCAACTCGTTTGGAGCGAAGCTTCTTGTGGACGCAGAGGAAATTGATCTCAACCATTTTCTTTTCACTGAAGATAGAGAGATTAAAGGTCATGTAAATACTCAATGAAAACAAAGTAATACACTTTTTAACAATAATGATCAATAAAAACTTAATATGAGATGCATTATAAACTAGAGCCAGACTAAGACATTCAGAGTAAGTTCACTCATAGAAGGAATTTATCTTGGTTATATTGGCACATTATGATAAATTATAGGGACCACTGGAGATAGCTTTAATGACAGAGGAGTTGAACTGATTGGATGTGAGGGGTCCATAATGAAATGTCAAATCCCTGCTTGATACAATAACATGTTTCAAAAAAATCTGTGTATTATGTTACTGACTACACTGACTAAAACTGGGTTTTAACAATTCATGCAAAACAAGCTGGTTCAACTAAAATTGCACTTAGTCCAATTTCCTGCTGACATTCCCAGATAGTATGGTTGGGTATTTATTTTCTCTTGCATGTTTACACCTCAGCTAGCCTCCAACTGGCCTAGATGCTCCTCTCATGCTCCACAGTTCACACACTGGATTTAACATGGAAGTGAAATGTAAAAAAAGGAAGCCAGGGTTATATGTCTTTAAAGATCACCATTAGCCCACGAAAAATGTGTGTGTCTCATTTGTTCCAAAAGTAAAACCGAGAGAGCGAGCAGTTGAGCTGTCCATGTTTTATTGTTTGACACACAACCAGGTGGCCTCTTCCGAAGTTGTATGTCTGTTTAAGTACGTACTGTTTAAGTATGTGATAGGTCAACTATGAGACAGTCCAATAATAACTTGCTGCAGGGGGGTTATTGCCACCCACTGTTGTAGAGGTGGACCTACCTGCATTAATTAATCCACTCTCACCCAGTGTTTGTGTGCTGGGACAGGGACGGTGTAGTGGTAAAGCAATGTGATTACTTCTGGTATTGTGTTCACTTACATGTCATAGATACGGATAGTGGCAGGAATGGCACTGATGAAGCCGACCAGCTTCTGATTGGAGTTAACCCTCACCCCACAATGCCACTGAGGCAACCAGCCAGGGGGTCGCAAGGCCCTAAGAAAGACATCAGTTACTGAATGCAATGTTTCCAGTTTTAGCTTGTCTTTTTAAAGTTGTTTAAAGTGCTTTTACAATAAAAAATTTACTATCCAGATGTACTACTTCAAAATTCAAATTCAAAAATATCATTGTCAGATGTGAAAAAAGAGGAGTTCAGTCCAGAAAAGAATTACCAGAGCAGGAACTCAGGTGAGTAGTCAAATCTGAACATGTTGTCATCATCTTCAACATAATTCTCATTGAGAAGAGTGTAAAGCTCCTTGAGCTGGTTTTTATAGAAGAGAACAGAAATAGTCATAACTAACAACCTTCACTTACACAAGAGAGAACTGCAGAAGGGAAAAAAACAATTGAAAACATACATGCACAAGTTGGTTGGTATCTTTTAAATCATTTAAAGGATACCAAAAGCTCACAGAGATTAAAAATCATTCAGTAAACACAACAGTTTTATAGTCTGCAGGTGTGCACACCATGTCTGCCTTACAGACATGAATAAACCATGCTGAGGCTTTTCTAACTTCACTTGTTCTGCACTATTTCTGAGGAGTCATTTTACTTTGTAAACATTTCATATAGCAGGCACGCACACTGAAAACACAACATTCAAACTTTAGCTTGTTTTAACCAAAACATGACTGCATAATGCTTTAAACCACATCCTGAGACATGCTTGTTCACTTTTAGGCTCACTTTAGTCTTCCATCAGTTCAAAACAGTAAGAGAGGAACACAACAAATGAATGACATCTTCTCAAAAGCACTGACACAACAATCAACTAGCTTTCTAACTAAAAAGAGTGTCAAGGGGACTGTAAGCTGCAGATTTTCTCATTTGCAATCCTGATACAAGCAGCGTGTTTTTCTTTCACTTACCACAGCGGGGTTCCCCAAGTCGAGGGTGTCCCAGCTGAAGCCCTGTGGGAGGCTGTAAGGCTCCTCACGAATGTTGTCTTTGTCAGGTTCAATAGAGCCATGTGATGTAACGGTCTCCCCTGAAAAGAACACAAAGCAATTTATAACACACAGTGAAAACAACATAATGTTCACTTACCTGTGAGTTTAAAGAGAAAAATAAAAGTCACACCTAGCTTGGGCACAGGCTGTGTATCCCAGAACTGGTAACTTCTCCGAGTGGCCTCCTCCATGGTTTTGGCTGGACCCTGGCCTACTGAGAACAGTTCAATGGCCTTTTGGATCTCCTGTAGCTTATCAGCTGGCAATGAATTCACCTGTTTGAAAAGTCAAGATTATTTTAAGTTGAATGAAAAGTACTAATAAAAAAGGATTTTTTTTCCATCTCGAACAGTTTCAGTGTTGTTACAGCATGAGTCCAGATTTCACAACTCTGACATATTTCATTGCTATTTTAACTCTAGATGGTGGAACCAACGGCTGTAAAACAACTTTTTTAAAGGTTAATTGATTCATGCCTTGGCAAGGGGGTCCTGAGCTGCTTCTGTTGAACCAGATTTCTTCTTCTTTTTCTGCTTCTTTTTCTTCTTCTTGGCACCAGTGTCATCACCCAGACCCCTGTCACTGAAACAGGACAGAAATAGACATTATCAGTATCTTAGTCCTCTATCCCTAAGGAAAGCCTTGTCCCGGTCACAATGTAATACTTTAAATCTCTACCTGGAATATGCCTACAGCATAGAAGAAAAGAAAAACTGTCAAGACATTAAGGAGCAAGAAAAATATGTAACACATTTGCTTTAAAATTTAACTTAATTGGGTACCAAAATTCATCAGGTCTACCCTCATAAATCATGGATAGTAATTTTGTAAAACTTAAAAGGTAATTGTACTGTTTGGAAATTTTTTTCACATTTTCTTTGTAAGTTGTGATTCAAAGTCACCATTAGTTGTAAACAGATCTTAGATTTTCAGTTGTTTGTTTACCCGAACAAACTTTGTTGCAGCTCCAGCAAGAAACTAGCCTGACTCAAAAGTCCCAATTAACTGACAGAACATGTGAGGTAGAGCACGAGAGACACGCTGAATGTAGCGCTCTTCATCTCCTGTATCAGACGTTTGTCCTGATTCAGATGATACAGTGGCACATAGGATAGTGGGAAGAACCATAAACAGGTAGTTTTAAAACCTCCATCCTAAAACCAGCACACCATAATCCCCCACTGTCTATTATTTAAAAGGTAAGGACCTACATACATGCCTGCACCCAGCTATCCCACTTTCTGGCCTGACAGAGACTGCATACTTACAGAGGATAATCTCATTAGTGTCCCAGAGAGGAGAGAGGCAACGCAATGGCCTGTATTTGTAACAACAGCACAGAACGTGAATTACATGACCTCTGGAAATGGTTTCTACACGTGTGTATGCGTGTATGTTCAAGAGGACAATAGGCAACAAAAAATACAATAGTTTGCTCCACAGGCTTCCATTTCAACAGAGGACACCAGCTGAAAGCCAGAACCTCTTTGTTTCTGTGGGTGTTGGGTGCAGCATGTTGCATGTGCTGCTGGAAAAAAAATGTGAAGGTTCTAAATATGAGTTGCAATTTTTCTTTCCCTTATGATACACCCTATTTAGTTAGAACAATCCAAGAATAAAAGAACAATCTTGGGTAACACTGATTACAGCTTCAGTGAACCCAAGGGGTTTAGCAGTGATCATCAGAGGAGGGCACTGATTTCTTCAGGAGGTTCAATGTTAGAAAAGGATGACTAAGCAGCACAGTCCCTCTCATTATTAGAGTCCACCCAATGGTCTATAGACGGACACGCCTCAACACCGGCAAACCTGAGCTCCTCTCATGTGTGTCCCCGCTTAGTAAACATTAATGTAAGTCAGAATTAAGCCAGACAGGTTTTTCCATGAATCCTGTTTCGAGGCATGGCTCGATTAATCGAGGATCATTCACAGTTCTCCATTTGAAGGTGGGGGATTGAATGTCCAACAACGTGCTATCTTCAGTACGTAGTTGTAGCACGATTGCGGTTTTGCTTGTTTCACTTTTGCTCAAACACTTACAGACAATAGGGGTTTGACAGCTAGGCTAGCATGGGGGCTAGCTTACTAAGCAGCAGCTGTGGGTGCCATGAATTGCATCAGGTGCAAAAAAAGTTAATATCTGTGTACGAATTACACATCTTTGTGCTGCCAAAATGGTTTGTCTTGTTGTCTGCATTCAGTAGGTGACAGTAAATGCAATGTCTCATTTAATGCCCCAATGAGGTTTTCCACTACCATACTACGCCTTGCTAACCGAGCTGAAGGAGAGCGACACTAAAGCCCGCCTACATATAGAACGGACCGCACTCTCAGCCAATCGTATGAGAAAGACAGCCAGCAAATGCTCTTCTCAACCAACAGGGTAAAAGAAAGTGGGCGGGACATGTTCCATCGATGGCTGTCTATTCCGACAAGTCTGCTAGCCGAGGTTGTCGCTTGAATTAGCTTTTGTTCTGTTTACAATGATGTGACACATTTAACACCACCCTGCCAACAGGCCTGTGTTCTTACCCATCTTCAAAGTGGTGCTCTTCATTTTCACAGTCGCTGCAGTGTCCGTGGTCCTCTACATCTTCTTTCTCCGGCATCGGTGCTGTCTCATTCTCATCCGCCATCTTCAACCAGGAAGTGAGGAGCTACCGCGTGCCATCAACGCTTTAACTCGCTTCGCTGCTATTGGCTCAGAGCGGTGATGGAAATGTCTCCGCTGTTGTCCTGTTACCCTTAGTTGTGTTTACACATGCAGTATGAACCGTATGAATTTGACATTCGTGAAATCACCGAGATACGATAAATATCATTTTCCAGCCTCCAGGCCTGTTACACACTAATAAAAGATCTGTATTTATTTAGTTTACCCACGTAGGAGGCATACATATGTACATTAACTATGACTGGAATTGATCTTAATTTGCATTCACATGGAGAAAATCAGTCTGCTTCTGATAAATTATTCTTCTTTAACCACATATTATGCTTGCCTTCTACATGCCTTTGAGCACTGTAATACTTACATTTATTCATTCATTTCTAAGGTTAGGGTTGACTGCATAGCAGTGCCAATGTTTGTCTCTTTGTAGTGAACCTCTAACATGTTGTCTTTAACAATGGTACCTAGAAACTTATAAAAGATATTAAAATATCAACTTATTTATCAAACTTCACATCAGTGAAAATATGCAAGTCACAAACCAGCAGTTAACCAAATAACCTTTTTCCTTCCATTAGAGTAAATAAGCTGATGTACCTCAATCTGGCTTGCCAACATCTTATTAATGGCTTTTACTGTTTTCTATAGCATTGCAAATGATTTCTTGACCATAAATTGACTAATTATAGAAATTTTGAGTGCTAAAAAAGCCTTGATTACCTGTTCTTGATTGTCTGTGACTTTGAGCAAATTCTCACACAGCTTGAAGATTACAATTTTAGTTCAATGAATGAGTGTGGCAGTGTAATCCAATGTGTTTGTTTTATTTTGAAAAGATCCAAGTAATATAACAAATCTGCTCTTGACTTTTTAAGAGTTAGCCTTCATACATTTCTACCAACCCTCTGGAGCTCCTGAACTTCAATATCCAACATATTATTCGATTTTTAGACAGAACATTCCCGCACTATCCAATCCCTCATTAAACAAACATACACATACACATACACATACTGTATCTACCACTTTCTTTGTCACATTATCAAATGCATCAACAAAAAAGGTTTGCAAATAGTATTTATGCTTTTATGAAAAGTGTTTTCAAAACACCACCTGATGTTTGGCTTTGGGACGTAGTACTGGAACACATTCTGACCAAATATGTATAATAACTCTTAAAGCAGAGATTCACATGCAACACTTAATTGTCCTTCTAGGACGTTTAATGAATCACTTATATTTTGCAGCAGTTCTTGTTTGCATCACCATGGTGCAGTTGTTGTTGTTGTTCTCTAGCTCAGAATATAAAAGAAGCAGAAACAATTGTTATTTGGCAGGGTTTTCAATGAAAAAGAAGCCATATGCAAATATATTAAACAATCATATTATCTACATTGTTAGTATATGTGAAATTAAGGAGCAGTAGCAGTATAACAAGTAAACATTTAAAAGTTAACACTGTTTATATTTCAAGTTCATCTGTAGAAATACTGTTCACTATGTGTGTGTATATTTTTTATATAAAGTGCAGGGTATCTGGAGAATCAAGTAAGACTGACGTCATTTCATTTTCAATAATAAAACTTCCTGTGACAGCATATAAAACATTATGACACCTGAATCACTTCACAGTTAGATCTTCATTATTAGACAGTTAAACATTATTACTTTTTACACAAATTTGTTCTAAAAGCACTTATCAGGGTGTGTTAAGTAAGTTCAGTTTCTTGTTAAATCGTCATTAAACTCAGAGTTAAAGTCTTCAATGTAAAAACATGTCAGTATTTTCAAAATCAAACAAACAAAAGAATAACAGTGTAGCAATCAAGACAACCCTGGATGTGAAACCCACACATTCCTTACAGGAAAGTTTCCTTATCTGGTCCCAGGAAACAGGATATAAATCTTTCCAGACGTGTTTGCACTTTCAGGTTAAATAAGTGACCCAACCATAGGTTGACTAAACCTCTGACTCTTCAGGATTGGTCAGTTCGGCGAACAGAGACAGAGTTTTTATTACCTTTCAAACTGACTCCATTACTGACCATCTAAATAAACATTAACGTCTCAACCCAGATCTCCCATTTGAGATTTAGCGTCTTAAAGTGTGTGAACATACGGACCCCAGGATAAGGGGGGACACTGACCTCCAGACCTCGGTCGTAAAACCCTGCTCGACCATACACTGATAAAGACTGCATTCCTTTGGTGAAAGAATACAAATGACTGATCATGACGTCTTATGCATTCAGCAATGTACTAATCTGTCTAATCATGAAATTTGTGTTAAAATGAGATGTTTCCTGTCTTTCTATGTGCTTCAGAAGCCAAGTTATCTTATCTGACAGAATAAATCCTTATTCTTTAGTTCTTTAGACCAACAGCTTTTCAGACTGTTTCATGAACTTTTAAGAGTTAAATTTATTGACTATGAATCCTAAGTTTACTCTAAGTAACAGAAATAGTTTAGAAATGTTTGGTTTATATTTTAGTTATTTATTTAGTATCTTAACCATTAGGTGGTTATAATGTCACTGAATAATCTGAATGTGAGTATTTAGAATCCATTATTAATCATGATGACGTTCATTCACATGTGTTTACTCTTTTGTTGTTCACAGTTTCTATGTGTTACTATCTGTTTCATTTCAGAGTAATTTAGCATGTTCAATGTGATACTTAAAACATAATGAGAATGTTTGATGTGATCCTACACTTCATTCATATGTGTTTAGTATCAAATTATTTATCATGAAACCAAGCATTCAATGATATTAATCATAGTGAGTGAGTATCAGATCTGACTCTTTTACCAGCCAAAAGAATAAGTTAGATCAAATAATCAGAGACCCGATGACCCCTCCTTTTTCTCCTCAGACACTCCCAGTGTGAGAAGATAAAACCAGTGGAGTGGGGTTGCTCACTCTCTTATCTCTTATCTCTTATCTCTCTTATGCTTCTGCTCTTCTGCTGACTCTCTTGTCCCCGGCTCTTATGCCCCTTCTCTTCTGTCCACACCCTTCTGTGGTGCGTTTCTTTGTTTTCTCTTAGAACTTTTTCTTAGTCTTCTAAGTTTTACGCCACGTGTTGATTCACGTTGATTTTTCTTTAACATCGTCTTAGTTCAAGTTTTGAAACTTCAACTTTTTGTGCACATAGCAATTCAAGATTAAGCCTTTGATTGATTTTCTTTAATTTCGCGAAGCCATTTTTGAAAGTTTTCTCTGCTCTTCGAGCCTCGTCTTTCTGAGTTTTCTGCGTGATTTCAAAGTCACCTCCGAACGCAATCCAACAGGCCCAGGTCATCCTCTGTGCCAGAGTTTTTGAGTGAGACTAAAGAAGTACCCAAACGAGCATCCACAGGATCCACAGGCGCTGGTTTTTGCTTCGGGCCTGAGTGCTGCAACTCCTGGCTCATCCTTCGGCTGACTTCAGTCGTCTTCTGAGCTGAACCGCTCGAACCGCCAGTAGCCCCGGACCTTCGGAACCTGCTCCATCTTCTCCAAGGACCAGTCTCACTTAAGTATGCAAACCTCCAGAGCTCTAAAGAGGGCTGGTGCTGTTTCCTGCGTTCATAGCTCAGATATCCTCTTATTCTGGTAATCTTAGATTCCTCCAAATCCACATCCGAGTTTATCTCGACACTAAAGTTAGTGTAGGTTAATATGTTAGCGCATATTCACTCACTATCATTAACTTTAGTGCTCCTAGCCTGACTCAGAATCTTTATTTATTCACTTATTATTATTTTATCCTCATTATCTTATCATCATTTATTGCATGTGTGTTGTACCATCATTTATCCTGTAATAAACAGATCATTATTTTTCTAAGTTCTTGACTGTTAGTGTTCTTCCAGAAGTGGAGTCCCTGAAATTAGAATTTCGACTTAAGATATGAGACTGATTAATTAAGACTGATTAATTAAGACTGATTAATTAAAACTGACTTGATGTTTGATTTCTGAATTAAACTTTTGTTTTCTTTATTTTCCCACCATTAAGGGTGGGTGGTGCCCCTTTCAACGAGTGCATAAATGTCATAATTTGAGATTATTAATCTTCAGACATTTATTATAAATTCCAATCGCTGCAGTATTATTTTGGTGCGGCCTTGTGAGGCTCATTTCAAATCGCTACATATATTTTGGTGCCCCTGCGTGAGGCGTTTCAAACAAAACTTCTGGATACTAACAGACAACCTAAAACTTAGCCTTCCAAATTGATGCGAGAAACTTATTTCCAGGCTATTTTAGACTTAATCACAATCAATGCTATGCTTGCTGAAGTTGCTTGACTAAGTTCTGATGTTTTCATGATCTATGCATAAAACCTTTATGCTCTGTGTTTCACACACTCTTGTACTACATGCTTGTAGTCTGTGTTTGAGCTGGACAGCGTGAAATGTTGTTCTGAGTAGCAGTGAGACTGACTCCTCTGCTCTGTCTAGACTGTCCAATATTTAAGTGCACGATTGTTGCGTCGCTGTACGCTTGTATTTAAGGCCTTTGGCTGAACCCAGTGTTCGCGATGCTCCGAGCTGTGGTTTCAAGCCCCTGAAGTCTCTGTAGTCTGCTACGAGTTTCTAGTAACTATATGGGATTCAGATTTCCTCCTTTCCCCTGACAGATTAGCTACCTGTCACAGGAAACCACTGTAACAGTGGGAGGTTGTTGTTTGATTGAATTCAGACAAAATTTGTGTTCACAAATCGCCGCATTTGTGATTTTAAAGTCTGCAGTTGAATCTGCTGTTGAGGGATTTGTCACTTTGATTCTTGTCACTATAGTCTGCTATGAAGTTCTAGTAACTATATGGGATTTAGATTTCCTCCTTTCCCCTGACAGATAAGCTAACTGTCACAGGAAACCGCTGTAACAGTGGGAGGTTGTTGTTTGAATGAATTCAGACAAAATCCGTGATCACGAATCGCCGCATTTGTGATTTTAAAGTCTGCAGTTGAATCTGCTGTTTAAGGATTTGTCACTTTGATTCTTGTTCCTGTAAATGATTCTATTGAACCAATCTGCCTGAGCAGATGGTGTAAAGTTCTATGTTTGAGGGTGCAGACGCAGCCTGCTGTGAAAAGTTAACCCTTTGTTGTCAGTGGAGAGACTGACCATTTGACCTTAAGCAGATAAGGCCCTTCGAGGAAGCAGAGCCTAAAGGCCCCTTCCTTCATACTTCCCAACTCCTCACAGCCACAAGAGGCTAGTTGGATGACTGTTTCCTCTTTTCTTTTTCTTCTCCACTTGTGTTGAGCTTGTGCAGTTCTCCCAACTCCATACTGCCTCACATGGTTGCTTTTGGTATTGAGCTAACACTGCTATTAACTGCCTGCAGTATCAGCCAGCTGTACTGCCTCTCTGTAGTCAGTGTGTAACACTCTACAGACATAACTCAAGTGATTGACTTGGTTGATGAAGTTTGATGTGCTTATTCTAAATCATTGATCATTGATTTTTGATTTTTATCTTTGTTATAAGAGCCTACATAATGTATTGATAAAGTAACTCCTTGAATCAATCACCTGATCTGTTGTTACTTATCACACCATTGAGCAGTTTTACTGTTCCCTATAATACATGAATGTATTAACCCTCCTCATAAGATTAATTAATTAATGAACAAATTAATTAATATTTGAAATCTATTTTACCATTTCAGATGAATTGGGTAGTTGAATCTTTGGCTTTATTGCGATTTGTGAATTAACTTCAGAGTTAATTCCTTAAATTGACAATTTCATTGGTTTCAGATTCATCCAACTGCATCAGGCAGTTTATTTAAGCTTTGCTGATCTCTGCAACACGGAGACAATTTGAACCCTTTATTCAATGGTTCTGTATCTGATGTTAAATTTAATTTAACATTATTTCACCTTGTTTTATTTCAATTTTCATTGAAATGAATTTAACTTTATGTTATTTTTCTCTCCATTAGAGATCTACTCAGATAGGCTCTTCCTCTTTATCAAGCACTGATAAATTAAGTCGATTAACTCACTTAATTTGATATTTTGCTTTTTCTTTTCATTTTAAGCCAACTCAAACTCATCAACCAACCACCTGCTCCTCTTTACCAAAACCAAACATGTCTAACACAAAAGAGTCCAGCCAGGGAGACCCCCTGAGGGACATACACACAGTGTTAGCAAACTTAACTAGTCAGCTGATACCTCAGTACATGACTAAGATTCAAAAGGCCAAACCCTCCAATCCGGAGGATGAAATGGCTGACTTACTGGAAACAGCCTTAACCACGACACTTCGTGACAAAGAGCTCACTAGATGCATGTCTGTCATGATGTCTTCTCAGCTTGAGTATAAAGACTACTTGCTGGAATGCGCTTTAGCAAAGATAAAGGCGCAAAAAGATGAAAACAGCGCTCTGAAAAAGACGCTAGAGGAGACTAAGAAGTCTTTAAGTGTTTTAGAAAAACACAGTGCCAGATGTGAAGCGTCAAAGCTTCCCTCACTGATAAGTCATGAAGAAAATCTTGATCTTAAAGACAAGATGGAAAGACTTAATGAAACCCTTTACAAAAAGGAGAAAGAACTTGATGACACGAATAAGCAGCTTGCTAAGACCACAGAGGATCTGATACAGTCAGAATCCCTACTAGAGCAAGCAACAGAAGATGTAAAAACTTTGAAAGCACTGGTCAAAGTGCGTGCTGAAGCTCTTGAAGTTAAGGAGAAGCAAACTTCTACCTTACAGCACCAGCTCCAGATAGCTCAAAGACAGTTAATTCTTTGTCAAGAACAGCGAGAAAAGACAGACAAAGAACTTGAAGATGCCCAAAGAGAGTTACAATGCTCCCTCCAGTCAGGTCGAGTCCAAAGAGAACGCATGGAGCAAACGTTTCTTGAAGAAATGATAGGTGATCAGCCTCCTGAGAGAGCGCCATCATTTCCTTCCAAACCAACTCTTAAGTATCTCTCTCAGCATCATGACAGGACCCTGCTTGACCCTGAGAGGTCATCCTTAAGCCAAAAGTCCTACTCTCCTCCTCATGATGGTTTCTTGCCATTTCCCTCAGACAGGGATCTTGACAAAATTGCTCGCAACATAGCACGCTTTGAACCTGAGCACCAAGCTGCTATTGACACCTGCACCTACTTGAAAGACATTGACTTTTACCTGAGGAAATTTCCAGGTGCAACCATTGATGACAAAATCTACCTTATTAAGGCAACGTCAAGTCGAGAGGTTAGCAGTTTCCTTGAACGACAGCCTTATCATGTCAGAAATAATTATGACTTGCTTTGTCAAGCATTAATCGAAGAGTTTTCTGATCATTTGACCCAGACAGGCCTCTCTGCTGCTCTGTCTATTAAACAAGGGAGATTAGAATCTCCCCAACAGTATTACAATTGCTTACGCGAAGCTTACTTTGGTTTCCGAAATGAACCAGAAATGGAGGAGGACTTGAACTTCAAAACGCTGTTCGTCCAGAACCTCCACCCTACCACCAGTCATCACCTTGGCGTCTTAGCTTGTCCAAACACTTTGACTAGCCGACAGCTTCGTGAACTTGCTGTAAAAGGTTTTGTCAAACAACGACAAACTTTGGCTAAGAAAGCAGAGCCCGTTACTCTCTTGGCTATGGGGACAAAATCACTGCCCATGGAGCTGAACGAAGCTTCAGACTGTGTATTTTCAGGCTCCGATAAGCCTCCAAATGAGTGGTTAACCAGGCCTCCAAAACCTTTTCGACCTCAACACATTCACAAAGGTCAAAGTTACACACCAAGGCCCGGGTCTGACACAGACCAATGCCAGGTAAACTTTGAGACCAACTGTTGTTATTCAGACTCCCGTCACGGTGGGTTTTATCCCAGACAAAGGAAAAACCATCAACACCGCCAAAGGGGGGTGAATGACTGGCAGAATCAGAGTAAATCACACTCTCAGAAACGACGATCTTATTATCCACCTCAGTCGGTTTCATCCACTTTGAAGGTGAATAAACATGACTACTCAGCTAACCACTGAGATTAACACTGTGGAGTCATGAAGGTGTGAGTCCTGCGAAAGCAGAAGTCACCTAGCCAAAGCTAAATGAATCCAATAAGATATCCAAATGCTGTGGTGATACATTGATGACTGCAATATCAGTTGCTGCTTTCTTTGTTAGCATTTGTCTCTCCTCTGTCAATATAGTCAGCTTGTCAGCTGTCAAATATCCCATGAACAGATTAAAAGCTGAAATTTCTGTCACTAAGACTCAGATTGACAAATTTCAGACTCAACAGCAGATAATTAGTCAAACCGATAAGAGCATCATCCCCAAGTTTAACAGACAAAGTTTAAGAGAAACTCTGTGCAGTAAACTTTTGATGTTTGTGATTCGGGTTGACTATGCTCATACACAGATGGTTAATATGTCTGTAGCAGACATTTCTTTTCCACCTAAGTCTTAACCATTTTTGAAACTGAAATTGAACTTTCAGACTTCTCCAGCAAGCATGAAAAACAGCTATAGCTTTAGATCCAGTTAGCATTCAGACTAGAGTGCTTTTCTAAATCTCATTAATACTGAAAATTAGGAGATTTTCTTTCACATTAGTCTACCAATAGTTAACTGAGAAAAGTCTAACACCTAGACGATTTTATTTGATAGCTTAATGCATGCTTAATTTTATCTCAAAGCAGTACTAGTGATTCACATAGTGATGACGAGACGCATCAGTCCTATTTGCATACACCTGCTGCTGCTTCATGGTTGTCTACTCGTCGTCCCGATGCTCCATGGACAGGACCACCGTGACGAAGGGGGGACTGTAGCAATCAAGACAACCCTGGATGTGAAACCCACACATTCCTTACAGGAAAGTTTCCTTATCTGGTCCCAGGAAACAGGATATAAATCTTTCCAGACGTGTTTGCACTTTCAGGTTAAATAAGTGACCCAACCATAGGTTGACTAAACCTCTGACTCTTCAGGATTGGTCAGTTCGGCGAACAGAGACAGAGTTTTTATTACCTTTCAAACTGACTCCATTACTGACCATCTAAATAAACATTAACGTCTCAACCCAGATCTCCCATTTGAGATTTAGCGTCTTAAAGTGTGTGAACATACGGACCCCAGGATAAGGGGGGACACTGACCTCCAGACCTCGGTCGTAAAACCCTGCTCGACCATACACTGATAAAGACTGCATTCCTTTGGTGAAAGAATACAAAGGACTGATCATGACGTCTTATGCATTCAGCAATGTACTAATCTGTCTAATCATGAAATTTGTGTTAAAATGAGATGTTTCCTGTCTTTCTATGTGCTTCAGAAGCCAAGTTATCTTATCTGACAGAATAAATCCTTATTCTTTAGTTCTTTAGACCAACAGCTTTTCAGACTGTTTCATGAACTTTTAAGAGTTAAATTTATTGACTATGAATCCTAAGTTTACTCTAAGTAACAGAAATAGTTTAGAAATGTTTGGTTTATATTTTAGTTATTTATTTAGTATCTTAACCATTAGGTGGTTATAATGTCACTGAATAATCTGAATGTGAGTATTTAGAATCCATTATTAATCATGATGACGTTCATTCACATGTGTTTACTCTTTTGTTGTTCACAGTTTCTATGTGTTACTATCTGTTTCATTTCAGAGTAATTTAGCATGTTCAATGTGATACTTAAAACATAATGAGAATGTTTGATGTGATCCTACACTTCATTCATATGTGTTTAGTATCAAATTATTTATCATGAAACCAAGCATTCAATGATATTAATCATAGTGAGTGAGTATCAGATCTGACTCTTTTACCAGCCAAAAGAATAAGTTAGATCAAATAATCAGAGACCCGATGACCCCTCCTTTTTCTCCTCAGACACTCCCAGTGTGAGAAGATAAAACCAGTGGAGTGGGGTTGCTCACTCTCTTATCTCTTATCTCTTATCTCTCTTATGCTTCTGCTCTTCTGCTGACTCTCTTGTCCCCGGCTCTTATGCCCCTTCTCTTCTGTCCACACCCTTCTGTGGTGCGTTTCTTTGTTTTCTCTTAGAACTTTTTCTTAGTCTTCTAAGTTTTACGCCACGTGTTGATTCACGTTGATTTTTCTTTAACATCGTCTTAGTTCAAGTTTTGAAACTTCAACTTTTTGTGCACATAGCAATTCAAGATTAAGCCTTTGATTGATTTTCTTTAATTTCGCGAAGCCATTTTTGAAAGTTTTCTCTGCTCTTCGAGCCTCGTCTTTCTGAGTTTTCTGCGTGATTTCAAAGTCACCTCCGAACGCAATCCAACAGGCCCAGGTCATCCTCTGTGCCAGAGTTTTTGAGTGAGACTAAAGAAGTACCCAAACGAGCATCCACAGGATCCACAGGCGCTGGTTTTTGCTTCGGGCCTGAGTGCTGCAACTCCTGGCTCATCCTTCGGCTGACTTCAGTCGTCTTCTGAGCTGAACCGCTCGAACCGCCAGTAGCCCCGGACCTTCGGAACCTGCTCCATCTTCTCCAAGGACCAGTCTCACTTAAGTATGCAAACCTCCAGAGCTCTAAAGAGGGCTGGTGCTGTTTCCTGCGTTCATAGCTCAGATATCCTCTTATTCTGGTAATCTTAGATTCCTCCAAATCCACATCCGAGTTTATCTCGACACTAAAGTTAGTGTAGGTTAATATGTTAGCGCATATTCACTCACTATCATTAACTTTAGTGCTCCTAGCCTGACTCAGAATCTTTATTTATTCACTTATTATTATTTTATCCTCATTATCTTATCATCATTTATTGCATGTGTGTTGTACCATCATTTATCCTGTAATAAACAGATCATTATTTTTCTAAGTTCTTGACTGTTAGTGTTCTTCCAGAAGTGGAGTCCCTGAAATTAGAATTTCGACTTAAGATATGAGACTGATTAATTAAGACTGATTAATTAAGACTGATTAATTAAAACTGACTTGATGTTTGATTTCTGAATTAAACTTTTGTTTTCTTTATTTTCCCACCATTAAGGGTGGGTGGTGCCCCTTTCAACGAGTGCATAAATGTCATAATTTGAGATTATTAATCTTCAGACATTTATTATAAATTCCAATCGCTGCAGTATTATTTTGGTGCGGCCTTGTGAGGCTCATTTCAAATCGCTACAACAGAAAATATTCCCTTTTTCTGTGGGATTGTGGGTTCATGTATACATAAGACTTAACAAAAGCCACTTAAATCAGTAACACATTTCCAGATCTGTATGTCTTTATAATCCACTATCTTCAGTCTTCTGTTTCCAGAGCACTCAGCACTGACATGACCAGACACTCTCACAATGTATCCTGGATTCATTACCCAGCCTGAGGCCTTTCATTTGCTAAGAGCCTGTGTGCTTCTTCTCCTCTGATAAATGACATCTTTCTGCCTGCATTGAGAAATGGATCAGTGTAAATTGGACCACTCGAGGTCTGGCAGTAGCAGAAGCAGCAGCCTTTTATGGGTAAATGCAGCTCTTCCTCATGTTCAGTTGCTCGTCATGCCTTGCCTTTGACCATGGCCATTCTTTCAGAAACACTTTTAATGCGGACCCCTTTGCAGCTCACTTTGACATGGATGAAGAGTGTGGCCGGGGACAGACTAGAACCATCTGCTTTCAATAAATGAACATGTCGATAACCTGAGAAGCAAGAGTAAAACACACACTTAACAAAGCGGAAAACAGAAATGCTTGTTTTATATCATAAGGATCTCTATGTGCACCTGTTCTTAGACTCGTGAATGGCACAGTGAATTGTCCCACAAAGTCATTTTTGGCAGTGTGATCGTGGTCCTCCACTACAAACCGCACCAGGGCCAGTTCAGGAACCTGCAGCTGGAAGCTCAGAGTGCAGTCCCACCGTGGATTAAAACCTGTAGAGGGTGCACAAGAGCTGTGAATGCGTTGACAAATGAATCATGGCATTGGACAGGAAATACCTCAGCAATAATATGTCAAGGACCTGCACTTTATCATCTTATGTCTTTTTTAACTTTATTTTCACTGGAATATTAACAGTCAGTCGTGACAACATGATTACATTTCATGATAGATGTGAATCCAAATACAGTTTTGGCTCTGTGTTGAAAAAATACAGTGAATTATATAAGGTCAAACCTTGTGATTTAAGAAGTCTAATATTTACCATTGTTGTCAATGCGCTGAGTTTTGTCTCTTGCGTTATCAATGGCCACCCCATGAATTTCCACCCACACTTGTGGGTCCACAATGGAGCTCGCCTTGTCTGTATTGATTTTTGGCAGCTGTTGTGCAGATATTATCTGAAAAGACAGGGTAATTTGTCCATTTTCACTTCAACTTCTGATGCATAATCTATCAAATTAATATTCAGGTCAGAGCAAGTTGCACCCTTAAGGCCTCGGAATGAGTTGACTCTTGATTTATTGTTGCATCAATGTTACAGCTGTAAATGCAGTTATGAAAAATAAGCTGGCAGAATTTTATGTTTATCTACTGCCAAGTTTATCTTCACTTTGCTAATCTTTAAATCAGCATGCAATCCTTCTGTGACTTCTCTTGACAGCCAGTTTTGTGTTCCCTGTCTGCTTGCAAGCTGTTGTCATTAAAACGGCAGCCTAAATTTCAATTAAGCCAAATCTAACAGTTGCTTTTGAGGCAATGAGTAGGTTACAAAGTTAGTCAGCCACATTCAATATGTAGAACATTAAGGGTCAGAGGTGTCAGGAGAATAAGCAAAGAAGAGATCTTAATAAACAACATAGTCAACACTAAAAACAGCTCTTCACTAGCTTCCTCTCACTCGTATGGTCAGCTGTGTAGGGATGTGACCGGGGCCTCCTCCCGTGTTCTCTGGGTTGAAGTTGGATGCTGGGCTGCACAGGAAGCTTGGTTTTAAAACGTATCCACATCGACCGTTGGACAGGAAGCGACCCTGGTTCAGGTCCATCTGCTCCCCGGGGGTCTGGAAGTTCAGAGCAACTGTGAGACACAGAGAAAGGAGTCAGTAAAAGAGCACCAGCATCACTGAACGCTGGAGTGGCATCAATGTCTAATGCTACACCAATTTGCAGAAACGAGGGGTAGTATCACATTTCTACGGCACTTAGTGACCAGAAAATGTGTTTCAAATGATTTGCCTTAATTTTCTGCCATCAGAGCAGCATCCTCACTTCCAGTCTGGAGTACTAACCCATATGGCAGCCAGCGTTCCACATTTCCTGAGGATCATAGTTGGATGATTGCAAGCGCTGGCCGGAGGGGTAGATCCGGCTCAGCTGCCTGCTGTTGTGTCGCACAAAAAGCTTTCCTGCAAATGAATAGACAGAAAACCACATGTCATGATACTCTGGAGGCTGACGGTATTTTCTAGTAGAATCAGCTGCAGCAGAAAAATGTCATAAAATCTTCCTGACTCTCTGTGTCGTGTCAGTATGCAATTATTTTCCAATGCTGTACCCGTGTCTTTGATGAGCTTCAGGGCATCGCTCTCCGAGAAGGAGGACATTTCATTTGGAGGTTTTTGGGCAATGTTTTCAAACCCACGGAAGGGGACACTCCTGCAGTAGACCACCAGCTCTGATAGCTCAGTACTCAGTTTGGAACAGACCTGGGAGGAAAAACATGAAAGAAAATTGGTTAATTATCTGTGAAGTTCACTTTAACAGCTTCTAAAGTATCCTCCAACTGACCTTTGCTGGATCCTTTTTAGGTGTATTCTTATTACTCCCTGCTAGCTCGTCCTCAGAGCTGGAGGAGAAGCTGGCACAGCTCCCATTCTTACCCAGCTGGCCCAGGTGAGGAGTGTGCTTCTTCCCTTTCACCAGAATACGCCCTTTTAGCTCCTGCAAGAAAGTTTTTGGAACAAATTGCCTCATTAGAAAAACAGACAGCCGGAGTCCTTTGAAAAAAAAGACCCAGCTGTGCGTGTTTGAGGTACCTCAGGAGAAGGCAGATCCTTCAGCAGCCGGTCACTGAGGGGCTTGGTGAGCAGTTTGCTCCCCAGAATGGTGCGGAGGTGTTTGGCCATGACGGCCTGCTGCTCTACAGAGCAGTGATTCTCCAAGGACAGGATTAGAGGGTATGGGGACGCCTGCAGGGAGAAACACAGGACAACTCAAATGCCATGCAATTAAAATGTGATTAGTTCACATAATAGCAATGCAGAATGTAACACTGTAAAACCAAAACATGACAGGTTGCCTATGAGCCAAGTAGGCTGTCAAATCAAGGAGCAAGAGAATCTGGGTTTGTTTACTGCTCACTTATTTATTACCTCTAACGAAAGCAGCGAAGCTAACTGTCATAGCTGAGGATTTACACCATATAGTGCTGTTGCTCCAGTTACCTTAAAAGCATACTGGTTGATGGTTTCAATAACCTCCTTGAAAGGCACTTTGGAGGTGAGAGTGTGGCCGTGGTAGATGACAGGCTCTCCTTTATCTCCATCCCAGCAGTCCAGCTCCACGCAGCGACAGCCCTGATTCAGAGCCCTGCCGAGGAAACACACACTCATAATCAAACACCATCCGCTGCTGAAACGTGTGGTGGTGGTTCATGTTTGCAGTCTGATTACCTGATATATGGCTCTGTGCTGCTGGCACTTGTAACTTGGTCCTTGGTAAGGTAAGTGTTGTGCGACGAGGATATGAAGTAGTGTGTCAAAGGGCGGGTCATGTCAAGGTAGACTTTTGTGTGGATAGGGTTAACCACATCGTTCTCCCGGGACAGCATGTACATGGTGAAGCCGTTCTGGGTCATGAACAGGTTTTTCTGAGCTGCAGGAGGTAGAAAAGTCTTTTAATTGAGTCCTTGAAGAGCAGCTGTTCAATAAAACCCAGCCTACTTCTCTTCCCTCATGTAGATTGTCCAAATAAAACTATACCAGGGCTCCTCTTTTTGATGATTCAACACACTTCCTTCTGCTTTAACACAGCTGTGACATATAACAGTCTTTCTTTTGTCACATCAGGCTTATGTGACTTATCAGTGTACTCATTTTCATCAACTCGCCCTAAATAGAGATTCATCATCATATACACATCTTTCCTCATGACATATTTGAGTAAGAGTAGCTCTTGAATCACCTAAATGCAGCTTCTCTCATTGATATGACTCATTTTCACTTTTTGGATTTGAACTGAAGAAAATGATGAACACCTTCACTCCCTTTTCTTTGCCTTTAACATCAATAAAGTATGATAGTTTTGTTGTGTATCAACCATATGAAGCTGTAGTTTTAAGTTAAAACAAACCACTCTCATTGCACAAAACACAGTTTACCACATTGTTCAGTGGTATTTGATTTGTTTTGTTTGTATTCAGAATAGCATTCACAGGTTCAGGTTGAATCACTGTTTTGATAGTCTAGAGGCAGCACCAAATAATAATCTTAGTGTTTATATCAAACTGTTGTGGGCTCTCTCTCTAAAGCCCTTAATGACTGTGTCTGGGACCTACCCCACTCATTAAGCTCGTAGGTGAGTATGAGGCTCTGGGCATGATTCAGTGAGGCGTCTTCTCCTTGGTCTCCCAGGAAGTCTCTCAGCTCAGCGGTGGCGAGCACATTGCCATTACTTGAATAGTGTCTGAACACAGAATCCAGCTCAGGCCGGCGCAGCAGTTCCCTGCAGAACTCCTCGATCTCTATATGATCCAGACGACCATCCCCGGATCGGTCACACCTCTAGGAAACAGGAAAAGGGTGGGTGAAGAAAAAACAAAAACAACTGAGCACACACAGAGATAAAGGGCCTTGCGTCAAAAACAGTGTGCTATGCTTTTAGGTGTGGTTCAAGAAACCCATGGGGAAAGAATCTCCATGAGAATTGATTCAGCTGTGCAGACTTAAATTAAAAATATCACCCTCTGAGGAGGGTCAGTATAGAAAATTGCATCAGGAAGGCACATAAAAACCAACAATTCAGCCATAATAGAGCACTGAGGGACATAGCAGGCACTAATCCACCGCAATAAAGACATAACTGGCTCTTGATTTGTTGTAGGAGGGGATAAAGATGTTGAGGGGGCAGCACAGTGCCTCACAGCTGCTGCTTTGGTAATGGTACAAATGCTTTAGACACTGGGATGTCACAGTACAACAAACTCAGTTAACTTTTATCACCCGATCATGAGAGTTATATATTCGACTAGTCTTAAAAAACACAAATTGTATACCCATGATGCCCCTGACCTTGAACAAAGAGCGGGCGTACTGCTCACTCAGGTCGATGTTGATCATTTGCAGCAGGCGCTTGACCTCATCATAGCTCATCTTGCCGTCCTGGTTCTGATCTGCCCGCCTCAGGTAGCCTCTGATCCAAGTGTCAAGGGTTAAGGAATCAAAACATCCTAAAATCAGGGAAGTTCATTGGACTCATAGCTTTCATTTGTTATTAAATCACAAAACACCAATTGTTTGTGCTGGTGGAGTCCCACCCAGAGCCAAATCGTAGCTGGACCCACCCATGGTTTTTCCCTCCTTCCTTTTCCACAGAAGCCCTGAGCGGACATGCATCCATATATTTGATATACCCCATCCCCTACTAACAATGAATGGACTTCATTGTTTTCTTTAGGCTTTAACTTCATATCAGATGATCATAACTTGAATAAAAGCAGTTGCCAAAACAGAAAAGAACAAAAGAAATACTTTCTTTCATTGTTTTAGGATGCCAGTTTGATGCATGCAGCACAGACTGCATCTTAAAATGAACACAAGTTCATCGCCAAAGACGCCAAATTAGTCAGAGCCCCCCCTACTGACTGGTTGGTGTAAAGATCATAGACCTGTGCTCCATGTTAACAGATGGGACATAAATCAAACTATGAAATTTAAACATGGTTTCTGTCATTATAGTTAGTTCTTACCATGCTGCTTTATTTTCAAGTGTTTTTTCAGAAAGGTTATTTCAATTAAGTATTAGATGTTTAAAAGATGACTTGCTAACAGCTCTGTTATTAAATAAAGCTCCTGTGGTGTTTTTTTGACGGATTAGCTGAAGAGAGATGAGAAAACTTAATGAACACTTAAGCAAGAGTCATTAAACCTCCTAAAAGCATGAGTGCCTGCTTCAAACCAGTAAGTGAAGGGGGTGTGACGTCAGTCCCACGCCTCCACCAGCCAAATCACTTTGGCTCCATTAGCTCAGTGTGTCAGCAACCACTGAGGTGATTCTGGCTTCTCACATATATGCAGTCCCAGTACAGCAGTATTTACAGCAGCATTTGACCAGAGCTATAGCCCCCAGTGAGAGCATGTGGCTACGCCGAAGCTTAGACACATTTAACTTGCATTTTGGGCCTACATTAGTAAAAACATCACTAATTAGTTTAACTGATGAGTAATTCTGGTGTAGACTAGCAAAGCTGGACACATTCAATCATTTAGTTCAGTGAAGCTTTTTAACACTCTCCCTCACACTCAATATAAAAATCAGTCATTTACACGCGCACATCTGGTTTGGCAGAGTCTATTTCAGTTTAATACAAGAGCCCTGTAATAAAATCTCCCCATACAAGGTTTCTATTATTCATATCAGGAGATACTGAATCAGTTATCGCACTGTAATGCATTTCTGATACGAGGCATGGCTGATATAAATGGGATAGATAAAACAATACACAGTATACTCCTAGAGGTCTATCTCAATAACATTCAGGCTCACTGAAATAAAACTGAGCATCAGTGTCTTCATGGAGGTGGGGTTTATCGCAGAACTGCAGTATTAGATGGACTAAGTTTGAAGTATAACAAGTAAAAATACTGATGGTTTAGTAGTGAGTGTCTGTCACATGAATATAATGCACTGCTTCTGCAGAAACAAGTGAATAACAACAACACACTAATTTTAGATCGCTGTCACTTGTGCCTGCAGTTGTCATTGTAACAGAGAAAGCCCACACATTCACATCACACCATTTAAAACAAACATCACCTGGGCCTCTGAAACCTGCAGAACGAAACACAATAATCATGGTGACAAGACAGCACAAACACCATCACTACCCAGATGACTGAGATGTTGAAATATAAACAGAGAATGAGGGGGGAATGAGAGAGAGGCAGAAAACCTTCATCTGAAACCTACACCAGTGGTTGACTATATTTAGAGAGGCTTTTTTATCAAGTCATTACTGCTCTTCTTAGCTATGCTGTGGACGTAAGGTGGTACATATGACACCACAGTCAGTTACTGCTCAAGCCGCACTATATTTATGTTGGCATATTGGAAATTGGGCAGGATATTGGTCCAGTTTTTCCTTCTGCGTCATGTTGGCCACATGCTCTTTCAAAGCACGAAGCCCTCGTACCCAGCGCTGAGCTTCTTCCTCGCAGGGGCACAGCAGGTCCAGACTCTTCCTGGCACCCCTGAAAACGACAGTAAAGCACTGGTTCTCAGGCACGGAGCCCGACAGTCGCCTCAGCGTCTCCGACTGGCAGCCTTCACGCACACACTCTACTTCTGTGACAGCAACTGAGAGAGGAAAGGTGACAAGAGAGGGAGGAAGAGTTCAGAGAAGTAAGAAATGTTGAGAAAACTCAGGAAATCACAACAACACATGGAGCAGAGCAGTCAAAGGTCAATCACACATTTACAGGAATTCAGAAACTTCATCGCTTACACTCTCATAGCAACTGGGCTCAGACAGTATTGTATATTGTTAAGCCCCAAACATCATTCTTTGACCTGCAACTTCTTAACTGATACTCAAAGAGCCGGGTCTTCTCATGGGTTTTAAAGAGCTGCTTTCTCTGCATTAATAATGTGCTCGTGAATTCATACATTTGAATTAGGAAAAGTTCAAAAGAAGGAGCAACAGGCTCGCTAACACTCTGGGAGGATATGTTAGCATTAGCTGCTGATGCTGACATCTACTGGAGAAAGCTAGGGTCTGCAATAATCGAGCTTTTTATTAAAATTGTTGAAATTAAAACTAATCGAAGTGTCTGGGGAAAGGGCTTCAGCGTTTTTTTGTTACGATCATAGACTCTATATAGAATGGATGCTGTCTGCCTACTCGCTGGGTGAAGCCACAGCGAGAACAGCACCCTCTGGTGACAGGGTGCAGTATAGGTCATAAATTCCGCCTCCTCCAGCAATCCCTATGGAGCTGTGGACAAACTTTAGAAATCAATTACACAGAATATACACTTTTCTCCTCCCCGGTTGTGATGTTGACATGTAGTCACTGTAAGACTGGTTTGTGCTCAAGTCCTCTTTTTTCTGTGCAGCTCCATTTTTAAAAGTTATTAGGGGGGTTCACGTTTTCTATGATTGACACTTGATACAGCCTATGGGTGTACAAAGATTGCGTAGCTCACCCGGAAGATACGCTGTATGAGCCGAGCAGCGAATCTCGGCGCCTCTTTGCCAAATGCGTTCAATGCTACTGTGCAAGTGGAGGTTCCAGGAAGTGGAGAAAATCGAGGAAATACCGAGAGCAATTCGGCTTCAAATTTGTGTAATGACAGAAGGCGGAGCCAAGTTGTCCATAGTATATACAGTCTATGGTTACGATTCTGTAAAAATAGGGTTTAATTAAGCAAACTATCGATTAGCTATAGCTTATGAACAACATAAATAGCTGCAGCCTTGGAGGAAACTTCACCCAATAATTGCTCTAAACTATAAAAAAAATGTAGGGTTCACATTTACTAAAAGATTAGTGCGCTTGTTGTAAATGTTTTCATTTTTGAACCTGCTGATAGAGAGGAATAGTCAGTGGATTAGCAGTCTGAAAGATTTCAACTCTGAGCACCATGAATGTCTCTAAGTTTCTTTGCAGTAATAGGTGACTTATTTCAGACTTGAACAGACATGATCTGTTGATCTGTTTAACTCATATACGTTGATCTAAGGTAACTCAGGGAACAGCACAACAAAACCTAAACCCGCACTCTCTGATGCCAACACAACAACTTGACCTTTTTCTTTATGTGGGATGCCTGCAGAGTGGTGATCGCTGGGCTGGGTAAAAAAAGAAAGAAGTGTCTGCTCTGACAATAGCTTCATTCTACGGCTGGAGATCATAAGGCCTCTGCTGTCCACCTCTTCAAAATTACTCCACATTCCTGCTGTGCGGTTATCCCAGAGACATGGCAAAAGCGGCATGTATGTGTGTGCGTGTGTGTTTTAACTGTTGTAATGTGTGCCAAGTGCTTTTAAGCAGAAGACTTAGCACTTAGTTGCATGCGCCAGATCACACTGGACCTGGAAAAGCGCCTAGAGCTTTGGAAAAGAGGACCCAAGCCAAGCCTTCCTTCTGGATTCACACAGCCGCACACTAAAACACACACAGATTCGTTCCTCAGTGGCCTGCCAGTGTTTGCATTATCGGTATCTGTCCTCACACTCTTGTTGACATCATTGTAAGGAGTGTTACACACGCCGCAACTCGACCACTCCGCCGTCTATTTCTGGAGCAGCTGCAGCACAATCAAGAACAGCCTTCACCGCCACTGACACACAAACCAGTTCACCCACTCAGCTGCTCTGTAAGGCCAGCAGGGGTTAGCATTAAATTGCATTCCAGCATCAGGATGGGCAGTGCAGACCAGGAGGAGAGGCAGGGGGCAAAGATTAAGCAGCAAAGAAGAAAATAAAACTGGGTGAGGGAGATGGATCTCAGGTGTCAGCTGACATATTTTCACCTTTGGTTCAAATTTCCAGAAAAGAGTTTTCTTAAACACAAAGAAACCTCAAACACATTTCAGGATACATAAATAGCTCTGCACTCTGGTATTTTCTACAGAGCACTTTCTTTTTTATCTTGATACTTTTTCTTGTGTTGATAAGGAAAGTATGAGTAATGTAAAAACCTGAGATCTGTAGACCTGAGTCTCTGCGGTGGTTTGAATCTGAGCAGAACCCCCATCTTTGCATTTGAACTATTTTTATGTCTCACAAACCAAAGAAGATGCAAAGTCATTATCTATCTGTTCTATTGACTCTTCCAGGATTTCTATTTTGTGACTGAGACTAACACTGTAACTCAAAGAAGCTATGCTTGGCAACTCTGACCAGAGACGTATTCTGCATAGTGACAACCTCAACTTCATTGGAGTCTCCATCAAGTTGGGACACAACGTCCCACAACAGCACATGGCTGGTAAAGTATCCTGTAATTGAAATCCTCTTTTTATGTCTTTACAATGATCTACTTTGCTTTTCTAGTTTGATATTTTTATGAGGTCTTAATACTCAAGAGTGAAGAGTATGAAATAATCATATAAAGTTCATAGAATTAAAAGAAATCAAGTATAGTCTCACAAAAAACTGTTAATCTAATAAAGGACAAACTATCTTTAAATTGCAGTGTAGTTGTCTTCCTGGAGCAGTGCCATTCGAAAGAAAGCAGACTGAAAAAAAGACATCTCCAACCTTGTACTGCTAAACTAAATAATCCAAATGGGAGCAAATTCATATTTTGAAAATCTGGTCATCACCGAAGTCAGCTGTGTCACCTTGAGTTGGTGCCGTATGCTCACAGCATTTTGTGGGTCCTATTCAACCCTAAATGTACTGAAAACAGAATAAAACTTCTATCTATTGCCAGGTAAAGGTGCAACATTTATGCTTCTGTGACATCTCACCCTCTTTAGTGCTTTACAAACACCAGTGGCAGATGCAGACTTCTTTGACTGGAGCATTCAAATCTGCTTGACTTTGTTGTTTAAAAAATAAAAAAGATGTCCAAAGCCACTTTAAAAGAAAACCATCTCCAAAGAAAAACAAGAAGCAACTAGCAACCTGTTGAACACACACAACCCAAATAGTTGAATTCTACTCAAGTGTAGCTTTTGACAAGGTAAACAGTCAGTTATAGGCCCTTCCTCAAACTGCCCTCACCATTCCCACTCAGTACAGAGTTCACTCTGTTTGAAGTCATGGCCACAGCTTAATAAAGTTCCCTTTCTGAAGGTGGAGGATCAGGTAAAGCTGAAAGCTCACAGACAGACTCCACTCACTTTTGAGGAAGGAGTAACTTTATGTAACTATGGTTACATCTCACAAAAATAATAAGCAGTTTGCATAAATAATCATTCAGCGATCTCACAAAAATCCCTCCACAGTCTGAGAAACATTCAACATCTTCTTAGTTTGTTTATTTTTTTGAACCATGTTATTGTTTTTGATCATATTATCTTGTAATGATAAAACAATTTATTGTCAAGAGGCCCCGTAGTTTCCAAGACTGGAGGGGTTGATTAGATCCTGATTACATTCAAAACTTTGAGATTTCAACATCGGTGTAGTCGAATTAGTTCTCATCTTGATAATAACAGTATCTGTCTGTGCAGGTTACCACAAGGATCTTTAATCTATCAAGTGCATCCCATAACGAACCTTGAGCGGTGTTAGACCTGGTCAGATGCCCCCCTGGCCATCCCTTGAATCCACAACCAAGAGGCACAAACTATGCCAGCACTGGACAGAATAACAAAGAAATAAAGAGGCAAGACAGGGATTGCTGTGGGCTGGCAGAGTAATCAAGGCGCGATGACAGTGCATGTGTGTTTGCATGTATGAATAGACCATGGCTAACATGAAATCATACACCGGGACACCATCATTTCTAGGTTAGGATGCTATTGCAATCTGTGAAAAGAGCTGGTGTCAAGTACCAAGAAAATTATAGATTTGATCGTCTGTGTGCAATACAATTCAAAAGTTTGTGTTCCTTTTTACAGTTACTGAAAGCTTTGCACACATAAAATCAGCCATGATTATTGTTGAGGCCGTTTGCAGTTTGTAGAGACCAGTGATTAGTCTCCACACTCTCTAAGGAAACAAGCTGTAAAACAAAACAGAGGAGAGGGTATTAGATGGAGCCAAGATAAAACAGCCCAACGACTCTGAACAATAAGCTGGCTGAATGAGCGCACTGACTCACATCCCAGTCTATGCAGGGCTGGTGGAGGGCCTGCTGGGCTGTTTCTACATTACCCCCTCTGTAGATAAGTGTCCCTTCAGGCAAAGCTCTTTTCAACTAATCTGATATCGCTTAAGTTTCCTCTCTTTTCATCAAAGCCAGTTCCTATTCATGAACAACATCACTCTTGGTTTTTCTCCCTCGTTCACCTCTTGTTGCTCACTTTCTTTAACAGTATTCAAGTCCTCCCCCTGATGATAAGTCTACTAAAACGTTCACTCGGTGCTCTTCTTACAACTCCTCTGAAGTTCTCTCACTAACCATGCAGCCATATCTGAGCCATACTCACAAGTCTGCTGGGCTTTGGCTTTGCGGGAGCTCTTGGTGGATTCGCACCAAACTGTGAGTCCATCCTCCAGCAGCCGGAGGTTTCGGCTCTTCTGCCACCTGGAGGAGCGAACTTTCGTCATGTTGGAGCCCTGCATCATCGTGCGAATGTCCTCGCTGTCGTGAAGCCCTAGAGAACACACACACAAACAAAAAAAAAGTTCAAAATACACACAAGCTGGGATTCAATTTGACAACATGCGCGGGCCATTAGTGAGCTGAGTCACACCTGGTTGACGGTGTTTCGCTGCAGACTAGCTGACACATCTAATGAGGCACATTAGAAGCCATACTGTTTGATCACCCACCTGTCTTCTGTGACCATTTTATACCAGTTTTATCTTATTTTCCCGCTCAGTACATAGCCATGAACAGAAAACACTTTATAGTAAAACCAGACACCAAGGGGAGATGTTTTTGTCTTTTAAAGTGTACTTCACTAAACTATTTCTCTTCTCTTTTGAAAGACTCTGTGGGTGTTGGTTTAAAAATTCACAGCTCTGACTGTCGAGACGGTATTCATCAAGTTGAAGATACAAATAAAGTCAACCCTCCTCTGCTTGTTTCCTAAACCTGAGGTTGTGTTTTATATACAAACCTTGAAGGGAAAAGAGGATAAGTTCCCCCTGCATGCCCAAAGAAACCGTTCCATTGTCATTTATTTAGAGAGCACTGTTTCTCTCTGTGTTTTCTTCCAGTCACGTCTTCAAAGAATGAACACTTTTCTTCTGCATCAGGGTAAAGCTGAAGGAAATCCACTGCTGAGATGAAAATCAGCTGTGATAAACTACTAGATTTATGTCTCCATTGGGGCTGAAGCAGGCCAGCCAGCAGCAGAAAAGACTTACAGTAGAGAAAGCTGTAAAGCAAAGACCTGGGTGTAATGCTCCTACCAGCTCTCCTCTACTACCAATGAAAGTGTTATCAGGAAGAAACAAATGCAGCACCTGAGAAGGAGTATTATTTGTTCTGAAAGCTGGAAGGATCAGAATGTAATAAAAAATAAAATCATAAAAGACTGGAGTAGGGAGCCTGAGGGATCTGTAGACCTGCAACAGAGGCCGAGGTTGAGTCATCTCACTGAAGTACAGAGATAAAAACAAACAATTATGCACTATCAGTTTTATATTTCACATCTTTGAGGATAAACAGAACAGTTTCATGCAAAACATTTGTAGAAGAAATTGTGAAACTGCACGTATAAGAACAAGTTGGGACAGGGATTCATATTTGAACTTTTGTCACTTTTAAGTGATCGATGAAAGTTTGCAAGGACTTTAAAAAAAACAAAAAGTGTCTGAACACAAGTGTTAGTCGCAGCTGTAGTCTCAGAGAAAGGTGATTTTAAGCCGCAGGTTTGCAGTTGAAAGGACACGCAGAGAGTGTTGACACAGCAGTTTTTCCATCTCTGATTCCAAAAGTTCAAGCGTGACGGACCCACAGTGTGCCGGGTGTAATCCAATACTGTGGGACAGACATTTTCCTGGAGTCAGTTTTCAAATGATAAAAAATGTGCATAACTTCTGCAAATATTTCCCTTAATATGCATCCTAAAATGTACAAACAAACTGTGTAATAAGGTAATGGATTTAATCAAATTCGGGGCTCTTAAGGCTGAAATAAGGGATAATACAAACATTTAAAACATCTGCTTTATAGTTTCTGCCTTAATAGAAATGTTCATAAACAAACTTTTACAATTGAAAATGCTAAATTATAATGTCATTCACACATTTTAAAGGTTTAGTTAAGAGCTAAAGTGCTGTGCAGCATATAGTTCAGCTACAGCTTTACAGTAAGAACGTTAACAAAGAACCGTCAGCCTCATTGCATCTTCTTTCACAGCGGGAATGAATGGGACCTCTCACTGAGCCGCTTTCTTTCAGGACTGTTCAAAGCAGGAGTCTCAATAAACTCTCACTCTTGTCACATGACACTTCATGGCTTCGTCTCTGCTCAGCCCTAAAGATTTATCCAGATTCAGTTGGCATACTTTCTAGTCTTTCCTTTAAATCCCAGCCTTCATACTGTCAGTGCCAAATGGCCAAAGTTCCCTAGAGGGCCCCCAAGGCTACAGCACAACAGAAACTGCACCCCTCGATCCCCATCACCCCTCCCACCCCCTACTTGAAACCAACTACAGCCGAGAATTCCTCCCCATCAGGCCCATCAGTGTTGAACACAAAGAAATCCCCCTGCCAGCCCTCCATCCATAACAACCCTGTTCTTCCAAGCTGTTACCACATGCAAAGCATTCCCACAAGCAGAGCACATGGTCCTGATTAACTGCAGGTCATTGACCACGCTAAGCTGCCCAAACAGCCTGTCTCAACCCTCTGTTTTACCTTTTATTATTGCCTCTCCAGCCATCACCACATTCTTGCTCTCCTACCTGCATCCATTTAAAATCTAACCACAAGAACACAAGCGAGGACAAGCCTGTGAGTGTGGGCTTATTTAAACAGAAGCACATTCACATTTTGATACACTAAGCGCCTCTGAAAGCCTATTCATGTGGGTGTAAATGAAGGGATGGGCATGAATCTTCAGGCTACAGAGCTGAATTGTGTTTTCTCCTCATCGTCTCCAGCTGTAAATCTGGTTGACATCCTCTTCATCGGACAGTCAAGGCCCTGCGTACCGACTGGTTAGCAACCGTGCTGATGTGTACGAATGCAGCTATTCAGCAGCAAAGTTAGCAATGTTGTGGAAGAAAAACAGTAAAAACAAAACCATGTTTTGAAGAATTAAACCGCGCTAGCTTCTCAGTCAGGTTGAGTTTCACAACAGTATTGCTAGCTAAATGCTAAAGTCAGCAGGTTAACTCGGTAACAGCTGTGCTGCTAACATACTGGTGATAAATAAAGGAGGGCTATATTGCGCAACCTAATCTAACAGAGAAGCATGCTAATATTTGATTTGCGGCTAAGCAAGCGGACACAGAAATTTTACAAAAAAAGCATAAAAAGTGCCAAAAAAAAGGGTTAAGATTAACCACAGTTGAGTATTAGCATCAATAGTCTGGCATGTTGAGATGGTAACAGGAGAAGTTTGTCCTGTTAGTGAAATTAAGGTCAAGTTACTTGAATTAATTCTCCAGGCACCACGAATATCTGAACAAATAGTTGTTAAGATTTTTGACACCCTTTTTTAAATTGATGTACCAGCTGCCCAAGAGACAGACAGATCGATATTCTTATGCTGCTAGCACAGCCAAACTAATAGTTAAATGTGAGTATCTAATGGTATAGTCTGTGATCTAATGATCAAAAGCTAAAAGAGAGGGGGAGAAGACAGCTGGATCAGCAGGGAGAAAACTATAAACATTCAAATCAGCTCATGTTTTCCTTGAGGGTGTTTGATACTGTGAGAAGCAGGGTGCCTCCAAACTGAGAGGAGGATCAGAAAGAAAAATAACCATATCATCTGGTCAGTAATAGATTGTGTCTGCATGAGACTTCTTCACTCAGACCCACATACCAGCTCCTACAGGGACACGGTTCACGTTTCTCTCAGCATAACAACTGTGAAGAGAGCCAGCAAGCAGGGATTCTACACATGCATATAGATAGGCATGTCAGGGTGTTGTCAATATGATACGGGCGGAGGGTCAATTAAATTTTCTCAATTCTGTTCTCCCACGGGACAGATGAGGCGTTATGTAGGTCACATCTCTTTGTATCTCATAATGCGAAGTCCACTTTTTAATGAAAGTGGTGACATCAAAACCTCAGAAGAAAGATAGTCTGAGCAGAGCTGAACAAAAAGGACTCTGCTTTGGAGTTGGGGCACTTAGTGGGATGGCCAGACCTGAGAGCAGACTCTCCTGAAAGAAAGGACTGGAAACAAACAGTTTTGTTTTTTTTTCTAAAGCAGAGTTTCTGCCAAGGGTTTTGTGGTGCTCACATTTGAACATGAAAACAAAGCAGCTTCTTTGTATTCAGCTGGAAATCCAGAGCAGCCAGTTCACACATTCTCTTTGTCTTTCCCTATGAGTGATGCATCATTCATTTACTCATTAATAAGCAAGATATAACCACACTACTACTGTGTGCAGCGTAACATTCATTCTCACCACCATTCATAGCTTGAATAGCTGGACTATTAACCCTGCTTCATTAGATAACAGGATTTCACATTTAACTTACTAACCACTTATTTAATGGTAATAATTCAGTCATTTGTAAAATCACTAATCACGTACACAGATGCATATTTAACAAAGGAAGCCGAAGTTTCAGATGATTCTTTCCTCTGACTTCCGAGATTTCTCCTGGAATGCAATCATAAAGGGCGTCTGTTGTAAATGATTCATGGATTTAGTCAGTCAAGCCAGCCTATAAATCTGACTTGACCTTTGTTTATACTTCCTCATTGTCTGAGAGCCATTGGACACACTGCTGTATGCAAAATATTTAAAAGTTAAAATGATTTTCTTTTGACTGTATTTAAGCCTTGGAGGTGGTGAAGTAATCAGTTGGAAATGATTATTTTCAAATCACAACTAACCATATATTTGATTATGGAAGTAATCAAATGTACAGAAAGGTAAGCGCACCATTCTGGTTACAGTTTTTATCAGTTAGTGGTGTCTTGAATCTTCATGTAGATCTATTACCCAAATGTCCATACACAGTAACAGCAGATGACAATCTAACACGTGTGGTTTTGCTCGAGGTTTCTGCCTGTGAAAAATGAGTTGGGTTTTTTTTGTTTTGTTTTATTGTTTGTTTGTTTTTTGCCACTGCAACTCACCTAATAAAGCCAAGTGTTTTGCTCATGGCAGATTAAGACAGGTAGAGCACAGGTCTTATTTTACAAGATGAGACTCAATCCTATCCTATCTAGATGTTGGGTCTTTGTAAGTTGTTCTATTTTAAAATTGTCTGGAGATAACATTTGTTGGGAATTGGTGCTACATAAAAAAGACTGATTGATCTTGACCAGACTGAAAAATCCTTCAGCAAACAGGAACAAGCTGTGAACTTGCAGATTAAAATACGACATTGAATTATTGTGAATCAAAAGTCTGCAGGACAATTAAAACATCACAGAGCTCCGTGGCTGACAACCACCAAAAACAACCTGGACTCCTTGGCTCTAAATTCATGACCTCCTGCACCTGTCTCTGGGGGATGCGTCTGTAGCTCTGGACATGTTCACTCAGATGTGCATGATCTAATTCTCCGCAGATTACGTCAAGACTAAGAAAACTCGGGTGCACCAGATACATGACACGCTTTAAAGGTTTAGACTGAGACTGTGTGAGAAACTTGAAATAAACATGTAGTCCCATGACACCACATGACAACACCCTCCCCTCCTCCCCCCAAAAACCCCACTTAAACCATGTGCCATTCTCTTTTTCATGTGAGAAAGGATTGAAAAGCTACTCAGGCATGGTGGGTTGAAGGCCACTTGACTGATTCATGATGACATGTCAGTAAGAGGTCAGAGGGTTTGAGGGTTATGACCACACAGGCTTCATTATTCAGTATCATAAAGGTACATTTAAAAATAGAGTCCACATTTGCGTATGACATCTTTAAGCACCGAGATACAGTTTCATAACTGAAACATCATGCATAAACAAAATCTGCAGAGTGTTGCTGGCTTCATCATAGTCTACTCAGTCAGTGCTCTGGTCTCTGCACACACAGGGGTTGAAGATTCAGGTAAAAAAAGAGAGAATCAAACATCATGACATAATTTTTGGTTTTGATATTTCACCAAGCTTTTTTTTTTTTTTGCAAAATTACGGACATCGTCAACAACTTTTAAACTCCTAAATACCCTATGTACTTTCCTAAACTTGCAGAGGTTTGAGAAAATGGTTATGCATGTAAGTCGGCTACTGGCTGTCTGAAGGTTTTACATGCAATTAGTATAAATCTGGTAATGGGTAAGCATCAGCAGTAGTCCAGATTTTTGACATTCCCAGTCTTTTCATGTCAGGGACTCTGACAGGTGCTCTGTCTGTGCTCAGCAGGTGTCTATTTTGGGGGAGGTGTGACTGTGAGCTGAGAGGGCTCATGTTGGCCTGAGAGGGAGTGAGCTACATGGGATGGGATGAGTGAGAAGCCTGAATCACACATGCAGTGCGCTAATAGATCAGCTCTCTGTAAAAAACATGATCACTTAAACTGCTACACCTACACGCACACGCTGACAAACCCAGTTGTGTGCGATGTGTCAGAGAGCTGTCACTATCTCCTTATTGGCCTCTTTTTTAAAATGTTTTCATCATACAATCCTCCCTGTTATTTGACCTTTGACCCCTGGCACCAAACAGGCACCAGGCAAAAGGTGCATGGCCAGACGGTAAATACAGCTCTTCTCAGTGTGTTTGTTTATGTGTGTGTGTTTGTGTATGTGTGTGTGCTTTACCCAACTCTAAAATTAACAAGGATGAAGCAGGTCATTAGTCTATCATCTATAAAAAATGAATGCAATTATTCCAAAGTTAGTAAGTATGTACACTATTGGTCAAAATTTTAATAGCACCACAGTTTTTCCCATTTTTTTGTTGAAAATTTTGCAGTTTCATGTTCATTCAGGCTGTGCTGGCCTCTCCATGTTTTCAAGCTCACCATCTTAGACTTAAGTTTTAGGGTATTGTCTTGCTGTAGGATGAACCCCTGACCAACTAGGCACATACCATAGGGTACTGCATGGTACTGCAGAATGCCGTTGTAGTTGTTTTGGTTCAGGGTGCCTCTCACTCTGACCGAGTAAACCAGCCCCAGACCATCACCCTCCCTCCTCCATGTTTGACAGTTGATGCCACACACTGTGAGGAACTATTGTTTCGCCTACACGAAAATCCTGCATGATTAACCCAAGAGTTAAGATTTTGATTCATCAGTTCATAACACCTTCATCCACCTTCGTCTTCAGTAGTCCATTTGCAGTGTTTTATGGCCCAAACAAGCCTCTTTTCCTTATTCTGATGTCTTAGTAATGACTTTCTTGTGCTTAAAGCTGTTGTCTTGTGAACAGCCTATCACACAAGCTGCTGACTCTCAGAAACCTGTCTTCTGAATTTGCTGTGACTTTGGGTCTACCTGACCTCTTCCTGTCATAGTCCCCCCCGTTTCTTAGAAGAGCCTTTTGATGGTTAAGAAAACTGTACACACCGACACGTTGTCTTTTGCCACAATTTCTCTATGGGAAAGATCTACATGTTTGAGTGTTATGGTTTGTTTCTTTTCCACTTTTACCAGCATTTTTCTCGCCATTCCGTCCATTCAAAGCTTGATCAACCTCCATTGCTGCAGAACTCCTTTTAATTGATGACCCATTCCTTATTCCCTGAGAAAGGCCTTTTAGTATCATTCTGAAATGCACATCATTTTGTCACTTTTGGATAACCTTATCCTCTAGCTTCACTTTTACCATTTCAAGCTATTCAGTGATTTTTAATGGCTTGGGTTTCAATAAAACCTGGAAATTTTGTTGTCGATTTTTGTCTGGTAGTGTTGATATCATAGGAATTTCATCACAACCACAAAAATTTTGATGTCAAATAAAAGTTGCAGTTTTCTAAGATTCCACTATAACTCCTTCAGTAACAGGTCAAATTAACTTGTATAACTATGTGCGTTCAAGAAAATACTACAAACTAACTAAAGGTGTAGTTTTATGTGTTAGAGTCGTTAATGCTCAGGTGTATTTTTGTAATGTAAGGCAGATAAGTTTGTGAAAGTTTCCTTACCGAGCCTCCTGATGGAGTCCACGCTCTTCTCGGCAACTTTTCTCCTCTGATCCTTGGGATTGCTGGCCGGTGACTTCCCGCTCCCCAACATTTTTACAATTTAGGACAACTCCAAAACTGAAGAATATAAGATTGCTCTAACACTGAGGACAACTCTAACACTGGAGGCTCTAACGTTAACTCTCAGTAAGTATGAAACTGCAGGTGAGTCTTCACGCAAGCGCAGGATCTGTGCTGCCCCCAAAGAGCCCCGAGCTGAGAGAGAGAGCGAGACAGACAGACAGACAGACAGTCGAGAGCAACAGTTATGTGCACATGTAAAAAGTCCCTCCCAGGCGCTACGGCTCCATGCCTGTGCGTAACATGACTCCAAAGAAGGAGCACACTTTACGCGCCCCCACCTCCACCTCCTTCTAAACTCAAGATGGTCAAGTCCAATGTTTTAAAGCTAGTTAGTAGCCTCCTACTAACTAAACTCTGATAAAAGTCACACAAATAACCAAAGAAAACGATAACACAGGGAGACACAGCATGCGTACTTGCATGTCCATACATCTTTGGTCAAAGAAAACCAATCAACTTTGTGTTGTAACTGTGAATGCGCACGTGTAGTAGATAAGCGAAAATAATGAGTTGTAACTCGGAATCTGGGCCCTGAACATGCTCCCATAGAAAATACATTATTTAGGTGACTCTGTTGATGATATGCCTTCGTATGGGGACTTGCTGTTTTTAAAAACTAGCATCAAATTTTCAAATAAAGAATTCTTCACTTATTTTCTCTTTGGTTCACAGTTGACGTGCACTTTAACTCAACAAAACACCCTTTCTACCAGCTTTTACCTATCAGTTAGAGTACAGCGCCCCTTGGTGGTACTGAAAGAAAACTGCAAAGATCTCAACAACAACAATCAATACTGTTGAAGTCAAATTCATCTTCAGCCAGATGACGTCTTCATGGATCAAAATGGTGGTGAGCTATATGAAAGAGTGTAATAGAGGCCCCAATATGAATAGTGATAGCTGGAAACGTGCTCTCAGTACCAGAAAAGCACTGGCTGGAAACTTAATAAAGTCTTTGTAATGGAGTTAGAACATACATCAGAGTGGGGCAGAGCTCAGCCTGGCAGTCTGAGACTGGAAGAGCTGAAAATGTGATTTCCTCTCTCTGATCCACAACAAACCACCAGCTCATGTAGGATTGTAAACACATACACATTATAGGCAAGTAAATCTGGTGGGGTGGGGGTCATTTAACATGATATGTGTCTCATAGTCATTTAATGCACCCTTTTTATTGAAAAGGGAAGACAAAGTACTGATGTTCTCATATTTACACTTCAAGACCATGTCTAGGTCTATTACAATTTCTATCTATCATCTCCTTTCAATTGCACCACCAACCATGTTAGACAGGGTGAGATTAAGTCATGCCTACTAATCCTCACAAGCTGTGATCTATGCAGGAGCAGCTTTGGTTCTGTGGCTGCACCGCTCCTTGATTTCAGAACATGGGAACCCTTGGTGTGATTACTCAATCTCTTTAGTCATTTGGTTCCATATTAACAGACACGTAGCACCTCTTCCTCAAAGGACTCCCGGCTTTACTTGCTTGTTTGCCAGAGCTGAAACTCTGCCTGCTTCTATTAGTAGAAACAGTAGGCCAGTGTTGTTTGTAGCCATTGGTCTCCCAGTCTGTACAGGCAAGTGAGGGGAGACCAGCCGCCCACCATGAGAGGTCACAGACACAATAACCTACTTCTTTCATTGGTGAAACACTGTCAGGAAACTTTGTGGTTTAAAATAATAACAAAAAGTCTATTGACAACCTCATCTACAATAGGATAAGAAATGTTTATACAACTCTGTAATGGTCCTCTTCTATCATATTCATATATAAAATGTACAATAAAACAGAACAATATAGAGCCACATTTTAACAAAAATACTTAAGAAAAAGGTTGTCACATTGATCTAGTCACAAATAATTAATTTCAAGTTGATTTCACACAAACTGAAAAAGGTTTTGTATACAGAGAATGCTGAGAAGACTGTTAGCTTAGTTTGTACAACCAAGCATGAGTTTACTATACATTAAAGGAATAAAAGAAGGATCAAGTGCTGTCTTGCAAGAACAGGGACTGACTACTTCCTGAAAGTGTGATAGCTTATTGAGGTTCCATGTGACCGATTTCAACAAGCAATGAATGTTTTATTAATATGTTTATTCAATTTAACATCGTGTGATTTGTACAGATTCAAAAATTCTGAGTGCAAATAGCAAAACGGACGGTTATTTTGTCGAGTGTGGCATTCACGGAAAAGAAACATTATGTTCCAGCAGTTACACCGACCCAGAATAAACACATTGGCCTACTTGGCAAATGCTAACACACGCAATTTTTGTCGCAATGTGTATTGCTGTTTTACATGTTGGCTGCTGGATAGTTCGCTGCTGTACCGGCACATGTGTTCATAAAAGAAAAAAAATGTTAAAAACGAATCAAACACTCAGGATTTAATAGTTAGCATTAGCTCGCCTCGCTCCTTTAGCAGTATGGCGTCAGTTATGTTGGTCCCCGCTTGAAACCATATGCTTTGTAATGTCGTGATCGGAACTATCGTTTATTGTCGCTTAGTTTAGTGCGTTTATGACTTTCACACTTTATAGTTTGATGCAGGGTATAATTGAGGAGCGAAACAACGCAGCGCCCATTTGCTAACTAACGTTAACGTTCAGCTAACGTTAGCTAGCTAGCTTATCCTTAGCTGTTCACTCGACACAACAGTGTGAAACTATCACTGCGTTTCAGAAGATTTGTTGCACATAAGTTCTCAAAACTCCTCTACACCACACCGTCCTCTGGAAACAGTATTATTGAGCAAGTGTGAGATCGCCTGACCCACCCTTCAACAACGAGGGGTTCGGAGCTGTGCTCGCGGCGGCAGCTTGACAATAAGTGTCGTTTGTTTACGCTGAATCCAAAGTTCCCCCGAGTCCCTGCCCGACAACGTATCACTCCGCACAACACAGGGACTATTTAAATTACGGGTTTACGTGGCCAGCGTGGCCACAAAACAACGTCGTGTCATGCTACTTTGCATTAAAAATGGTTGACTTAGGAAATGTGCTGTTTTTACCCATATTCTTACACAAACTTTCATCGCGGACTAGTTTCCGTTGCAGGCTCCCTCCATTTAGAGTAAAACGCAGGAGGGTTACTCCTGATCTAATTATGTTGGAATTAGACTTTGTGGTTACCTAAGTACGTTTATCCAATATTTTCACTCAATAATTTTGAACTTTTGTTTCAAAAGTATTAAATCACAAAATAATGGTGCAAAGCACAAGTTTTGTTCGTAATTTCTAACGGTTTCCCCCATTTTTGTAGTTAGTACTGCCTATCAAAATGCCCCGGACTGCTTTCTTAGTGTGGATTACGTACTTTTGATTGACCGCTCGATCGTCCAATTGCAAAATAAGCTAAGCTTAGCAACAGCAAAATTAACCAGTTATCCAATCAACAAAGATGAGGGTGGGCTCTATCTCGCTTTGGATTCTAGTATTTTATTGGTCAAAATGCTCGTCGGTTATGGTAGCCTTGTGGAGTATGTAGTTCCACGAGGACACATATCGCAGCGTTCTAACTGACAGTACAACATCATGTCCCAGAATCCAACAGGAGTTACAACCAGCAGCATGCGCGCGACTGGAGGCGGAGCTAGTATAAAAACACAAGCACCCTCTTCTTCGGCAGCACACTGGACACTGTTCTGACGGCGGAACGTCGTCTCCGAGTGAGCGGAAGTTTCAACAGCATCGAAACAGTTAATGGTAGTTAGCGACAGTTGCTCTGACAAACCCTTGAAGGAGTAACAAGTGTTTACTATTAGGAAGTTTCCATTTTTAGCTGGACTTTGTTTTAAAACGACAAACCTTAAACTTTGTTCATTTGATATCGACCAGTTCAGAAATAATATTTTTTTTGTTCAAAATTAAGTTTAACGTCTTTTGAGGAACTTTGCAGTCCAGTTCGGAGAGCATCAATATTATCGGAGATGCGTTAGAGCGGATCATCAGAGCGGATCATCAGGATGACAGAACCAGCGGAACCGACCCATCACCTGAAAACTTCAGGCAGCCCATCAGGTGGGAGCAGCGGAGGCGCGTTGGAGCATCTCCCAGCCCGGAGCCGTGGAGGTCCAGAGAATGGCGACAGGGGGCGACAGAGAGACCAAAAACAGCAACAGCGGGCGGGGAACTGTGGGGATATCAACACAGACAAGTTATGGCAAATGAAAGGCAGACAGAGGGGGGTGTGCCCTGCCTTAGCAGCCGGAAACGATGTCCCGAGGTGCCCGATTGCTGCTCAGCCACATCAAAAACCCAATGTCCGTGGAGCTGGGGACGATCACCACATCTCGCAGGGGAAAAACGGCGAAGGTAGACCGCTGGATGAGACTTTAAACCAGGTACAGGAGGAGAGTTTGCTCGTTGACTCTGACACTGGCTTGGAGGCGCGTCAGGGTAAGAGGAGGCACAGGCGCAGGACCTCCAAGAAGAAGCGCAACTGGAAGCCTTATTACAAACTTTCCTGGGAGGAGAGGAAAGCCCTGGACGAGAAGGAGACTGCCAGGGCTTCCCGGCTCAGGGAGGAGATGTTCGCCAAAGGGCTCCCAGTGGCCCCATACAACACCACCCAGTTCCTGATGGACGAGCACGACCGAGAGGAGCCCGACCTCAACACGGAGACCGGGGTCAGGCGACCCTCAGCGGTCGGTGGCCGCATGGAGGACACCGGCAGCGAGGAGGACTTGTTTGACAACGAGGAGGAAGATGATGATGACGGTAGTGGAGGAGGAAGCGACGGCATCGGGAGGCCCGGTAACGCAGGTGGGGAGTTTCTCCAGAGGGACTTTTCCGAGACTTACGAGATGTACCACGTCGAAAGCTTGCAGAACATGACCAAGCAGGAACTGGTGCAGGAGTACCTGGAGCTGGAGAAGTGCATGTCCCGACTGGAGGAGGAGAACAACCGGCTGAGAAGCGCCGTGGAGCCCGGTGGTCTGACCGTGGAGAGCTCCCTGGTGCGACTCAGAGAGCTGGAGAGGGAACTGGAGAGACTGAGGGCCCAAAACACTGAGCTCCTCCTGCAGAACCAGGACAGGGGCCCGGTCGCTACTAATTAAAAGGACCCGACTTAAGTCAGGAAAGCCCTTTGATAAAGGTAAACCATGGGACTGCTGCATTTTTTATTTGTTATCAGTGTTCTGTAACCAGTCTCTCATCTGGACGAAGAAGTCCGTGCATTGCAATGCAATACTTACCGTTTCTTTTCTATCGGGACTGTGAGGGTGTCCTGTTAAATTTGTTTTTCAAGGTAAAGTGTATATATTTCAAATTAAGATTCGTTTTTATAAAGAGAATGTATCTGACAACGTGAGAATATTTTGTTTGTTTTCCGGGTCAACTTCGTAGTGATCATTTGTTCCGTTTCTGAATTTCACGCAAACGTTATTATATGATTCAGTTCCCCCGTTAGTAAATTGAAAATCAGATCACAGCTTATTGAACCAGCATTGCAAGACTGTTTTTGCCAGAGAAATTCAGTGTGGACATTTTAACAGTTGTGTGTTAACATAAGTTCAAATAAAACAATGAAACTCTTCTGCCTTGTGTGGTAAAGTCTGATTTGAAACACAGGAGGCTCCAGTGTTGCTTTGTATGAATCATATTTTTTATCACAATTATTTGAGAAGATTTTCACGTGAGGGCCTAGAATTGAGCTAGAAAGATACCCAGACAACAGTGGACTCTGGATAGGAAGAAGATCCAGTCAGAGCAGAGGGAGGGGGGATGGGATATGATGGAGATGCTCTTTATGAAGGTTAAGCCACTTGGACTTACATCTGTGACGGGTATCTTGTATTTTCCTGTTCAAAATGGGCTCACTCATATGTCCTGAAGCACATTTGTTTTCTTTGGGAGAGTTCTGGTCACCTCTAATGGTATTTAAAAAAAAAAAAACAATTGCACCATGGTTGAAAAATGCAGTGTAATTAACAGCAGATTATCTTCATTAAATACATGAACCAATACAGGTGAAACAAGTTTAAGCTCATATTTCGAAAAGTGTACATGAAGTTTACCGTAAAATCTGTGCCACAAGGCCCACAGAGACCATATCCATGTAAATCCTCTCGAGGGCGCCATACTGCTTTTTTCCAAGTTGCCTTACCATGGTCCCTTCACTGTAAAAATATAAACCCCAACCTTATAAACACACAAACACGTGCACATTTTTAAACATAGTTCTGTTTATTTACATTTTATAACCTTGCTTTAAAGCACACAGCCATGAGGGAAATAATTTTAGGTGGACAACCTTTAAAGTCCAGTCATTTCATATTAGTTATACTCAAAATGCAAATTCCAAATGTACACAATACAATATGTTACATATTCAGATAGTATGTACAAAAATGTGTTCTTAAAATACAACAGTGAGACATTAGGTGGATCACATTTTACACGTTTTAAAGTTTTCCTCCTTATGAAGTTCACCTATAGGAAAACATCTGACATGAGCTAATGCAGTATTAAGAAGGGCTCGTCAGGTGTACCATATTCACACACTGAGGATCAGAGAGACGACACACTATGCTTCTGCCCTGTTAGCAGCAGCGCTAACAGCTGTTAATGCCTGTGTTGAAGGCAGAGAGAGTGAGTGCATAGACATGTCCTTGGCTTGAAGTGTGCTTTCTTTCGAAGAAGGAATCTTTGCAGCCTCTTCATTAGACCTTTTTGTATTTAATGTACACATCTTTGGGTCAGTGCCTTAGTTTTGACCACAGGAGAAGAGGAGGGAGGAGACCAAGAAACAACAAAAGGAAACAGAGAGATAAGACGTGACATGGCACTGCAGAACAAAAACACATTCCAGAAATCAGGCACTTGTAGAGCAAATCTTGAGGTATGCCAAGACCATTATCTGTCATTCTTCTTCTTTATACATGGTTTTGCACTGGTTGGTTTTGGTCATATGACAGAGTCCCTTATGACTTTAGACTTCTGTTTGTGTTGTGTGATGACAAAAGGTTCCTACGGCCAATATGAGATGGATGAAAACAATAGACGAACATTAGCATGCTGCAGTCATTTCATTTCCTCTGAATAATGTACCATTTCCTCAGCCGGAGAGGATTTATTAGAGTCTGACCTTATGGAAAACTCCTCGTCACGTTAACCCCGAGGTAATAAACGTGCAGACAGATGAACTCTCTGAAAGGATGTAGTGAAAACACCGCAGGCAGAGGTGAAAATGCAGCTGTTTGTATGCATTACACAATCATTAAATAGTCGGTAAAGCACCACTAGGCTTTGTTTCTTTCAGTGTGTTTTAGTAAAAAGACCACACCGCATCTTTAGTTCAGGTCCGTGGAAGTGATGCTCAATAATCCCACATACAGTAAATTACAAAACAAATGAGGTCAGCCATCTCAGTGTGGCGCTGAGCTGCCCAATAGTATCATGTAAAAATGACCAGATTACATTTCCTCTGCTGCTACATAGATTTTCAGATGCTGTTGGAAGTTTAGTCATTTAAGTTTTTGACTTTTTCTGAGAAGGTAAAGGTTTCTGCACAGTGCTGAGAATCAGAGAGAAAGGCCATCAACGAGGAAATAAGGAACAGGTAACGCCATGTTTATCTCGTCTTCTTTGAACAGGTACACCAAAGAGGTGAAATCACAATAAAAGTACTTTGTTTTACCCTAATACAAAATATATATAATATATTTATATATACTGAATATAAAACAAATCAACACAAAAGAATATATTATGGAAAAACATTTCAAGTAACATCTTGAAAGAAATGACCGTGCACTTGGGAGCACTTTTTTGTAAACCATAAAAAAGAAACTAAAAAAACTTAAAAACAAATATGATAACATAATATTTATATTTACAAGGTTAACTTAACAAGGCTTTGTACAAATGTTACAAAAGTGTTCAACACAAACACCTGCACACTCAGATGCGGTCACCAATATTTTAGTGAAAACACACATGAACATTATTAACAAGTAGAAAGAGACGACTATACTGAGTGAGAGTGTGAGTACGTGTGTGTGTGTGTGGTACAAACGGCATATCTGTGGTTGACTGAGGAATAAATAAGGAATGCTGACGTGTCACAGATCAGCTGAGATCCCTCTTGAAATGGTTTTAAATTGACTGATTAGTTTCTGTTTTTAAAGTTTCGGTTCCTAAGTGAAACGTACATGTTGAATGAGGAAGCACCATTCTCTTCAGAGACAGAGGAAGTCCCTTCTCTGGTCACCTGAAGAGATTTAACCTTTAAATCTACTGTGTGTCCTTATCTAAGTCTGAATCTAATTCTTGGCTGTGTGTGTCTCTTTCCTGTTTCGGTATAATTTCTATAAAAGCACACAACTAAAACACAAAGAGACAAACAAACAAAAGCTTTGGCAACGCTGAAACGCCCCCTGCCATGCAAACGGAGCTTCAAAGAAAAGGGTGCAGAAGCTGCTTGTTCATTGGTACGCTGTGTTGCTCCGGGCAACCAACCCTGTTGATGCTGCTGCTGGTCCACTGACCTGCAGGAGTCAGCAGCCCAGCCCTGTCAGGACATTCTGAGTCAGGGGTGGGGTCAGCTGGGGGGCCTCACAGGTACTGGTGAAATCTGGAGGTTGGTGCTTGACGTGAAGATGGCCCATGCTCGAGCCCGTCAGCACCCAGAGGCAGCCCTGGTGTTTTGACCTGGTTTTGGGAGGCGGGGGACAGAGGGAACTCGTTGACAGCCAGCGAGGGTCTCCTATCAGACGCCTCAGTCGGGGAAGCCACCACAGTGTGTCTGCGCCAGGCTCGCCTCTTCCTCCGCGTTTCAGGTGACAGCGGCTTACGCAGTCCCACGCTGCGCAGGTCATCAGCCGAGCCCAGGAGACGAGCACGGACCTGCTCTGCCAGAGACCTGCCACCAGGGCCCGTGGGGGTAAAAGAGGAGGCCTCACTAGGCGGCATGGCAGGTTTGGGTCTAGTCGGCCGCAGGCTCTCCTGGCTGCTACATGAGGAGGGGTTGGTTCTGGAAGTTTCCCTCCTCCCTCGTGCTGCACCATCTGAACTAGAACCGGATCTGTCACTCTGTGCGGCTCCAGGCAGCTCCAGCAGGTCCAGGGACCGAGCTTTGGCCTTCTCTGACTTCAGCTTCTTCCTGGCCAGAGTGTCACACTGGATCAGTTTGTGTGAATTAAAGGAGGGCCGTGAGTTCAGTTTGTGAGAGGTGGAGGAGGAGGAGAAGGAGGAGGATGAGGGTGTGGTGGACCTTGCCCCTCCTTCACTCCTCTCCACAGAGTCCGGTGTGTGTGTGAGGGCTGTGGGCGGGGCCAAAAGGTTGGTTGAGGACAGAGCAGGTGGTTTGTAGTGTGTGTAGAGGAAGCTGCGTGGAGCTGCAGACGGCTGTGTGTGCACAGGCGTAGTCGGGTGTTTCTCAGGTCGCTCCTGGGTGAGGGAGCGTGACGCAAACCCGCTCTCGTTGTCCGTCTCACTCACCAGCTCGCTGTGCTCGTCGTCAGCATCCTCCTCCCGCCCCTCAGACCCAAGACTCCGCCCTAAGGTGGAGAGGGTGGAGTAACCAGACACAATGGAGCGAGCATCCTCTGGAGATCTCCAGGGCGGCCCCTTTACCTCCACCTCCACCCGCACCTCCTCTTCCTCCTCCTGCAACAACATGGTTGCCTGTCTTCCTCCTTTTTCCTCTTCGTCTTTGCAACATGGCTCGCTAGGAACAACCTCCGCCACCTCCTCCACCTCTACCTCCTCTTTTCCTCCACTTTCTACAACTTCCTCTTCTTCTTCCTCTTCCTCTTCTTCTTCATCCTCGTCGTCCTCCTCTCCCTCTGCTCGAGGAGCAGCGCCCCCTACAGGTGACTCCGCCTCCTCTCCCTCCTCCGCCCCTAGATGTCCAGCTTTGATTGGCTCATGCTCCGAGTCATCATCAGTGCTGCTGCCCACGCGGCGAGCATTGTGGCGCTTCCTGCGTTTGCGACCTGTGACGGCTGACATAATGGACAGAGCAAGGAAGTCTTTGGCTCCCAGGTCTTTCTTTGATCCCCATGACCCCTGAAAAAGGAAATAAAGGTTACCATGACATCAAAGTACACGATGGTAGCTTCGTTTGTAACGCTGTGTCATGTGAGGAGGCATCACCTTTGATTTAGCTGAGTCACTGTTGGTTGAGTCTGCAAGAGAAAACAGGGAAACATCAGCTGAGTCAAATCCAGTATCACCAACAGAAACCTCAGAGCAGTCATGGTGTAGGACACAGAGGAAGACATCATGAGTTTACTTTTTTAAAGGGAAAATCTGCAATTTTATCACAAAAAAACTGCTACTGCACAGAGGAGTAATGCTGCGTTCCAGTCGTTCTCGGAAGTCGGAATTTCAAAGCTTCGAGTCAGAAATTCATCTGGAACGCACCACTGAAGTTGGATTTTTTGACTCGGGAAGTCGGACGATCCTCACCAATGCCAACTTGATGACAACGTCATAATCCAAGATGGCAGTGCAGTGCATCAAGAGTAAAGAGTAACAGTGAAAGCTTTTGTAATGTTTTATTTACAAGCACTTCTGTTTTGTTTTTGTGAATTTAAATAAGTGATATATGTAGTACTGCCCAACGTCTTACTGTGAACTCAGTGCTATGGTGTTTGTAAGAGTAAAATACCGTGTTATGCGTTGTTTACAACTGGTATGGCTTACAACTTACAACAACTGACAATTGCTTACGACAGCTGACAACTGTAAACAAAAGCTAACAACAGCTAACAGTAGGCGTCCATCTTGGTTTTCTGACTTGTTTACTGGAATGCCGTCAACTCGGGTGTAACATCATTCCCAGCTCCAACATCTGACTTCCGAGAAAACTGGAATACAGCATTAGACACCACCTGTGACGTGACTCATCAGGAGGCGACTAAAGCCACTCTGTTTGAAGGTTTTTCTGTAGTCAGCAGCAGTTTTCTGCCCTGTTCCTGGTTGTGACACTTCCTCAACATAGTTCTCACATTTAAAGAGGAACTTATCTTCCTCTATGCCCTCTGGCACTGACAGACCCTGGCACAGAGATTTACATGTGAATGAATCAAATGAAAGAGAAACAATGATCGGGAAAGAGGGAAGTTGGGAGTGTAAAGGGGAAAAAACTGCTTGAGGAAACCACGGCACACGCTGATGACATCATCAAACACACTGATGACATCAATTAGTGAAAGAAACATTTGAAAGCAAAAGCTGAAAGAGTGTGAAACCAGAAAAAAAAGTCCCTCACAAACACAAACACACCAGTTCAAGAAGGGGAATTGAACTACTTACTAATAATATAATAACTATAATAAAGACTGAGTGTCCTGCTTCATTATCAAGAGTAATCATAAATACTGATCATCTTAGTCTAAACCTTCTCTGGTCTTCCTGTCAGATGATTGGAGCCTTAAGTGTTTATTAACCTAGGTGATGTATGAATGTTTTTGCTGAGCTTTCACAGAGTAGAAGCACCCTTTTAAAATAAATCAGAGCTGGAAAAGACTCCTGTTTAATCATATATGACATATATTTCATATGGGTATCACGGAGGACCAGCTCTAAAATAGTCATGCTTGATAATCTCCTCAGCACTAGACATCAATAACTGATTAATTCATTTGGGAGCCCCTTTATCACCCCTAAGCTTCTTCTAATTTTTCATCCTCTATTTTAATAGAGTGACCATATGTCCTCTTTTAGCGGGACATGTCCTCTTTTGGGGGAGCTGTCTGGCCGGTCCGGCCTTTTCCGGGGGAGATTATAAAATCCTTCAAATGTCTGGGGTTTTGTACACAAGTTTTGAGTTTGTGTCGCGTGGACTTACTGAGTTAGAAGCGTGTAAAAAACACTTGACCCGACCGGAAAAACTCTCAAACGTTACTATGTGCGACTCTGTGTTGTTGCGTCTTTTTTGGGGGGATTCAGAATATGGTCACCCTCATTTTAAGCCTGTACTTTTGTGCTTTTTCTTTCCTCTTATGACACATTTAATATTTTATGCTTTGTGACAAAAACAAACAATTAAAAAAAAAACTCAAGACCAGGACCATTTTTGCCTTTTAAGCCAAACAAGGACAAAATTAGACTCATCTATTCCTCCTCACACTAACAAAGATACTTTTATATTTTTCTCTTTACAAACTACAGATACCATACTAACAGATTTTAGCTGCAGCTCTTAGTACTTCTTGGCATTAAGGTTCCTGAACAGAAGTGATGCCACCCACTTAGGAGTGTGTGTTATAGGAGTCTGATGATTGAACTGTTCAGACTGAAGCCGCCTGCAGGATCTAAGAAGTTGTATCTCAGTGACAGGGCTCAGCTTACTCTCCATTGTTACACTTTAAAATTCAGAGCAGCTTGAACAGACATCCAGTCATCCATTCATACTTTTGCTCAGACTGGTGGTAGGGGTGGGTGGGCGGGCAGGGGGACACTAGAGTGACATGATCTTGGAGAAACTCTGTCTGAGATGCTGACTGTCATGATAGGGATGAAGATCATGAGGACAAAAACCATCACCAACACTATCAGTCTCTCTCTAGCTCACCCGCACACATATACACTGTTTCACTTTCACAACACAATACACTGACTGGGTTACACACGCACACACACACACACAGATATTGCCAGGGGAGTTCCCATCCTACCGCAGCGGCTGCTCCACAGGCTCAGCTAAGAGAAGGAAATGCAGAAAGACGTACAGAGAAAGTGAAAGATGAGCAAACGTGGAGGGGGAAAAAAGAGGTCAGAGGCAGAGAGGAGAGAAGTAAAGGCACGCAGTCAAACACAGAGACACTCCAAGTGATAACCCATGTAACTACACTTCTCATGCTGCGTTCATGTTTTGCCGAAAAATAGGAAATTCTGGCTTTGGAATGTGACATGCCAACATTCGTCTTTCAGCACCTAAGTTAGTAATCATTCACATTAAAAAAAAAAAAAAAGCACCACATCACACAGGCCATGTGACTTCTCAGGAGCAGGATTGTTGAATACACTCATCAGGTCATGGGAACTAACAGATCATTGTTATGACACTTACAGGGAATTTCCCACCTCTAGCAACAAACACAAAGCAGCGTCCCATTACAGCTACCTCTGTATACGCAACTGGTCGTTTTGTTCAAGCAAGCAATGATTGGCTGATAGAAATGTGCTCACCTGAGGCCTCACCGAGCAGACCGGTCCTGCCGATGTTAGAGAGCAGGTGGTCAATGTTGGGGGCGGGCTGAACGTCCTCTGTGTCCACTGGTGTCTGAACATAGCAAACGCAAAATGACCAACATGTGAATTTACATCAAAATGATAAGGTTTACTGTCACCCAGGAACATTTATTTAGAGATTTATAATGACCCTTCACCTGTAGCAAACTCAACTTTCAGGTTTCTTTTTCAGATGGTTCAATAATACAGAAAATATTAATTATTGAAAAAGAGATTTCAGACATTGACTCTTAAAGTGTGCAGGGTACTGATGACATACTGCCAAATACACGGCTTTCAAACAAACATTTTTGCTCCTTATCACAATCTCTTTTCATATCGCGTGTCCATATCACAGTTCTACCATCATCACAACCTCATAGTGGAGTCCAAGTGTGATTTCCACGTTACATATTGGGAATGTAAACACAGCAGGAGCTCTGCTTACGCACATGTACTAAAGCATACATACACGTACACACGCACAGAGCTGTTCACCCCATCTGACCCTGCCTCGCCTCTCTATCTAAATAAATTTATTTTAGTTAGTAGCCGAAGCTATTCTTAATCTTATCTCTGATGCCTGAATATTGATCAGACCTCTTGGTCCTACAATCAGAGACGTTTTCAGGAGCATAGACATTTGGTTCTCAGAGGTACAGTATGTAGAAAAGGAAATATTTAGTGGCCATGGAGGACAAGAGGCCTCTGTGATACATAATTAGTAGTAGAGACAGACTGACTGATTACTTTTCGATTAATGTCAACATCAGCCCTCACAAGATTGATATGACCAAAATCTATTCTACATTAAAAACACATTTTTACGTCTGAAATGACAGTGAATCAAATCTTAAACAGTCTCTTCCTATTATTTTGAAACACTCTGTTTTTATCACTACATTAAGAATCCATCTACATGTTACAAGTCAAGATTTTAATATGCATGGAATAATAGATTTCTACATAATTGTCTTTTTCTGAAACTTTAACTTTGATATTTACCTCGTATTTTTTTTTATCTTTCTTCATCATTTCAAACAGCTGGACAGAAATCCAAAAGTCCCATTAGGTAATATTTTACTTCAATCAAAAACTGTTTTTCTAAATTGTTTTGTCAAACGCAGAAAAAAACACTTTCAGTTCTGCCGCCAGCCACTGAAAAAAGTGATATTGATCGACCACATATTAGTCAGATCCTCTGTTTGATAAGCTTTACCATTAAAAAACTCCTATCAAAACAAACTCCACAATAACCACATCCAACTGGTGCCCTTCTGGTGGCCACCCAAAAACAATAAAAGCAAGTGTAGCCCTTACTCCCTTACCAAAAATAAGAATACTTCAAGTAGATTTTATTAAGTATACTGAAGTTAATTTTAGTTTACTTTGTACACTGATACAAATGTAGTACCAGTACTACCACTGCTGTGGGGACCACGGTCCCCAACATGGGGCGCACCTTGACCCGCTCGGCCATCTGTGCGCCCACTGTAATGCATACTTAGAGTTACCTTTTTGGTATGCTATTATTTCAATAGTAAACTGCAAGCATACTTAGTTTGAACACAGTATACTTGAAGTACCCTTAAACATACTTCTTCTTGGTAAGGGCTGGCCTGCTCTGCTTTTTGTTTCTGCTGACACATGGTTGTTCAAAATGTTGGAAGACGTGGAAAGAGACCTGCTCCTTGTGAAAATATGAAAAGCTCATTCTGAGTTAACAGAAACAAAATGATTTGTACATTCTGGTGATTATTCACTTAATTAAACGTACAGCTCTCATGACTATTACTGGAAGATCCCATTTATATCAAGTCTGTTGCAAAAATGCTGCTAAATATAACAAACTGTGTGCTTTAAATTAGCAATATAAAAGAAGCGTCACAGAGAGGGGTCAGTTTTAATTGCTAGTTTATCTATTTTATGTCATCTAAAGCATAAATTAGTCATTTCAGTTATATTTGCAGTAAAAATGTTAACACCTGGTGTATCCTGCTTTTCTCTGTACAGATTAGGGAATGAGGAATCTTTGGTACTAATGATTAGACAAAGAGAGAATTCCCCCTTGGCTTTGAAATCTATGTATCTACTGAAATCATAAAGTACAGATATCTTTGATAGATTTTATAAGTGATAATAATCATCAGTTTAATGCTTTGCTAGAGTCCAAGGAATGAAACTTTAACACTGTCAAGCTTAACATGTTTAGGGTTTGTCAGTGTAACTGCACTGCATTACTGCATGTTGCTGTGATTTCAGAGGACGTCTTTTTTTTACATTAAGGTTTGTAATGTTCCTGAATGGACTGTAATAATCCACTGAGGCAAACAAAAGTATGGTGAACATACCTTTTCGTCCTTGTCTTGCTCTTCAGTGAAAAACCAGATGCACTAAAAGAAAAAGAGAGATATTAATATATTAAGCTTTAAAAAGGTGATATATGGTTTGTGTGAAGGTGTGTGATCTCTCACATGTTGTATGAGCGTCTCTACTATCTTGTAACGGTCGGGCATGTGTGTGACCATGTCTTTCATGTTATCCTCAGACGTCCGCACCAGAGTCGGTCCGAACACCAGAGCCAAGTTACGAGGCTCCATCTGCAGAAACAAAAGGACATTAATGCCACACAGGAAGATATTTAATGATCATTTATAATCTTCTGATCCTTCACACACCTTGTTTTTATCAGAGTTGTCAGCCACAGTCTTCAGGTGACTGACCAAGAACTTCAGAGTGTGGTAGTAATGATCTGGGAGGTCTCGGATCTACAAGAGACAGAAAAGAGGAAATACAGAACAGAAGTGACAAACCTGTCGAGCCTGTCTGCTACTGATACTACGACGACTACACACACAAGCCAAGCAGGTGAATCATTTAGTTCAGATGTTTCACTTCACACAAACACACACCAGTTTCTTCATGGTCTTCAGTCTGTCAGAGGCGTTTTCCATGCGGTTGGCATCGATGAAGTCATTGTACTTATCTGCAGAAGAATCAGAAATATGAAAATAATTTCCCGTTAAGATGTTTTCCTGTGATTTCTGGGCTGCATGTGTGTCTGTGAGGGCTTGTTGGGACATGTTTGGACTCACCGTTGGTGAAGAGCGGCTCTGGAAGTTTTCTGAAGAAGGATTTAAGCAGACTGCTCACAACATTTAGGTCCTGCCATTTCTGAAGACAGAAGAACGAAGAGAAGGTTGGTGAAATATTCCACCCTTTAGGGATTTGAGGAATTTTACTGTCATTAGAGGATATTTTAAAACATACAGAGCAGTAAAAGCAGGTGAACAACAACAATCTAAATCACTAATGGTGTATACTTTCAGGACTAGGTTTTCTGACCTCCTCTGCAGGGTTGATGTCGACTCCCTTGTTTAGCTGATCCTGCAGCAGGGACACCATGGCGTTGTTGCCGGGGACTCTGTAGATCCCTGTGTACTCCAGACCCATGTCCTCCACCAGACCACAGCAGATCTCCACAATCAGCGGGATGAACTGAGATAGACACAGACAGAGTTTAAGGGTGCATCGTATGACTGATCATGCAGATCCATAAGCACAGAGCAGTGAGGCACCTGTTGATTGAATTTTCACATGTAACATCTACATAGAGGTAAAGATAAAATAACAGGATTTGGATGCTGTCAGACTGCCAAGTCTGCTCATGATAACAGCAGATAAACACCGACCTCTGCTCATTTCAAAACAATAAGACGGTAAATAGGTGATTCTTGTACTGGCTGAAGGACGAGAATCAACAGTTAAACCGAGCATTAAAGGAGCCAGTAAATCAGTGCAATGAAGACCTGATCACAGTCTCCTAAGCTGATGGGGATTAAGTTTAGGGACATGAACACCACACTGACTTAAAGGAGGAACTGGGAGGACTCTGCTGACTCTGCTGGCTTTTTATAACATAGCAACAGACAATTAAACATTGCACGGTACAAGACAACTTGGCCTAGAGTGAGTGCGTCCAGAGTATTTCTCAGTGTCACCTCTTTCAAGTCAAAGAAAAGGGGATCATGAGGGGTACCTTGTTATTGACACCAGGCTGACACTCCTCCAGCCTCACACCGAAAGCTTTGGGCCCTCCTGCCTTCTTTGTCTTCTTCATGATGTTGATTCCCCATGGAGACTTTGGAGGGCCGCTCTCATCTGGAGGGATACAAACAGAAAAACCTTCATCAGATTACGGTGATAGTATTTGTGCTCTGTGTAATCATAAACATGAAATCATAAACATAAACACAGTTTCCAGCTATAGTGGTCAGATCTCCTGGTATTGTTCCCATAACACTAACCCTTGCCCTCTGGTTTTGGGGAGCGCGGCGCCCCGACCGGGTTTTCAGTCTTGGCAAGCAGGAAGGGAGGTTTCATGCGAGGCAGCCTGGGCGAGGAGTCTGGTTTACTGCCTGTTGGACTGCAGGGGGGGACAAAGAGACAGATTTGATATCTGCGGTTTGTTGAGTTCAGCAGTAAAGCTCATGATCATCACCACACTCACCTCTGTTTTCTGTAATCGTTTAGTTTTTTATTGATGAGGGCCTGTCTGGAAAAGCCGAGCTCCTGCACCAAACAAAAACATCTCAGTCACTCCTTGTTTCTAAAACCATCTACACATCTGAGTCACTGTAAAACCAGCGGGTCCAAGTGTGTCCTCTCACCTCGTTGTCTGTCTTGCTGTTCTCCCTGATGACTTTGATCCAGTCCAGCATGTCCTCGCGGTCCTCAGCCTGAAGCAGGTACTCACAGAAGTCTTGAGTGGTCAGCCGCAGGGCGTGCTTACGTTTGGTCTCACTGTACGCAATGTCCACCAGACAGCCCCGTATGCTGATTGGCTGTTCGTCCTCTGCCCCGCCTCCAATTGTAGCCCCACGGAGCACGGCCTCTCTCTTGTCTTTGTAGAGGAACAGCGAATGAGAGCGAAGGACAGAAAACACTCGCTTCCACGGACGCATCCCACTGCCGACCTTCTGTGGAGGATAGAGAGACTCTTTGGCGTAAGTATTTCTGTCATTAACTTTAAACACGTCATCATGTAAAAACTGCCTGGTGCCCACCTTGCCCTTCTCTGTGAGGATCTGTTTGTACTGCAGCCATCCTTCTCGCCGCACGTCACTGTATGTGATGTTTCCCAGCTCTGAGGTGGAGTGGCGTTTGGATCGAACCTCCTCTGCTGTCCCCAGGTTGTCCAGAGACTGAAACACAACCAAGGAAACGTTCAGAAGATCTGATGATATTATAGCTCATTAAATATTGAGTACGATGTTTTTACAGTTGATTCAATGGATTCTTGTCATTAATTAGAGACCTGTGAGCATCAAAGTCCAACTACTGCAACAGTAGTTCAACCAGCAAAGAGGACAAAGATCTGTTTTTACTTTTGATAATATTTCTAAGATGATAAAATGTTTAAGAGGCAATTCAATGAAAGATCAAGAACTGACCCCGCCAACCTATATTAAGAATATTACTATTATTAATAGTGATTGATTATTATTATTCTGTTGCTGTGCCTACGCTCTGGAATGCTCTTCCCCTTCATGTCCGACTGTCCCCCTCACTGCCTGTTTTTAAATCAAATTTGAAAACGCACTTTTACTCCCTGGCTTTTAACTCTTGAGAACTTGGCCTTTTAATCATGTTTTCACTGAACCATCTATGTCCCCCTGTTTTTAATGTGTTCCCGTGTCTTGTTTTATTGTTCATGTTAATTGTCTGGTTCTTTTTATTTTGTTTTTAATTTTAATGTACAGCACTTTGGTCAGCGCTTTGTTGTTTTTAAATGTGCTATATAAATAAACCTGGATTGGACTGGATTATTGCTATTATTTTATTAAGGTTTTATTTTATTTATTTTTATTAAGGTTTATTATTTTATTGGGGGGGGGGGGGTTGCCTTTATAGATAGGACAGTGTGAAATGTGGGAAGATAGGGAAAACACGCAGCACATAGTCCGGGCCGAACGTGAACCTGCGACCTCTGCATGGACCGTGGTCCCCATGCATGGGGCGCACTAACCCGCTTACCATTAATTGCTATTATTTAGTCAATTTTTTTTTAAATCTATGTATTTATTGCTCAGTAATTAGTTGACTACTTTGTTAACTTAATTTATCTTTTTTAATTATTAATTATTATTTTATTAGGACATTTTATTTATTTACTTTTTCTGTATTAATTATTTTCATTATTATTTTCATTACTGCCATATGTTTAAAGTGTTGGATGTTGTTGTATGAATAAAAAAACAATAAAGATGTGCTTTAAAAAAAAAAAAAGAAAGAATAAAGAAAAAAAAGAACTCACCCCGTCTGTGAAGAAACTCTTCACCCTCTTTGGTAGCCTCCTGTGAAGCACAAAAACATCATCATCAAGTGTCAAATTGTCCTCAGAAAACTGAATCAAAGTCATTTTGATCCAAATAACAGGAAGCTGTCTCTGTCTGACTCACGAGAAGACTCGACCCTCCTCTCTGAACGTGTTGAGTCCCTCGTCGCATGACTTGGAGCGCTCGCTGGTGATGGCTAGAAGATAGGAGGAACGGCGACTGGATTTAATACTGCCTGCTCAATGAGAGGATGAGTGAGCAGAAAGAGAGATAGAGAGAGAGAGAGAGGACGAGAAACACAGAGACAGAGACAGAGAGAAAGACAGAATGTTGATGTAATGCCAATCACCAGTCTGGATGGTGTTGGATTATCAGAGGGGGGACAGTCTGGGAAGGAGGGAAGGAGAGGGCTGGAGGTGGTGGCGGTAGGAGGTGAGGATGGATGGACTGTGGTGGTGTGAGCTAGAACGGAGGGTTAGATTCAAATATCACTTCTCTCACCACTGGCATGCAGGTAGAGCCTCTGTAAACACTGACACACATGCACTCGAGCTTCTTCAGGGAAAAGGATCATGCAAGTCTGAGTCCGCCCAACTTAATATTCAGAAATGTTCAAACTTCTTTGTTCCACACAAGAGAGTCTACAAATCAGCACTGCTATGATTTTATCTTTGCAAGATTTTTGGTTATTTTTGAGCCTTCAAAATCTTGTGAAAGGGACACTGAATCATCTTAAAAACTAGAAAATGTCAAATACTCTAAAATAGTTGAGGTTTCAGCAGAATAAACAGTGTTTTTTTTTTACTTTGCAAATACCCTTACTTCTAGAAAATACCTTCAGAATATGATAAGGACAAAAAAATGTAAAATGTTCTGGTTTACTTCGACTCAAAAATAAGCAAAAAACACACCTGATAAGATGGAAGTAATAGCAGTGTTTGCAAGCACATTACCAGAACCCTTCTTTTAAACTCTCCCAGCATCAATAAAAAGAAGAAACTCGCAGGTAAACACCATAACCGAGACTTTTTCCAGCTGCATGCAGTGAGGAGCGAGGGAGGGGAGGAGGGGAGGACAGGAGGGAGCACTCACTGCAGTCGTGTGAGAAGAGCCTAGTGAGGGGGAAGGAGAAAGTGGGGGAGGCGGGGCTGGTGACCACGGCGGGGGCCGAACTCATGCCGCTGGACACCACGGAGGACGCCGGCACATGGCGGGCGCGCAAATCAGCACCGGGGCTTGTCGGCTCATCTGTGGGAAGGAGGAGGTGGGGAGGAAGGGAGGGGAGGCAGGAGGAGAGAGTAAGGAGGGATAGAATTAGGTGTTAGAGAAAAAAAAGGTCAGGAGGGAATAAAAGAAGGAAAATCAGAGCGGTTAGATTAAGAGAAGGTCAGGAGGAGGTTTTAAAGGAAGAGGAAGCGGGGTTACCATCACAAATATCACACAAATCTGACAGTTTCAGCCATCTTTAAGTTCAGTCTTTCTTTGATCAAAATCCTGCAGATTTTCTCTACATCTGAATAAGAAGACAAACATCTATATTCATTCATGAAGAGAACAACATGTACACAGACACACAATCAAAGAGACCGTTTACAGACTTGCCGTACCTGTGCCTCCTGCTGCCATAAGAAGTGCTTGTTGGTGTCTTATAGAGGGCGACTGTCACACAGTTTTACTGACTACAGGTTTCAGTTCTTTATGAAATCTAGAGCAGTGGACACTGTTGAATGTTTAATGTTGAAAAGAGGGAAAGAGTCACCTTAAATATCAGAACCTGGACTTAATAACATTTGTTTTTTGTGCCATGATTTACACTTTTTTAGGATAACCACATGCAGGAGATTTTATTGATCACATACGCTAAAAGTCTGTAAGAGTGTTAGCTGATGCAATGGGATATGAAACTGTTTATACACACACACAGCTACACACTCTCTGGTACACACTTCCTGACTGACAGAGGATTAGAGAGCGGCCTCATATTTGCATAAAGTGAGGAGAAGCTGGATTTGCCGGTGACATTTTAAACCGTCAGGACTGTGCTGCTGCGAGGTTTCAGTGTGTTCTCATCAAAGGAGGCCACCAGGGGGCAGCACAACCCCTCACACAGGCAACACAGAATCTAAAACTCTTGCAGTGGTTTCTCATTTCATCTTTTGTCTTCTTCCTGATCTGATTTATTTTACTTTGTCAGTCTGTCCCTCCTCCATCCTTCACAACCATCCCCATTCTTCCTTTCCTCTCATTTCTGTCACTCTGGCTTTCCATCCATCCATCCACCTCTCTATCACCCCTCTTCTTTACTCCTGTGCGTACTTGAGCCCAGACATCAGGCGGAAAACATTTCCAATCTGGGCTGAGGAATCTGCCTGTTTACAGCGCTGCCCAGAAATAGCCGGTCTGTGGGTTTAACAAAGGCCGTCATTAACGGGCAGCCAGAGAGTGAGCTCAGAGCCATGAGACGGAGACGGACCAGCAGAGGGGAGCATATACTGCAGCATGCTCGGTAACAACTCCACAGCAGATCATGCAGAAGACATGGAGCTCAGCATGCAGAGATTATACCAAAGGAGAGAGAGTGAGAGCAGAAGTGAAGGAGCCTTTTCCTAAACTACAAAACTCATCTAATAAAAGGACTTACTGCAGAAATCCACACATACTGGGATTCTAACCTCTTCAAATGAACTCACTGAAGGCTTAAACAGTAGTTTTTTAGAGTTAAGTTTCCTCCAGACTCACTGGAATCACAAATATGAAATGAATTACAAACATCTCCCTAGCTGTCCATGCTGCCCTCACTTATTTTAAATAGCTGTTAGAATGAGACAGATTTTGTTTCCAAATTACAACAGTGTACTCAAACTGATAAAAGACAATTAAGGCTGAGGGGGTAGGACAGTGGACAGAGTGGGTTGACATGGACCTGGACCTCAGCATGAGCAGCTCAAACTCCATTTCGATGCAGTCAGATGAAGGTCCAGCCAGCTATCAGTGACCCTCAGATGAAGTGGGATCAACAAGGTGGGGAAAACTTATTTTTTAGGACTTTTTATGGGATTTTAAACAGGCCTGTTGTGAAGGAGAAGTAAATTTACCCAGGAACTGTGAGTTTTAGTTCTTTTTTGCTTTTGAATATTTGTTCATTTACTGCATGACACATTATTATTTCCATATTGAACCATGCAAAGACACATTGCACATATTCCTCATGCTGTGTGGGCCTGTTTTCTGGTATTTCTTGATCAAATGTGTAAGTCATCATTTTTTAAAAGCTTAAAGTGCAGCATGAAATAACCTTGTTAAAATAATCGGCTTCAGCTTTTTGGTTCATAGCCATTTAATGATAAAGGATAGTCAAAAAATCAGCACATTGGAGCACCAAAAATTTATCAATCTGCCCTGAAAAAGGGATGACATAATCAATGTGTTATCAGAATAGACGCATGGTTCACATTAAAGCTGAATTTACTAATGTTTTTGATTGGTTTTATTTTTGTTGTTTTTTATTGGGCAGTAATCAAACCAGCAACTGCTGCAACTAAGACTACAGTGACATAAGCTTCACATACAGCATATTTACTAAGGGTGGGAGAAAAAAAATCGGTACAGCCTAGTATCGCGATATTTTGTCTGGTGATATATCGTGTCATCTCATTGACCAAGTATTGACTTTTTCAAATTAATTGTTAATATAAAATCAAATCTATGATAATGGAAAAATAAAATCAACTGCTTGTCCAGTGAGGTTGGCAGAGGTGACATCATAGAGCAGGAGAAAGTTTGTGCAACAAATATATCTAAGGTTAGCAAGATGTGCTACATGAAAATAAAATACAGCGTAAAAAAGACAAACATAAAGGAAAGTCAAATGCTAAATTAGCTTAACAGTTGTATAAATCCCTATATATTGTATCTCAACATTCACTGTATTGCGAAATGTTAAAAATAGCAATAATATCACATCGTGGCCCAAGTATCGTGATAATATCATATTATGGACCAAGTATCGTGATAATATCGTATCATGGACCAAGTATCGTAATAATATCTGGTGATTCCCACCCTTAATATTTACCATGAACATGGGGCAGGTCACCCATGTATCTCATTGTTACACACTTTTACACAGAAGACTGTAAACTGTTTAAGGATTGGAAGGCAACTTTTGGGCAGTCGGAGGGAAGGGGTCTGTTTGAAAAGCAGAAACCAGAACAGAAGGTCTTGGTCCTGGTCTGTGCTATCCAGGGTCCAGCTAGTAAAGATAGTCATAGACTAGAGCCCCCACACACCCACACAAACCTCTTCATCATCCAGAGAGGCACAATAGCAGCATTGATGTTGGGTGGGAGAGGATTGTATGGGCCCCTGCTGTTCCCCACAAGCCCCGCCACAAAAACCTCCTAATAATTTACAGCTTAGATGCATTTCTAAAGACTTAGTGGACAGAGTACAGACTTAGTGTGCATCAGTGGGCACACTACTTCCTGTTTTACACAATAAAACAGAATAACGACTAAATACTTGAGGAAAAGTTTGAGAATCTCTCTCGTCTCTACACGAGGCTTCATAAAGAGATAAAGAGACAGGCTCAGATCATATCAGCATCTCTGTATGAGACATCAAGAAAAGAGGGGAGAGAAGCTGGTTCTTGTCTGAGGGGAAAAACTAGCCTAGTTTCAGCTCATGCCCATTAAACGTGTCCCGGCCTGTAGCTCTGATTGCCTGCTCTCTGAAGGTACGGAGAAGGAATGTGCTGTGACCCAGAGTGAGAGAGGCAGAGAGATGACTCCTGGTTTGCTGAGCCACTGGATTTTTCCCCCCCTTTTAAATGACTCTCTCTGACCGAGCATGGCTTGGCTCAAATATCCACAGCCATCCCATGTTGGGTCAGAGCTCCAGAGTCAGCTGATTTGAATCTATTTGACATTAGGGGAACCGGTCTCTGTTTGCTCCAGGAAGCTCCAGGGTGGTAGAGGACAGGCTCGCCTGACAGACCGACTTAGTTTGCGTATGCTTTGACTTAATGGCAGCTGTACATGTCAGGCAATGCAAGCAAATATGAAGCCTGCAGAGCCCCTTCACTTTGAGGCTTTCAGAGCAAGGAACAAGTCGGGACAAGAACACAGTCACCTCCCACTGACAGCAACATATGTAACTGTACAGTTCATATTCATGGTGTAAACACATCACACAGACACAGAGCAGCACCTCATTCATGTACAGTAACTAGGACTAACTATTGCTATGAATTCATGAGTGGATATTTCAAATCCAGCCAATCTGTGAGGACTCAGAGCTACTTTTTGATTCTTTTCTACAGGGCAGCTGTGTCTCAAGAGACGGAGTGGTTAATCCCTCTATCTTAAGGCGAACAGCTTGATTGTGGGCGCCTTAAGTTCTTGCATGGCAAAAAAACTGAACTCCAAATTGCTCCTGAGGCTTTGCCTTTAGTCAGAGAGCGTGTGGATGTATGTGATGGAATGCATCTAAAGTGCTTTAAGTTGTCGTAATCCAGTTTTCTTTATCTTGAAACACTGAGTAATCCTGAAAACAGCACTTGAAAGGAGGATAAAGTCTTGAAGTATTTTCCTCAGATTCATTTAGCAGGTAAAATTACACAACGTTCAAAGGTAAAAACTGTGATGAAGCACAAAGCTTTCCCATCATTAGTTTAATTGTCAGTGGTTAAGATGAAGGCTTCAAGTATTCAGCATTACATACTCGACGGTTGTGTCAACACGCTGCTATCAACAGGTGCAGTGTTTAACACGCTACACATAATACTTTAGCATGTTAGCAAACTAATGGGGTTTTTGTCATGATCGAGCTCTGCAAAAGTCTGTGAATATTTGCATAAGACACAAATCCCTGAAAGCTGCTCACATGGCAAAAAAACTATTAAGGTGACTCAAAGACTTTATGGAGAGTCATATAAGTGACTGGAAATCATAGCACCTGTCTGCATAACCCCCCTCCCCCTTAAAAAAAAACACACACACACACACATGCGTACTCAGGAAATGATGAGCTTGTTTTGCTCATTGGCAGAAGGATTAGTAAATTCTCATCCGATATGATTCAATCAGACCAGTAACGTCTGTAAAACAGAGGGAAGTGCCAGAATTACCCAATACAAACACAAATGCACACATGCACGCATACACACAAGTAAGATCTCAAAGTGAGAATGGAAACTGCTTCAGGTTTGAGAGGAGGCTGGAGTCTAAGAACAAGACGCAAATGAAGGAAACACACACACACACACACTGAAAAACTCCTGATTTTGTCTGAACTACAGCTCTGCATTACCTTCAGTTCAGCTTCAATGATCCTTCAATACCACCACTTGATCTAGAGCTCAGTTTGGGGTATCTTAAAGGTTAATTAGAAGTAAGAGACGGGACACAGGTTGGAGCTCTGACAGTTCCTACTCACCTATGAAAGGGATGGAAGCCAAAGAATCGTCCTCTATGGGGAGGGGGGCCAGGTTGCCGTTGGGTTTGCGCGGGGCTACATCTCCCGTGGACCCAGGGGCAGGACCTGAGTCTTCAAGTTCAGGAGAAAATAGAGAGGGTTCTATCCCATCCATGGGTAGAACGTAGTGGGGATGCCGCATGCCGTGGGCATTCCTCCGCCCCGTTGGGGGTTTCTGTCTCAGCACCACTTCCTGCGTCTGTGCCGCCACCATATCTGACTGCCCCTCCACTGACCCTCGCTCCCTCTCGTGGTTTGTAGGTCTGTATGCTCTGTCCTGGGTTTCTGCAGTGGTGGAGGAGAGCGGGGAGGCAGAAGAGGCGGTGATGGGTGCTGCACCCTCAGGGGGGCTTTTAGGTGTTGGATTCCAGTTCAAATGGGGGCCAGAGTATGAAGGGTCCCTGAAAGAGTGGGCTTGTTGCATGATGCGGCCCGTCTTTCGGTAAAAAGATGGGCTGTAGCTGCGATAACCCACTGGCTGGTCATCCATGCTCTGTCCATGGGGGAGCCGCCTGCTCTGTGAGGCCACCTGCTGGGACTGAGTCTGGGAGTGGGTCGGGGTGTGTGTTTGCGGGTGGTGTTTAGAGTGTGACTGTCTGGGCATAGGAGCAGCTTGTGGCGCAACAAAATGGTTTCCCTGCTTGGTGTAAGCGTCAGTCCGAGGAGGCGGCTGGGGAGCCTGCTGCTGCCATGAAGGCCTCTCAAACCGAGGCGAGACCAGTCCAGCTGCTGCTCGGTCCAGCATCTCTAAGGAGCGGCCGTGGCGATCATACAGGGCCAGCAGGTTTTCAGAGCGTGTCCGTGTATAGTTTGTGGATTGGTGGCCCCTACCTGGGCCTGCCTCCCAGTCTCCATAAGACCAGTAAGGCTCTCCATGTGGTCCAGGTCCTGACTGCTGCAGTAATAGTAGAGTATCCTGGGAGGCGCTGTGCGGCCAGCCACCAGGCCGCTGCTGCTGCCTCCTGGATTCACTGAGCCGGTCCTGAGAGTAGCTGCGGTGTCGAGTCTGCATGCTGCGTCCTGAGCGCTCCGGCACCTGGCTGTAGTACCAGTCTGACAGCGCCTGCTGGCAGCGCTCACTGCGGCCATGGCTAAGCTGAGGCAACGGGGGACTGGTCCAGGCCGAGCTGGACTTGCGTGGCTGGGCTTGTGAGGAGCCAGCAGAGTGGTGGTTGGGGTAGTGAACCTGAAGTGGGCTGGACAAGGGGCCTCCTGATGAGGAAGAAGAAGAGTAGGAGCGCCCCCTGGTCTGGCCTTGAGGCTGCTGGCTGGTCATTCCGTACTGGATTTCCTCGGTGCGGTGGGCCGGGCTGCTGTGACCCACGCCACCTGGCTCTCCTGCTCGCCCCTCCTGCCAGCTGGCGGGGCTGCCCACAGCAGAGCGGTTGTCCAAAGGTGAAGAAGGGCTTGAGGAACCAGGCCAGCGACTCCAGTTATCCAGCTGGTTCTGGCCCATGGGGGCAGGTTGAGGGGCTCCGGCGGGGGATGTGGTTTTGGTGCGTGGGTAACAGAGGGGAGGCGGAGGTGGGAGATTCTCGGCTCCCCCTGAGTAGGGTTCGTTGCCTGTCAGGTAGGCATCTTGGGAGTAAGCCTGAAGGAGTGAAGGAGGAGAGAGGAGCGGTTAGATAAGAGCTCACAGGCAGGGAAAGGGTGAGAGGGTGAGGACGGTAAATCTACGTTTTTGACCTTTTCACTACAAACAAGTTTGACAACAACAACACAGCCCACAACAAACACTCTATAGGACAACTTCATGCCGCCATTTGTTACACAACAAACCTTAAAGTGGGACAGTGCCTTTTAACTTTTGCCACAGTTTGTCCCCGGGGCCTCAGCGCTCAACACAAACACATGCTGGAGAGCAAACTACACAAAGTGCCTGCAGCTCAAAACTCAACACGGACTAAAAAGCAGCCAGCTGCAAATACAAAAGTCGTTCACAGCAATGCTGTGTGTACACAGACAGGATATATCTATACACTCTGCACTACTTAAGAGGATCCATTACTAACGTATACGCATGACTCATTCACTGTCACCAACATTGAACAACTTCTTTTACACTTTCTAAAAACAGCAAACAAAGAAAATGCACTTCTTTTTGTTAATTAAGTAAAGTTTAACCTCATAATCCTTTCAGAGAGCTTTTTTAAGGTTTACCTAGACCGCCCAGCAGAACCCAGAACCCTTCCTCAGCCTGCATGTGAAGCTTCAAGTCACCAAAAACATACAAAGATGAGGAACAAAAGAGGACAAGGCGGGAGATCCTCACCGACACTCCAGCTGCTCTTCAGAATCTACACCCTCCTCCCGGTCCACCAAACATTCGGCCTTTTTCTCTATGAAATATTTCTTAAAGTTTCCTATCTGTTGATCTCCTTGTTGTGCCCTCTCTCGGATCCCTCACTCTCCTCCCTCTCATTCTCTGCCTTACTCCACCCTGTGGGAGTGTGGAAGGAGGCGCAGTGCTGGTGATGTCATGCTAGGAATGCAGCAGATTCAGGCGTAACAGTGAGGAGGGGAGGAGCGTGAGGACAGAGGAGTGGGTTTATAATGTTCAAAAATGGAGATACTCTTTAACGGAGAGCATTAATGTGGACTTAAACTGATATCTCCGTGTGAATGGCTTAAATCTGTTGATCTGGTTTTCATGTTAGAGGTTGCTCTGTGTTAATGGGAGGGACAAGGCGAGGGATGATGCATGTCTGATCATGTGAGCCAGCGTGGGGCAACCTGTGGAGCGACAAAAATGTGTTGTACAGTACATGGGTGTGTGAACGAGCGCAAGTTTGTGGGATTTTTTTAAACATCAGCTTCAGCACTCAGGAAACCAGTGTCCTTCTAATATATGCGAGGGATGAGTCAGTGCACAGTCATTCTTGCAAAATCTCGACATTCTCTGACAACAACAACAACGAGGTGAATCCAGGTTCAACTCTGCAAACAAGCAGAGCAGAAAGCTCATTCTTTCTGCAGAGTCCTGGCATGATCAAAAAGAGATCCAGCTAAGCGTGTAATTCCTGATGTGATAAGATGTTCTGATGGGATAAGATGCATTAAAAATCCTGTACTCACACTTACCAACTGAAGCACGTCTTCGTCCTTTGGCATAATGGAAAGCTCCAACATACTCTCGCTGCAACAGAAAGAACAATGATAAATAAGAATAAGAGGGGCAAAAAAGTGACTTGAAACTGTTGCAGAAGCTGTAGCAATATAAAGAAGTGAGATATAAACACAGAGCTAGAGGGTTAGTAATGCACTGTTTTAATACACTCTGGCACATTTCTTCTGATTAACTTTTCTCTTGTTTGAACGGTCAGATTGTCTTTGTCTCTTCTTAGTTTTTACCTCCCCCCCCCCATATCAAAATGGCCCCCACCCTGGATACTTTTAAATCTTTATCTTTTAATCTTTAATACTGTATGAGAGTTGTGTGGTCTCTGTCTTAAACTGTATTTTTATATTTCCTAGTGTTTTATCCGATTTAATATGTTTTTTTCTTTTTACTTTTATATGTCAATGTCAGATTTATTTATATAGCCCATTTTAAAACGGCCAGTGGCCTACTAAAGTGCTTTACAATAAAACAGCCAGAAACAATAAAAAACAATTGAAGCATAATAACTATAAAAACATAAAACAAAAAAATGGATAAAAATAGCAAATAAATACATAAAATTTACAGTATTTTCACTTTTTTTATATTTAATCTGTTGTGCAGCAATTTAGTGACCTTGTTGTTTTTAAAATGTGCTTTAAAAATAAAGGTGGGTTGGATTGGATAGGAAAAACAAAGTTTTAGCTTATGAAACACTTATATATGAGACCCTGGTGCATGACACAAACAAAAACCTTTTTCATCCCACAGGGGAAATTTGATAGAAAACATATCATCTTATTCTGGATGATAGTACTAATTCTGTGTAATATCACCAGGTCTGTGTGTTTGTCTGTTTTTATTCATCTGTGCCAATGAACAGCTTCCTTATGTGGATTTATGCCATATGCACGAGGTGTAGATATAGAGCATCATCCACAATACCTTCAAATTGAAAGGTGTTCTGCTATTATCAACCCTACATGTATTTTCAACCATGACATAACTCCTATTATCTACGAACATTTGTCTACAAATATTAGCTCCTCCAAAATAAACTCCTGGCCCAGCATCTCACCAGTCATCATGCATAATAGGTGAAAAGTGTTTAGCGTTTGGACTGCGTAGAGTACGCTGCTGCAGGCGACTCTTTTTGAAAATGAGAGTAAACGAATACAAGTGTTGACATCAGTGATGTGAACTTGCAAAAGAAAAAGCAAACATAAGCTTTAAGAACTAAACACACCAAAGGCTCAACGTGCTGACAGGTGAATGTCTTACCTGTTCTGAATGAGAGCGATCACCTGCGAGTACGTCTTTCCTAAAACACTCTCTCCATTCACTTTTACCAGCCGGTCCCCTAAAAAACACACAAAATGTCATTTATATCTAGCACACAAGGGCAGTGAGGTGAGTAACTACAGCCAAAGTGATGATCAAAATGGAACAGTAACAATAAATGCACTAAGATTAACAGTGAGTATAAGTAAGTCTGTAAAATCTGATATAAGAAAAAAGGCAGCACCACTTTGCAGATTTGAAATGAGACTCTGGGAAAGATGTTGCATAACCATTTGTTCCCAGTTTGTCTCCATGTAGTAGGCTCTACACAAGCTGAAAAGATATCACTGATATTTTTTCTGGTTGTGTGACTTTCTGGATGTGACAGCATGCACACTGCAGCGCTGGTTTGGTGTGTCTGCGCTGAGGCAGCAACTCACAACAGGAACACTTCAGTGATTCTGTCACATTCAAAGTGCACTGGGATTTTAAGCTGTCATTCTGGTATCTGGGTTATATCATCCAAAAGGCGTCTGCAGTGTGAGAAAAGCCTTTTCTTTTGGTAACCTTGTATTTGGGCTAACCCCCACTGATTTGTTTGTGTCAGTGTGTATCTGCTCATGTCTGCAGGATCACATGACCATAGATCCCAACACATTTACAATGCAAATCTGCTGATGCTGATGTTCCTCTTTTACCTGTGCACAAGCCCGCCTGATGAGCCGGACCCTTTTCTCTCACACTCTTCACAAATATGGTGTCCATGGGCTCCAGGCAGCCTTTCTGAAACCCTGGAGGATCGAGGCAGAAGAAGAGATTATAATAAAGTCCAGCCGACATTCATTTCAAAGCATGACGGTCACACTCCTGTTGAATGTTGAGATCTTTCCTGCATGACCTGAAAATGCTTCAACATCAGCCAAAGTTGACATATACTGCTTTTGTTCTCTAACACCTGTTTAAAAGCAGCAGGACTGGATTTAACTGCAGTGCTGCATATTGTCCTCTAGAGGGCGCAGAGGGGCTGCATAGCAGAGGTGACAGGATGGAATAAAAGGTGTCAGCTTGTTAAATCATCCTTATCTCACTGAACAAGGCTTTAATTTGCTGCCTTATAAAGAGAGTACATAGAAGAAGGTTAAGAGCACTTACCCTTTCTGTTACCGTTCTCCTCATCCTGCAAAGAACACAGACAGGAGGAATTATGACTCTGGCTTCAATCCAGTCACATTTGGTCATGTTTACCCACAGAAAACAACCTCCATAGAGGTATTTTAAGGAGACATACGGAACATGGTTAAGTGTATTTCAGCTTTTGACAACACAGATGCTTTTTATGGTACTTTTAATGATTCAAAGAATTCTGATGTTTTTGTAAAATGCATAAACTGTTTGATAGAATTTATTGCAGCACAAGCCGTAACAAGAGCAAATAAAACAGCAGGAAACCTACTTAAAAATGGGATTTTTAATGACAGGATTTATCTGTTTGGTTTTGTTTGTTTGAGTTACAAGATCAGCTTTTACATTATTTTGTTGATTATTTTTGGGAACAGGGACAGCACCTAATTGGAAGTACTCGCACAAGAGTTGGCTAGCAGCTTATTTGCAAATGTTGTCCCAAGGCAAATGTACTCATGAAAACCACAATACATGCCAATAATGCGAAATAATAAACAGGGAGGATAAATACGGATAATACAAAACAACTGCAATCTTGTAATGACCGGTCAAAGCTTGAGGCTGGTTTTCAAAATCTGAGGAAGCCACATGAGTCTTGTGGGAACCAAATTTAGCAGAGTAATATTTCTGGTCTTCAAGATTCGGCTGAATTAAAATACAAAATACAGGCAGCTGCATAACCAATGCTGATTCAGATCAGTTCTTCATACATCTAATTTAACAGCATGCAGAAATCCTCAACCAGAGATGAAATATTCTGGGCGAGAAAAGCAGTCTGACACTAGTTCATCCCAGAGTCAAGCTTACCTGGTACATAAATCACTGTAGACTTAGGATGACAGGGAGAACCTTTTGTGTCAAGTTAGTGTTAACCACAATCTTCTCAGCCAACCCTCATCTGACAGAGCTGCTTGTTTTTATGAGCTCTACATGTTGAAGTGCAGCTCTGACACAAACACTGACTTTCAGGTTTGACTGTCTGCAGGTAAACATGATGTCATGGAAAAGCAAACAAACACACAAAACAGCGAGAATGGTGGCGTTTGATAGGCACAGGTTGTCTGATTATGTCCACACACACACACACACACACACACACACACACACACACACACACACACACAGTAAGCTGAGTGGACAGTTTGGGGTTAGAGGCATGATGGGCTGACTGCTGCCTGGCTTTATGCTGCGCTGAGTGGGCTCATTCCTGGCTCTGTGGACAATGGTGGGGGTTTTAGAGGCAGAAAAAGGAGAGCTGCCATCCCCAGAAAAGAGCTTTGAGCTGGGGACACTCCACAACCGAGCAGCTCCAGCAGATTGAGCACAACCAGGACTGAGGAGGACAGAGCGAGGGGTGGGCACAAGAATCTACAACAGGGCCCTCACAGTATACAGTAGCTCAAAGAGTCACACATGCTACTAAACTTGGCCCAGACAGCACCAGTTGCATTTCATAACTTTGCTTACCTTACTAAATGCATCCCCAGGTTTCTTTGCCCATTAAAGAGTTTTATATTGAGGGCTTAAAGGGATATTCCGGCGTAAAATTAGGTTAGCTAAAAAGATGTTTGGTGGCTAGTGGTATGGCTGGGACCCTATATGTACTGTTGATGAAGTTAGGTGCTGTTCTGAGCATTATTTGTGGCTATAGAGCGGCTTTTTGGTTGACGATTGTGCGTGGAGACGTAGACCGCTGTGTATTGCTAATGTGCGGTCATTACTAAAGTTGGTATAACTAGAGAAGCAAGAAGTCAGCAACATTCATCTCTCAAGGGGGTGTCTAACTTGGTGTTACAGTTTGTTTGACCCTAAGTTAAATTTACGCCAGAATATCCCTTTAAGTTGACAAAGGAAAAGTCCAGATTTAATGTTCATTAAAGTCGATCATTAAGCTGTTCGATATGTTAATTTTAGTCTGACGCAATATCCAAGGGAGACTGAGTCCAAGTGAGAGTGGATCAAGGACAAGTCACTCAGATTAAGTACCATGTTTGCAGTTTCATGCAGTGACAAAGCAGTATAGATAATCATAGATAGATATGAAGTTGTGTCTGAAGAGAAGAGAGATTTATTCTTCCTGAACAAAATAAAAGTAGAGTTAGCATCTCTGTTTGCAATAACATAACTGAAGACTAGTGAAGATACCAGGGACCTGCAGACACTATGAACTGAGGGCTTAACTGGGTCATGCACCCAGAAGGCCTCTGATAATTGGACACTATGAGGGTAATTTGGGAGACTTCCATGAAGGCTCAGATCAGGACAGGCAGCTCTGATAGTCTGTTTGTCCAAAAACACCATGTGACCCTTGAGGCAGAGGAGCTTGAGACAGAACCAGGGCCAAAGGCCAGCAGTGGGCCTATTGTCCCGGGCCGGCCTGGTACGGCTTGACTGCCAGAGAGTGGTACCAGGCTAAGACAACAGATCTCATTCAATAAGGGCTCCATATCTGCAGCTGCAGCACGGTGGGGTGGTACGATAATAATGGAGGCCTTGTTTCAGCTGTGCTCACCCCACCCCAGCCTCCATATCCCTCAATTTCACATCTGGAGCCGTTTGCCCCCACACCTCAGAGAGCTAAATAACTGCTCCCTCACAAAGTCTCACTCTAAAACGGCAGGTCCTGTATCCACAGAGGGGTAAAAACACACGGTGTGACCATGGAAGGGGCCCAACGGTACATTTAGCTTCCTCACAGATTGCACGTCTTTATTTTGCTTCAATATCTTGTTGATTTCTCCTTAAATAACTTTTCGACAGGCTTCATTTCAGCGGCTCATTGTCTCCAATCAGCCTGTCTGTGGGTTCATTTCACTCAGCTCAACCTCGCTGACCCTGCGCTCTGGTATGATTGGCTTTATGTCCGAGCTCAAATTGGCTCTGTCCCAGGTTCAGCCAACTAAACGCAAGGCTTTTGAAAACCCTTTTAAATACCAGCTAGGCTGAAATGGAGACCATGTGTGCTGTTAAAACAAACATGTTAGCTGAGAAGAGGGCTAAATGATGCATAATGCGAGAAAAACACCATAGCTCTCCATGTTTTTAACATCTTTTAACAACTTTTTACATGTTCAACACATCCTCTCACCTTGAGGTTGGTGTGCAGGGCAGACTCTGGGGGGTAAACGATGAAATGGCGCAGAGTGAAGCCAAACCCCTGGGAGTTCTTATGGAGAACCAGCGTCCTGGGACCCTTCCAGCCCATGCCGACCCCCTCCCTTCCCGGCCGGGTCGCCATCGGCGGCCGAGGGTTGTCACCGGCTGAAGAGAGACCATCCCTCCGCCCCTTAGCCTGAAGAAACAGAGAAAAAGATTTAGAGAGAGTCAGGAAAAGTCAATCAACATTTTTTTCCCCCAACATTAAAGGATATGTGCTGTTCAAGTATCATAAATACTGACGAACTGAGGCTCTCATGGAGAGTAGTTAGATTAACACACACCACTGTCAGGTAACGGACATGTCAGGTGAGAGTGTATGGCGTATCTTTGGAGAGGCACAAGGAGTGAACATGGGGCTTCACCCTATTCAGACAAAGCTGACTGTGGTCTGATCAGACAGAAGAGTCCAGGGGGGATCTGAAGACTGGCTCCCTATCGACCTCTAAATATCTCATCGCTGAGGTCGAGTAAATAAGCTGGGCTAGCTCAGCTGACAGACACACGTGAGAACTCTCACCCTCTTGCTGCCCTGACGACCCACATCTGTCAGTCAAACACCATCACCTGACCAAACAGGCTGGAGAGGGGGTGGAGGGGCCTCAAGTTTGCTGTGGTTTACTTACCCTGAAATGCACCCAAACTTCAGGGTTAAGATAAATCGACTGAGCTCTTTTTGGAATGAGGCACTTCATGAGAAACTTCTGTAACAGTGAAACAGCACTGCCACGTCGTATTTCAGTCAGTTAACTGAGCAGTATGAGCTAAAACACACCCAATCAGTCTACACTACAGTGTCACACACAACTAAAGAGTTCACTGATTTTAGTTATGTCATCCAACCTCATTTAACAGCCATGTCAGAATAACTGCGAGCGCACCATAGAGTCACTCAAATGCAAAACCAGCAACTCTTAAACCTCCTTTCAACAATCTCAGGTCCATGCTGGACAAGAGGAAACCTCCTGTTTGTACGCGAAGTCCCTTCAGACTGAGGTACTGCTGCCTTCTTCAGGCAAAAATGCCAAAAATGCAGAGAATTCATGGTTTTGAGGTAGTCTGATATAAATTTTAGCTCGCTGTTTTAAAACCTTTGGGGTTTGATAATTGTCCTTTTTCCCTGATTTCTACTCTTGAGTAACTCTGCATGCCAGGTTGCGTTTGACTGTTGCAACCATTGTAGTTTAAGCAGTAAATTACTGTAATTTGTTATATACTGACTTTGAAAACTAAGCACTATGCAGACCAGTAAAAATTCAGAGCATGTTTATCATGGGAATGGTTTAGTTCAGGATGCCTCAAAGATGTATGGTGAGGAATGTCAGACAGGGAGCAAAAATAGCTCCAGAAGATGCTCTCTAATTTTCTGACTGAAACTTTAACACAGTATCTCCACGAGCAAACCTGCAGCTCCAAACATCAGTCACATAGGACTCTATGATCTATGTTCTCAAGTCATCTTAAGTCATCACTCTGTTTATGGTCAAATGTGCCAACAGCTCACAGGGATAGGTTTTAACCATCTATGTTACACAAAACAGAGAGGGGGGAGAGGTTGTTGTGATCACAAGATGAATTTGGTCTTGAATTGTTCTGCCTCTGAAGTCATTCAAGATAAAAATCAACACTTTTATCCAAATGTGCAACCAAACTTCCACATTTACAGCATTTTTTAGTGCAGTTCAGCGTCTGAATGATGTCAAAGCAAGAGCGCAACAGGAGTGAAATAAAACAACGATGATGAAAGTTAAATACTTGTAGTTGGACTGGGCAATCAAACGATAATGATCAAAAATTAATTTCCCTCAATATCAATATAAAACATGGTCAATATGCTTTTCGATAGTTGGCATTCTGCCATATTTTGGTAGACTATATGAATAGCCAATGAAAAGGGGAGTTGCTCCAGGTCACGCGGCGCTGATCATGTGCTGAATTAGACCCAAGTACCAAACAGCTGCGTAACCATAGCACTTTAACACGTAAAGCCAACAGCGCTGTCTGTGAGAAAAAAAAGAAAATAAGTGCTACCCCTGTCAGAAAAGCAGATGAAGGCTCAACAGATGATGAGATGGTCAACAACACTGGCACCAAAATGTTGGGGGTGTGGAGGTATTTTGGTTTTTTGAAGTCGAACATGAAGCAGAGTAATGTGCACGGCAAATTATGTCGAGTACATGTTAAATTTCATTTAAGAGTAACAGGGAACATTTCAGATTGACAAGTGTTTCTTTTTATATCATGATATACAGTATATTGATATTGACTGATATGAAAAAAAAATATTGTGATCAACTTTTTCCCATATTGCCCAGCCCTACTTGTAGTTGATCCATGCACTTGACTAAATTCTGAAGTTTTTCCTCAAGTTACAAGAAAGAATTTCTTGTGATATAATTTGTCTTATTGAGGTGTGTTTGAGGACCAGATATGAAGATATCTTGACTACAAGCAACAAACTCCCAACAGTGTCCACCACACAATAATGTACAACACACACACATTCTGGCTCTGTCAGGCCTGTATGTGGCCGCTCAGCAGTAAAAACTAGCGGGATGGAGATAGGAAGTGCAGTACTTTACGGGGCAGCATAACCAGACGTTCCTATAAATAAAAGGTAGAGCTACTTCCACATGTTCACTCCTCTTTCCACTTCTTCTTCCTCTCTTTACCACATGCTTTTTGGAGTGATGGAAATCCGGTTGTGGAGACTTCTACCGCACTTTTTCTCCCTCCTCCTTCTAAGCTTCATTAACGGAAAAAGAGAGCAAAAATAAGTTTGGATGCTCTGACTGAAGTGTGTTACTTTAAGGCTCTCCTTTTAAACTTTCCTGCCTTTCTGCCTCCTCCAAAGTAAAAGCCTACTCTGAGGGAAAAATGAAGGGTGTATTTTTCTGATTTAATCTCTGTGACAGTCAAAGCCTGATCTTTAGTCTGGCAGTCTAAACAATGAAAAGTAACACCTGTTATTTTCTCAAAGGGGCGAGCGCTTAGCCCTATTATGTAGCATGAGAGCAGCATAAAGAAATCGCGTGAGGATGGAGGGATGTTTAGGATGTTGAATAAAAAAGGTTTGAAAAATGAAAAAGAAAGAGAGAGAAGAGGAAATGAAAGAGTGAGAGAGTGAAAGGAGGAAGAGGCTCAGTGAATTCCTCAGAGGGAGCGGTTTGGCTCGGACATGTTGAGACACAAAACGTAAGCTGGTGGAGGTGAGGGAGCACAGAGAGAGTGAATAAGAGGAGAAGGATGAGGAGTACGAAGAGAAGAAGAAGAAGGAGGAGGTGAAGGAGAAGGAGGAGGAGGAGTATCGGGCTCCAGTGAGGGACAGGCTCCAGCACGCCGGTTTCGACCACATGGCCCCTCCCGGAGCAGAGAATACCAAACCCTGTGATTACCCAAAACACACAGGGTCTGAACGGGTCTCTGAGCCAGCACTGTTTCCCACTCGGCTGCTGTGTGCTGTGTGGGATGAGAGTGTGTATCTATGTTATCATCTATTCTGCCTCGGGTACATTTCCCTCCACGGATTAAAAAAGAAACCTTTCCTTTACCTGTCGCTTTGGCCAAGACAGTTTTCAGTTTTGTTTTTGCCCCAAAAAACCTAAAATGAAAAAGTCTCAACTTGCTGACGTGCTCCATCCACCCCCGCCTGTTAAACACTCAGTTCAACCAACAGGCACTTGGAAAAATTTTCTGTGGTTTTCAGTCCAAACTCGACTTCCTATGTAGGCTCAGGGCACAGACGAGGGGAACCTCGCTCTTATTTGAAGACATTTAGTGTTTCCTTTCTTTCCTACTGGCAGTGTGTCCTTCAGCGCTGAAATTTGGACATGTTTTCATCTGTTTGAGTCATTTATCAAACCAAAAATCCTCTGAATACAGAGCAATCCTGAGAAACCCCAATTATCACCTGTGGATGATGTCATTGAAACGAGGAGAAAACTAACACAGTCAACAGATGCTTTTGAATATGCAGAGCAGCTCATGATGCCACATGTCTGCACGTTTCTTACACTGAGTGGGCGTTAAGTGGTAAAAGCTGTGTGCTTTAACAACACACACACACACACACACACACACACACACTTATGCACACAGTAGTAGCAGCAGCAGAAAAGCTTCCCTGTGGATATTTCTCCTGATTTTATTTAGAGAGCTGGTGGTTGAGATGCATGACTGAACCACTTCTGTTTTGTTGACATTAAAAATCTTCAACTATTCGAGGATTCACCGTTTTTCAGAAAAACAGGCCAAGGCGGACTTTCTGTTTCTAAGACGTGATTGTAATCTTAGCCCACAGTCACCGATGTCATTATCAGCAAACGTGTTGGTGAGCACACACTGCAACACCTCTGCTGCCTCCATCCAGAGGTAAAGCAGCACGCAGGAATGCAGCGTCTGCCGGGGGGAAGCTGCGCTCCTGCTAAAGCCCAGCAGGCCAGAACAATAATGCTCATTTAAACAGCTGAGAGCTGCAACCTGTTTGAAAAGTGGAGCTTTACGGACGTTACAAATGCTGACAAGCCTCTAATCCTGACAGCAGTGGCTGTCTGCACTCACGGCCACCAAGAGGGACGGTGTGAACTGTCAAAAAACCCACATCCGACCTGAGGATTTCTGCACTTACCGGCAACATGGAGGGAGAACTCCCCCACCTCTGCAGGTCTAGGTGCATCTTAAAGTCCAGAGATAAAGGTGCATGTTGGGTTTGTATCCTGCTGCGCTCTGCTCTAATGCTCCAACTGAAGAATACGACCTGCCTGACAGGCAAGGACTCTAAATCTAAAACAACACACGCACAAGCTCAAGTATCCCTGTTTAATTTACATAACAAGAGTGCGTTATCAGACAGGCATGTGTTTGTGTGAGTGTTTGCACGCAGCAAAGTGTACACAGGAACATAATATGTGTGTATAAAAACCAGTTCAACCCCATTGTCAGTTGCAGGACAGCAGGTGATGACGCAACATCGGTTAAACTGGGTTTTCTACCTGAGCAGCAAAAACATATTGTACTCTTCTTTTGTCTAACTGGCAGCTGTAGTGGATCTATTTTGATTTGAATGTGATTTGCATATTTGAATAAAAAAGAAGGAAAAGATGAATTTCATTGACTATCTTGGAAGCTCATAGGGTTGGGGGAAAAACCCGATACAGCATAGTATCACGGTATTTTGTCTGGTGATATATTGTACCGTTTCATTGATCAATTATCGTTTTTTTTTTTTTAAATTAATTGTTAGTATAAAGTCAGATCTATGATAATGGAAAAATAAAATCAACAGTTGAAAAAATTGTATAAATTGCAATATATATTGTATCGCAAAATGTTAAAAATTGAAATAATATCGTATTGTGGGGCCACTGGTAATTCCCACCCCTAGTAGCTCAGCAGACAGGAAGTGACATAATTAAGTGTGTAAGGTTGAAAGTGCAACAAAAACAGTTTATAGATTATGGTTTGCAAGTACTGACATTTGAAGTCAATGCTAAGCAGTATTTAAGAAGTACTCTTACAATGTTCCTTTGCTGGGGTTTATGTTTTTTTTTTTGCACTTTAACCTCATTGACATAAGATAACTTCAGTATCTTAATCATCCAAGGATCTTCTACAGGCATGTTCGTCATTGTCTCAACAACCTGTGAGGGTATTTCTTCTCCATGTGTAGGTGGATAAACCGCTCATGGTACAAGATTGAAGCCGATTATGCAATTACTGAGATGCCACTACGAACAAAAAGCACAACTTGATAGAGAGAGAGAGAAAAATGCATGATGGAAAGCTAACAGCATGCTGATAACTACAATAGCAAATGAAACTTGGCTTTGTCTGTACAAACAGGTGACAGCTGAGTGTCACCTCTTCTCTTACTGAAACAGACACCTCTTCTCTTAAAACAACAGCGTACAGTATGTGTTTGTCCAAGCTGTGTGCGTATAGCTTCCCCCACTGCAACACTTCCTTAACTGTGTCAACCCGTCACAGAGAGGGAGGAGGGGGATGGTAATAACCTGGAAAAAAGAGGGGGAAGTTACACTCCACATGTATGCCAGCTCTGAAACGAGTTCAAGTGGGGAAGTGACGCCCTGAATTCTGAGAGCGGTGAGAGTCAGAGGGATGGGAGTGCAGAGTCACACAGTTTCCACAACATCTCTGTACAGGTGACACTTAGTCGAGCCCTTCATGTGTCTGTAGCTGATAATTAGATGATGCTTCAAGGAGGGGAGGATTAAGATGGAGAGGAAAACACAATCAGTTGGATTACTAATGGAATTGCAATCAGAGTTCTTATGTATCTTGTATGTGCACTGCAGACACTAGTTCTTCTGCCTTAGCATCTCAGTCTGTTTGCATTTCCATTAAGTAATAATGATACACTTACCGCTGCACTCAGTGATCGACTTGTCAGGGCTCCTCTACAAACAAGAGGCTGTGTATTGCTATCGCGCAGTCGTTGCTGAAGTTGGTATAACTCAGGAGGCAAGCAGTCGGCAACATTCATGTCTCGAAGGGGTGTCTAACTCTGTGTTACAGTGTGTTTGAACTTAACTTAAATTTATGCCGTAATATCCCTTTAAGGCTTCCAGTGAGAAAAAGTCTGAACTGTGTGAAACGAAACCACACGTTATTCCCAGTCCTGCCAGAAAAAAAAACAAGCCAGGTGCAGCTGTAGGGAATTTCTCATCAGTGACAAAACTCTCCAGTAAGAACTACGGTAACAATGCATCATAATCCAGTAATTCAGGGTAACACAAGGAGCGCCCAATAGACAAGAAGACAAGCGCCTAAAGGCAAGACAAGTGCCTGCCTGGAGACGGTGAGAGGTCAAAGACTCTGTCAACATGTGAGTGGTTAACACTTAAAAAAACAAAACAACGATGGGTTACACAGTTACACACGCCCCACACAGCGGTTTGTGCAGAGGATTGTGCTGATATCACTGTGTGTAATCTGACTTCTGCACTACCACAGAAATCAAAGAGGGCCTGCGAGGACACATTTGCACAATCGTCTTCCTGGTTTTGATGAAGCAGGAGGAGCATTCTTCCCTCTTTTCATATGATAGGATGTTAGATGGACAAGGCGAAAGGGTAAATCTTCAAAAGGGGGAAAAATCAAACTTGAAAGCTTCTCAAATAAGTGCTTTCTGTCAAACTATGGCAAACTCTATAAAACAGGATTACACCTGGAGCAGTGGGTACACCAGCATTACTTTGAAGCACTTTGCAGGGTAAAAAAGGTATCCAATACTCTGATCAATAAGCAGATTTACCAATAAAATCACTATCTATTCTAAATCATGTCTAAACTGCTCAATAATAACTTTCCAGACACTCAGAGGAACTTCAGAGATAGACTGATGCTTTGGTTGAGCGGCTCTGTATCCGCTCACTAAAGGAAAAAGGTCGAGCTCTCCTTACCCCGAGCTGGTGAGAGCTCTGGCTGCGCCTAACAGGCATAGTGGGTGGCGTTGGTGGCGACACTGAGTGTGTGGGTCCACGGAGCACCGCCAACCAAATGCAGCGGGGTTCAGGGGCACTGCAGTCCACCCCCACCGGGTTCTGGAAGCTCCAGTCTGACCCAGCCGGTGTGGGGCATGGTAGCATAGCAGCGGGCATTGGGGCGTGGAGTTTCTTCTGATCCGCCACCCTCACTGCCCACATGGGCCGCTGGAGCCAGACAGAAAAAGGGTATAACCGAGTAAAAAGACACGTGGGTTTAGAAATCCTCCTCTAGGATCCTGCAGTCATTCAAAAATCTGAACTTCCCGTCTCCTGGACCCGCTCCATCGCTGTCAGTGCTGATCCTGCAGAATGTTTAATCCCACAAGTTCCACATCAGAGCCTCCTGACCTTCGGGAAGCCGCTCAGTGAGACTCTCACACAGAGAGTCTCTGAGGGGCAGAGAGAGCAGAAGGCAGGCTCCTGGGCAGCAGATGGAGGAGTGTGTGTGGCGCAGGGATCAGAGGTAGGTCTGGTTTCACTACACACACTCACAGAAGGACTGACAGAGAGTGGCCTTCCTGGTGGTGTCCAGTGATGTTCTGCATACAAAGCTGTTCAGTCCACCCCAAAACACACACTGCTGTCCCAGAGGGCTGGATCCTCTGTCTCTCCTCCCTCTAACTGCCCCTTCTCTCTCTCTCTCTCTCTCTCTCTGTCTTCTTTCTCTTTTCTTCCCTCTAGTCCCAAACAAATCTCTTCATCCCTCTCGCATCTCTGTCTCAAACTCTTTTTCCAAACAAGCATCAGTTTCTCCACTCTTATGTCCTCTTGGCTTTCTCTTTCTCTCTTGTCTTTCTTACTCAATCCATTTCCAAACAATCACCCCCTCCTCATGAGCCGCTCCGACAGTCATCAGCAAACAAATAACTGTGCTCTGCGGTTAACTGGAAGTGGACACTGGAGGAAAAAGTTGTGGTCCAGATGTAGATATCTCCTGTAGGCTGCTGCTGAAAAAGTAGAAACGCTGTAGACAGCTCTTGTTCTGTATATAGAGTCCTGTGCTCACACGTGTGCTGCATGTGTGTGTGAGTGACACAAATACAGTGACAAAGCTGTGATCCTGGTGCTAAACTCCACAAAAGCCGGCCCTGCCTCTGCTGGCCCTCCCCTCCACCCAGAGAGGAGACAAACACAAAAAGAGAGAAAGAGAAAGAGGCCAATTTCCAGCACAAAGAGAAAAGAAAACATTTGCCTTGCTGCTCTGTTCACTGATTCACTCCCTTTCTTTTTTTTTTTCACCAAAGAGGGAAAAACACAGAGGAGGAAGATGATAATTAGAGGAGAAAACAGGAAAAATGTGAGGCTCTGAAAATAAAACTCCTGCTGCTGGATGTCAACATGACCTCTACACTCCTACTCACAGGATCCACTCTGACACCTGAACACCACAACACTAAATCTGTCAGTCTGTCTCCCACGCAGCAGCAGAGTTCTCACCAAACAGCCGGGCGTCCAGGAGTCGAGAGAAAGCGGCAGACAGGTGACCATATTTCCAGACAACACATTTCCCGCTGAGACACTGTGAGCACGCCGCACATCCGTTACAGAGGAGGTTAGACAGGTTTCACCTGCCACACCGCGGGGCAAGTACCAACCTGAGCGGAGAGAGAGCCGTCACACACACAGACTGTACCCTCTGGATACACACACTGCAGGAGTTTGTACACAATGAGAAGATGATAACAGAGTCTTTGGAGACCGTCGGAAATGAGCCTGTAAAATGTAAAATAAAGGGGTTGAGGGGGCAGACTTTACTAGACCTATAACGAGTCGGGGTGTAGGATAGGGCAATTTCTAGACCATCAAGACTGCAGGATGAACAAACAGCATTAAATCTACCTTATTATTAAGATGTTTAAGAATTCAAACATTTTCAGAGATTTCCTGTAAATTCTCTGTGTTTTGGGATCAACCGTGTACAGCACACTGTTATCTGAAACATGGTGCTCTACAAAGATAGTAAACGCAAAGATGGCGTTCTCACTGTCTAAACATACAACCCCATTGAAAAACTCAGTCACTCATACTCCTTTACTATTTAAGATAAAATAATGTTTGAGTTATTTAAGAATGTGTTTCGATGCTTATTCCAGTTTGATAAGTTTTAAAAGAGCTATTTAAGGACGTTATCACCAGCTGACAGGGAAAACTGAGAAGCTAGAATAAAACACTGGTCCTGTGGGGAAAAGCGTGTATTTTATAATTCACTTTGGTGATAATGCCACTGAAATGCTTGATCCACAGAAAAGGGATCAGAAATATCCATTAAACGCCTCAAGTTTGTAAGGCTGTAAAGTCCTAGTCGACCTATTGGACCTATATGTGCTTAGTCGACGAAAAATTCTGATTCATCGACTCGATCTTTTCAAGTCAATTGAAAGTCATTAGTTAATTTCATCAGGCGGAACGTACCAAGTGCTAATGGGGGTGCTTTCAGAGCACCCCCGTTTCACAGGTAACAGCCTGTCTCAGAACACCCATCATTTTCACCATTTTGGATTCACCCAACCCATTTGAGACCGACTGAAGACAGAAAGATTGAAGAGTGTCCGCATTAATCAACGTACGGTGGGTTGCTGAATATACTATTTGTATTTAATTGCCTTCTTGCGCCGATATCAGTGTATTATCACCCCGCCCACCTATTTGTCGAGTTTTGGTCGACCAAGCATTTCTTTGGTTGATTACAGCGCTACAAGTTTGTGATCATCAGCTACTGAAACACCAGGAAAAGTGATGCTACAGTGAAAAAAAGGAAAACCTATGAGTGTATTCACCTTTTTAACGGGGTGTGTAAATGCTTAAATTCGTGTTTTTATTTTTCATACAGATGATTCGGTTGTCTCTGTTTTAGATGTTACACTGCGCCACTTTAAAGGACCTTTCCTGCAATCATAACAGAGTAGGTTTAGGTGGATATGCGCCCCACTTCATCCCTGTTTAAATAGTTTATAGAGTCAGCACACACTTTCACTTCTACACACACACTTTACATGTGAACACAAAGGCTGAATCTACCCTGCAAACTCACACACACGCCACATGTCCCACTGAGTCACAGCAGAGTATAAATACACTGGCTATGTAATTTAGGTTCCTCATAAAGTCAGAGGGCTGTGGCTGTGGGGGGTTTCTTTCTCTCTCTCTCTCTTTCTCTGTGGCTGATGCACAGACGGGTGGAACCGCCCAGCAGGGACAGGAGAGTGGGTCATCGGCAGAGGAGGTTTGACTGTTCTCAGACTCTTCTCGGGGTGAGGGAAAGACCACACCTGAGGGACTCGCAGACAGATATAAGAGCAGATGTCCGATCAGACCGGTGAAGAGTTAGACAGAGGTTTAATATCTGAAAATATACAAATTCTCTGTTTCGCAGCGTGAGGTTTTCATATCACATTTTTCATAATAACAGTTAGCTTTGGCGAGGAGGGAGCAGAGCCTAATTTGGAAACAAAGGTCTCTGTGTGCAGCTCCCCTTTTTTTTCTTGCTCCTCTTCTTGAACCATGAAGACATTTACTAAAGAGGAAGAAGAGCAAGAAGAGGAAAAGCCTTGAGTAACAGTTTACATGATGGACACACAGTCACACATGAAAAGGTCTGATCATAGCACCTTTCTCCTACCAGTGACCCACACAGTCAGCATGTGGGTCTAATGTACATCACGGCTGCATACCTCCTCTATCAGTCCATTCAAAGGCTGAGAAAACGCAGACTTCATATTAGCAACTCCTTTTATCAAACCCTGGCAGCTCAAAGCTCTTGAAGTGAGGAAATCAAAGGCAGACACACGCTTTTAATCTCAGAGAGGAGTGATGCCTCGGTGCCTCCTGCCCCAGTCGGCCCCCTCTGCTTTCTGATAACAAACACATCAGTGGTAAAGTGAAAGGAGGGAGGTAATACCGGTGTAATGGACAGATTAGTTTAGTGATACGTTTTAATCTCCTTAACACTCATAACATGACCGTGGGCCAAAAGGTTTACACACAAAGGACTTACACCTCTGTTTTTTTCCACTGTGGGAAGACGGAGGTTTTCTACAGAGGTGTGAGAGGGAGGAATAAGCTGGAGATGAGTGCACGAAAGAGGAGATGGAAGAGTTTCATACCACTGAGTGAGACTGAAGTTGGCGTGTCACAAACAAACCAAACAGCGGACACAATCATGGGGTGTTTTCTCTAAACACAGGCTGCAGAAATTCAGGAAAACATGCAGAAAGGGTCAGTGAAGGACAGGCTGAGGGTTCAGCTCACCAAGAAACTTATAAAAAAAACTGACCCACAAAGCCAAGAGAGAGATAGACAAACTCAGTTAATACCCAAACATGAAGCCTTAACAGCCAAAGATTGTGTCTCCTGTCCCCTACTGGTGAGAGAAAACACTGATGCACCGCTGACTCAACATGTGGCACCAGAGGATTCATGTGTTCATGCAGAACCCTCATGACTTTTCTGCATCATCACATTATCGCTATAAATGGAGTGAAGTGAAGCACAGAGGAAAACAAAAATATGCATGACTGGTGGTTTCCAGCCTCCTCCAGAGTTCACACGGTGAGTCTGAGGGGTCATGGCATGAGTAAGTGGATTTGTAACAATCAGACAAACACACTTCTGCTGGAAAAATCTGGTCAATTTTTCTTAACTTTGTTAGAAACCAATTACTCTGGAATTTCCCTTTGGGGGGCCAATAAAGGAGTATCTGATCTTATTCTTAAGAAAACTGGAAACAAATTTTTTTCAGTCTTTAAATTACAGTATATGAGGTGAAAAGACATTTGTTTCATTGTCGGAAGTGAGTTAGGTGTCAGTTTAGGGTAAATTTAGCCTTTTGTTACCCTGAGAGCAAAATAAACTCCAATAAAAGAGAATTTTTTATTCAAAAAAGTTTAAAAAAATAAAGAAAATTACGTGAAATTGTCAGTTTTTGGTGCTCAGTCCACCCTTTTTGTTTGTTTGGACGTCTAAAAGAACTGATGCAAAGTGATGGAGTCAACATCTGTCATCAGTAATCCCTCCCTTAAAAATGTGACAAAAATCACAGTGCTGTTTTTAAGCAGGTTAATTTTTTCTTTAATCTCTAGTAAAACCATGTGCCATAAAACCTATCGACCTCTTTGGCTAGATCAGGTTGTAGTTACCAACTAACAGCCACTAGAGGGCAGCTGTAGCACAGAATGTATCACCAGTGGATAGATGGGTGGGGGGTCAGGGCAGAGGGTGGGGATTCAACATGCAGCTACATACAACTGTGCAATTCACGCTGAGATGGCTTATGATGTGTGCGAGCGTGGGATGATTTAGTCAACCTGCGAGTGGTTATCTGTGCTTCTCATGTCAGCTACTAATTAATAACATCAGAGGCGGGTGGGAGAGGGCAGCTGGAGATCACAGAGGTCACACCTGTTGTGGCTTTAAGGAGGAAACCTGGGGTTGTGCGGAGACCGGAGCAGGTGGACTCTGTGGAGACGAAATGCGCTGGGGTCAGATATCCCATCAGCCCACAGCTGAGGGGAGGCTGGGTGGTCCGACCAGGACTGATACAAGAACAACAACAACAATGTCCAGCTTACTCCGGCAGAGCGGAGGATTAAAGCTGTTAAAGCGGCCCACCTGACCGTGTGTTCCTCCTCCAGAAGCAAACGCATTATGCATGCATTCTTCGCATGTGCGTGTGTGTTACACTGCAGGCCATGTGAGTGTGTCAGTCAGCATGGAAACAATTATGAAACAACAACTCAACTCTATACAACCCTCTTCACACTCATTTTGCTAAATATGTTCTGAATTATTAACACAAGCAGCAGCATAAATACCAACAGCGGCTGCAAAGAATCATTATTCCCCTTAATACTTGTTCTTTTTCTGTCAAAAAAACAGGATCTTATTTTTTCTGAACACAATAAGACATCTTTATAAGTGTACCATCCAAAAATCACATAAAAGTAATTAAATCTGCTCAGTTTATGACCTAATTCATCTAATACTGTCCCCTCTGTGTAGTAAAATAGAGGTCTTTCAGTCATAAAATGTATGTTTTGTCTGGCAACAGCTTAAAAAATACAAATAAAGTTGATGGGCATATAAAACAGAGAGAAGCAGCACATCCTCGCTATGCAGAATCTAAAACTTTATTTTTTGGGCACTGATGCCTGATAAATGACAAAAAATTAACTGATCATCAAAAATATTCCAAGTCATTATCCGTCCTACTTAAATTCTCTGATCTGGTCAACTCTCCAAAGACATACAGTATATCGAAGGTGTAACTGATCAGCCCCAGCTTTAACTGGACCACATGTACAATACATGTTGGCTCAGGCAGACTTAGAGCCCTGCCAAAAGATGAAAAAGCACATTTGGGATTAATAACACAAAAAAAGCGTTTGGCTCATGCTTCATCTGCCACAAGGGAGAGTGCGATACATGAGTCAGCCAGCCAAGTATCTACGTGGGTAAGAAGAACGGCTGAGAGAGAGTGGGAAAGAGAGCACAAAATGGGGGCAGGGGGCTAACAGATGTTGGAAAGAGAACACTGGGGGAAATTTTTGAGCGAGAATAAAAAACGAGGGCAGAGCGAGTGATAGAAAACAGAAACTGGTCAGAGGGAGCAGATGGCGAAAAATGGGATGTGAGGGGGTTTGACACAGTTGCAGCTAAGAAAGCAGTGACACATATATTTACTCAAAGATACACTCTAATTACCTCTCATTCACTCCTCTGCTGAGAGCAATCTCTGACTGAAAACACTGCTACTGGCATGCGTGTAGGTCGACTCAAATCTTGCTACACTGATGAATTATTCAAAGCTGTGAGACTTTGTGCAACTGTGTGTGCAGGGGAGAACCTCTCGTATTCGAGCCTGCTTTAGAAAGAGACATTATTTTCTCAGCTGTGCAACACTTACTCCCAAGAGTAGGATATCATATATATGATCTGAACTGTGAGTACGAGCGTGCATGAATGAATGAGAGTGATATTGATAGAGAGAAACCACAGCCGAACACACAGCCATTATGTTTGCCAGCACAGTTAAGTAGAGAGATCGTGCTCCACTTTAACCTAATGAGCAGGGAGTGTCTCCACCAGGTGACATCTACAAGAAGAGAGTCATCACCTCTACAGCAGCTACAGGTTTCTTGGCTTCAACTTTCCAGGTGTAAACATTGGGGGTGGGAATCACTGGTGGCCACATGATACGATATTACCACGATACTTGGACCATGATAAAATATTATCACAATACTTAGGCCACCATACAATATTATCGCGATACTTGAGCCATGATACGATATAATCACGATACTTGGACCACGATACAATATTATCACGATACCTGAGCCTTGATACAATACTTTTACGATACTTCGGCCATGATACGATATTATCACGATACTTGGACCACAATACAATATTATCATGATACTTGAGCCATGATACGATACTTCAGCCATGATACGATATTATCACGATACTTGGACCACGATACAATATTATCACGATATGGTATTATATTTTCCACTTTAGCTAATTCAGCATTTGTCTTTCCTTTATGTTTGTCTTATTTATGTTGTATTTTGTTTTCATGTGGCACATCTTGCAAACCTTTTATATATTTGTTGTACTAACTTTCTCCTGCTCTATGATGTCCTCTCTGCCAACCTCACTGGACAAACAGTTGATTTTATTTTTCCATTATCATAGATTTGACTTCATATTAACAATTAATTTTAAAAATGGATACTTGGTAAATAAGACGATACGATATATCACCAGACAAAATATCGTGGTACTGTGCTGTATCGATTTTTTCTCCCATCCCTAGTAAACAGACAGATGCATGAGACAGTTACAGTCCTCTATCCAGTCACAGATAGTCAGGCTTCATTTGGCTTTAACCTAATCACAGTTATCCATCAACTCCACACAGACAGCTGCCATGAGAACCAACAAGGTGCCTCTATTCTAGCCTGTGAAAGAAAACCCTGCAGGGAGACGAGTTTGACAGCAGAGACATTTACGCTCATTACAGGTTTCAAATTGGCTTTCACAGCTGAACGTCCAGGACTTAAACCTCACACAAAGTAAACCAGTCTGCACCACCAGTCTGGACACCATAAGCTAAAAAAAGGGAATTATGAATTCATCATGAATTAGAGACACAGAGGAAAAAAACATGGTAAGGTAGTGTGAGAGCTTGTAGATCCAACTGGCGTCTGGGAATGTGTGACTTAAAACAAATCTGTTCCAGATAAAGGTGAGAGATCCTTAAAAACTGGATCCAGCCATGAAGGGTGCAGGGACTGACAACAGCTCCTGAAATCTGCTGTTCCTGCGAGCCGCCATGGGGAGGCGGCTGGACTGAACTCCCAGCTGTGCCTCATATTGAGTAGACACATCTGTGTCCTAACATATATATATAGACACTATATATACCGACAGGCCTTATGACGACATCTGGCAAAAAGCTAACCCTGCTCTTCTGGCCCTGCACCACCCCCCTCCTCGCCTTTCCTCCCCTCTCCTCTGTACTGACCACAACCGCTGGGAGCAATCAGCGCGTCACGTCTGAGCTCCACTGCAATAAGAGCAAATCCCCCCTTCTTCCATTTTTTCTGCGTCTTCCTCGTTTCTTTTTAACCGGCTGTTTTGAGGAGCAAGCCTCAGCAGCAGAAACCACAGGGCTCCTGCAGGCCTCTCCCCACCCCCACCCACCCACCCACGCCTTCGTCTGGGCGAAGGATGGCCATTCTCGGAGCCCCCTTTACAAACCCAGATGTGTATATTTAGCTCATTTTTGCCTCTGTGCAATTAACAGATCAAAATTATAACTTTAGGAGTTGGAGATGACGTCACTGTTCTCCTTGACTGAGGATGGAGGTGGACCAAACTGTGTTTCTCAGTCTATAGGCCCAAAACCAGGCAGCGGCCCAACATTCAGGGTGTGGTGGAGGCGATGCTGAGCCAGGTTGGGAGACTAACTGAGCCAGCAAGGAAGAAAAAAAATAAAGCGAGTAGGACTGAATGGACTGAATGTTTATAAGAGCAAGCGAGATGGCCTGCCTGCCTCCAACAGCCCTGGAGTTTCCATTTGAGGTCATCTGGTTTTTACATTCCTGCCATGCACCAGCACTCACACCAGGCTGTTCAAGTCCTCCATGGCTCGGTTTGAACGGGATCTTAAGGTATTTAAAGTGTCGTCCAAGAGCAAAACAGTCTGTGTATGACAACCTGGGCATCTGTGGTTCCACTCCAGGTATCTGACAAACTTTGATAAATTTCCTCCTTCTGCAGATAAACTTTGGCGCCGGCACAACTCACAACCACGCTTGACCAATTAGCTCAATCTAAAACTAAAGATTTTGCATATTTCTGCTCTCCGAACCCTCATGACTCCCTCTGCACACTCACACTGACCTCTTTCAGCCCCAAACAAACAGTGGCACAAGGCAAGAGGCAACCACAGCGCCTAATCAATTACTGCAAGAATCTTCAGGTTGACAAATCAAATCTTCTTTCCTGCTAAACTGACATTTTCTACTATTTCTAGCCCAAAGCAAGGCAATCATGTGCGACGCTAAAGGCCAAGTGAAAAAAAATGTACAGCGTGCACAAGCTTATTTTTCTCACACTGTAGACAAAAAGCCTTGCTAATAAGGGCTGTAAAGTTGACTTGTTGACTTATTGGTCGATACATGCTGAGTCGACTCAATTTTTTCTTCCTTATCAATTTACAGTCTATGGTTAAAAATCATCAGGAGGAACGTACCAAGTGCTAATGGGGGTGTGTAACCCTAACCCCCTTTGTTTTCACCATTTTGGATTCGCCCAACCCTCTAGAGACCAGCTGGGAACAGGAAGATTGAAGAGCGTCCACGTTAATCAACATCCGGTGGTTTGCTGAATATTTATATTTTAGCCTTTTTTGTTTAATAGTCTTCTTGTGCTGATATCAGTATATTTTGGGGATGCCCCCCCGATTAGTTGATGTTTGATCGAAAGTTTCAGGGTTTTAATCAACCAAGAATTTTTATGGTTGATTACAGCCCTATTGCTAATATCGCTGGCCTTTGCATCCCTCCTCCTCCTCCTTCTCACATGGCTGATCTCAAGCGGCACAAAGATGATATAAAGATATCACCCAGCATGTTTGGGATACAGCAGGATCAGCCCACACTATCATGTCATCAGCCTGCTCCTTCCTGTTGACACACAGCTGCAGAGAGGGGCATCTCTAGAGGGCAGGGATGCTGCTGGTGTCTCTGTTTTGGCTTACCGCCCCTCCATCTGTTTAATGTAATAAAGAGGTCCATATGCCAGCTTGATGCTGATGCCTGTACCCCATCTTTAGCCTCTGTCACTCTGTATTAGATGACCGTTTTAGTGCATGGACTGGCAATGACTAAAGAGTCAAAGAGAGTTGACCCTGCAGGAAAAATCTGTCCTCTATGGTTTCATAACTCCTTTCAGATTACAATAATAATAAAAAAAAAAGGTCAGTCACAGAGCCTAAAGGGATCATGGGTCAAGGCTGTGTTGCTGTTTCTGCAGCCCAGGGGAAAGACTGCAAAGTATCAGCCCTGTTGACATGAAGCTCATACGCAAATACTACATTCCTATTCAGCTATTCAGATGACGGCACACTGGCACAGCTCAAAGCTACGAGGAACATGAGTAAAACATGCTGCCCTGTTAAATTAATCTGCACAAACTTTGAGACAACTTCCTAGAAACTTAGTTTGGACTTCAGAGGAGAATCCAAATGAGGATGTTTGATTGCTTCACACTGAGATGTAATGTGAAGAATCAAAGCAGTTGTAATAAAGGGGAGCATCCTGACAGCTTATGACCATAGAAGGTAACAAAGAGCCAACAGCTATAGCTCAAAGTCGGAGACATGAGAGGAGAGAAAGAGCAGGAATTTAGGAAGGGAAAAGGTGGAAAAAAGAAGAATGAATTCATCTTCAAGGATAGTGACAAGGAGAACAAAAAGAAGTGAAAAATGGAGAGAAGTGGTATCTAAACATTTTGAATACTCAAATCAGCAAAACAAAAGGAGCTGCTGCCTCCTTCGGCTGCAGGTATACACACAACAGGCACTTAAACTACACAAAAATCTTGAGTAAAGGGACACCCGCGGCTGTGTTTTATCACACTCATTACCTCAACTAGGCTGGTGTGTTGGTTGCAGAATTAAGACAACACGAAAAGAGAAAAACTACATTTAATGACTGAGAGCGCCAGCTACACAACTTAACCTCTTTAGTCATAGTCTGCTCTGCTTGCTCTGTTCTGGTGGTAATATTTAAGTGAAGTTGCTGAACCACTTTTGTACCGGATGGTGACACTGTTGACTTTTTGGATGACTACACTTTAAGCAGCCTGTCAGGAGAAACACAAGATGCTTAAAGGTATTAAAACTGTGTAGAAAGTGATTCCTCCAGCGAAAAGCTTAAGTCCTACAGAGAAGACACATGTAAGGTGAAGGCAGCTCAGCGTACACCAAACTACATGAGGTATGATAAAGCGAGGTGTGAGCCTTTAAATCCTGACATGAGGACAGTGGAAGGATTTCAGCAATAGACAGACTCTCCTCTGCTTCGACCACACATCACTAAAGAGGAGCCTGATTTCACATGATTTGCATGGACAAAAACCGAAAACACATCAGCTTTTTCCTTGAAGAGAATCTTATTACGACGGTAAACAGGCAGTTATGTGCGGGATCAGCGGGCATCTCTAAAAACCACATGGCTCTGTCTCCTCCCAGCATCCACTGCTCCTCATTAGATTCTCCATAATCTCTGTCCCGTGATTTTTGCTGGACTGTCAAAACAACCCTGTTTTCCCCTCCTCCTCCTCTTTCTCCTTGAGACTGCTAATAAACAGTAAAAAAGACACGACTGATACGAGAAAACATAAGTGTGCTGGCTTTGTCCGGGTTGTTCAGGGAGTGAATTTAAGATATCTGTAAGTCATCCCACTCAGCTCATCAGCTCAAGCCTGATCCTGGATGGATGTTTGCTTGCTGACTGCCACACACTGTGTAAACAGCACAAAAAGTGGGCCTCCTAAAAAGTGACGGACAGGGAGCAAATATCGAAATAATCACAGAGAAATGTTCTTCCGCTTCTTGACTTTCAGAACAAGCTTTGGAGCCAGAACATGGAGTGACTCAGCAAGAACTAGCCAGTTATAGGGATGGGCGATAAATTATCGTTCACTTTGATCGTCAGAAAATTCTTCCACGATAAATATTTGCCATCTCACGATAAATGCGAAAAATGCAAGTTGATGAGGTAAGCATGAGTGACGGGCTTGCAGCCATAGCCCACACAGAGCAGAATAACAAACAATATGGCCAAGGGTAATGCAGAAGACGTCTCTGAGCAGCTCCTTACTGAACGAGGCTCCACACAAGGAATTTCCTTCAAGATTGGGGCTTAGATGAACGCAATCAGGTATGCCTGACATCGGACAGTGGATCTGCCGCTGCTGTTCACTCTGTGTAATGAGTTTTCAACAAATGTTTAAAGTGTTTTCACATTTTACTAGTTTTCTCTATAACCTACCAATCAAACTTGTGGTTAAGGGTTAAGTATCTTATTTGACTCTGCCAACTGTAAAGTGTTGCCAGTGTCGTATGTTGTATGTTCGAGTGAATGTATTGTCACGTAAATTTGGTTGTTGCACTATTGATGTAAAGCTCACTTTGTTTAAAACTTATAGTTCACCTTTGTACACCGCACACCTGTGGCTGAACTATAAATAAGGCAGCCTTCAGAAACTGCAAATTGCTTACAATGATGCTCTGAGGATACTCTTAAAAGGGCCCAGATGGGCGAGTGCGAGTGAGTTATTTGTGAGTTCTGGTGTAAATACACTGCAAGAGGTTCTGAGAAATGTGATGTACAGGTTCATTTGCCGGTTAAATGACTCAACAAATCAAATTGTGTTGCAAATGGTGAACATTGGGCTCAGTGACACACGATGCTTGTCCCATTTTTGGAGGCACTGGTACAACTGTCTTTTGAAGATGAGCTATTAGACTTTTTTTTTTCTAATTCTGTGTTCTTTTTGTACTGTGTATTGTTTGTATTTTTTTTTTATATGGACCCTGAGTGTGGAAATAAAGCTATCTATCTATCTATCTATCTATCTATCAAGAACAATGATTGTGGTGTCCTCATGACAGAATGAGTCAAAAACATAAATAGGAATTTTTATTTTTTTATCGGAACTGGCAAAACTCATCATGATCAATTTTTTTTTTGGCCTATATCGCCCATCCCAAGCTGGTTATACACTCTTTTATCAATAATGTTGTGCTGTTGTTTTGGCATTTGATGGAGATATATGGCTTAGTTACAGTAGACCTCATGCACAATGTTGAACTGAGCTATAATGGAGCATAAATAAATGATGAAATTGAGTTCGTCACTGATGCACTGTAACAGACCTTGTGAGGAGCCTCTGACCTAACTTTGATACTTTGACCATCACTCATTTTTTTAAAGGAGGTATCTGTCAATTTTACACATGAGGATCAGTTTTCTCAGTGGAGGGGTATTCAGCTTTAAAAAATCTGCTGTATCTTGCTTATGCAGAGTCTGGGTATCAGCCAATTATTTCAAAAAGCCATCCAGCACCCTGCATATTAAGTTAACTGGGCCTAGCAGACGATGGCAAGCACTAAAAATAAAGAGGATGAAGAGGAGCTTCACTTCCCCCTCAGGGAAAAATCAGCTGTATGGAAATATCTCGGTTTTCACAAAAAAGTGCCCACCACATTTAGAACATCCAAGAACAGCATGTCCATAAACACAGTTGTTCTTGAATTTTATGAGAGCAGGCAGAAATCTGGCGTCTTTTCTGCAGGTCATGGAGAGATTAACTGCTTTTTTTGCTTGTCTTTAAGTTCCATGACTTCATTGTGTTTTGCCTGTCACGACGGCATCATTCTCCCCTCATGACTCATCAGGATTCAGTCAATTTGTTATCTCTCCTGAGCCCCTTTTCCTCCTCGTCCCCTCCTCCTGTGTCCCTCTCACATTCCAGATTCCTGCCGTCTGTTAAAAAAAAAAAAAAAAAAAAGTCTCCACAGTTGATCGGAGCGAGACAGTGCAGCACTCAGTTTTCTGCAAACACTCTTATCGCCTGTTGAAAAATGTAAACACGGTGAGAAAACAGCGCAGAAATGTGAGCAGTTGATATCAAGACAGGAGAGAGACAAAACAAA